GGTTTTGTAGCGTTCAAGCGAGTTGTTGTTTGACTGAAATTGCGCCGAAATGATCCCCATGTTGGGTGGAACCACGCGTCATTGGCCGCACAAGCTCCCATGGATGCTTCGCCGAGTTACAGATAGAGAGATACCCCTTGGGAGCTTCTATTTATATACTACGTCAAGACCCAGAGTGGTCCCGGTTGCCTAGCTTCTCCGGACGGTTCCGCCGCAGCGGGCTCGTAGCCTATGTGAGAAATCTGAGGATGGAAACAGTCCGTAAGGATGGTGATGGATATTTATCTCTTCGGGGTATACAGTGCAGGCATCTCGCCAACCCACATCGGCTGGTCCCTTTCAGCTTCCCGTATCATCCAGTTCGCCCAATCTCTGCGCTCGAGAAAGGCATTCCACTTTCCATCTCCCACCCAGCCTGCCTCCGCCATGCCGCCGTCTTTTGACGAGCTCCCAAGCACTGGCACTCGACACAAGGTCCAGTCCAGCCCTTGACCTTCCTCCTTGAAAGCTTCCTCTATCGCCAGGATTTCGTTTTGCGCCGTCCGCGCCAGCACGAACACCGCACTGTAGGCAAGAAGACGAGAGAGTGCAAACGAGTCGCGTTCGTCATAACAACTGATTGTGGCCATCGCAATGACTCGACGAACGTTGTGTCGCCTCATCAATCTGAAGATAAGGCGGTAGCCGTTGGAGAGTTCGCCCTTGGAAGGCCACGGCCCGTTTGGCCCAATACATGACAGAATCGCATCTTGGCCCTGGACTGCTTCCGAGAGTGACTCTTCATCGGATAAAATGCCTTGGATGATCTTCACGGTGCCTGTTAGCGGGTGCGCATTTGAGTCGGGGGCTGCTTCCAAGGTAAATTACCTTCACTTTGCCAGAGTTTTTGATGTCGCCTGGCACACGGTTCTCATCTCTAACGTGCAGGGTCACATCATGACCATGCGCAATGGCCTTTCGGGCAGTCCAGCCACCGGCCGCACCCGTGGCTCCGAAAATAAGCAACTTCATGAACTAGGTGCAGATCGTGTCAGTCTGTCTATGCCTAGAGTGGCATGGAAGTGAGATAGTCTGTTGGATATATGAAGAGGACGCTGGAGGGCAGATTGAGGCTATAACTGCGGTGGCTACCGCATTTTGTCGGATTGCCTGATTGCAGCAACTCCATGAAGTGATTTCACACCATGATGTTGATGTTCAAAGAGGTTGCTGATGGACAAACTCTTGGATTGATGTGATGCAGGTTGCACCACATAGTTAAACAGCCGTAGCTCCACGTGATGGACAAGCAGCTCACTGTCCAGCTGTTGCACTGTGATACAACCAAGGGAAGACAACATCTTGCAGATTCGCCATGTAACAGGTTCATCTGATCTTATAGTGAGTCTTCGTATAGTTCTAATCCCGATTGCCTGTCGTTGTACACAGTTGCCAGCAGAACCTAAGATCTGCCTTTTGAGAAAACAAATATCCCCCGGATCGTCCATGTTATTGCGATAGACACTGTATTGGAACACTTGCAGGAGCATCTCTGTCTGCGCCCGAGGCTCTCCATAGGGATACTGTTTCATCGGAGATGGTTAAAAATAGTCGTTACAGTTTGCGCAGCTGTTTCAAACTGAAGAAAGCTGTAACAGGCCTAAGTCGACGAGACCAATTCCCCCCGAAGAGTCCCTCTTTTGAAGCTGTTGAGGAGCATACTCGATCTATCAAATCTAGAGACATGCCTATACGAGTTGTGTGACTGGCTGTGGTCCTCATCTGTCGACGCGCATCCATCCCTTGATAAAAAGAAAATCGTACCTTAGCAACGAAGAAACCCCATAGTGAACCAAGATATTGAACTCGTAAATGTCATCGGAACTGGTCAACGGGTGCTTTCAGCCTTCAGTCATGGGGTCTCAGTTTGGCTTCCCCTTAACTAGCTCGATGGCATCGCCGGACCCGAATTCACCATGGGCGTCTAGGTAGACGTACTCCGTGTTATAACTGCATAAGAGGGTGGCCTCCCCCAGGTTTACAGCACCAAGAGAGTCCAAGGGCCTTGCATTGCTCCTGAATTTCATCCAGCTTCCCCTTCTTCACGCTTGTTCTCTTCTACTAAGATGAGATTCGGATTCCGAGATGGGCGGGGTTCTCCCCAGGCTCCCCTCCAGCCAGAGCCAAGCAACGACTTCACCTTGCGGTTCGCCGAGGATGGCACATTCAAGATCACTGTGTTCTCGGACTTCCACTTTGCAGAGTGTTGGTTTCTCGACTCCCGGGAATCAAGGGATAGTTGGATATGTTTGACTAACCTGAATTTGTTGTGCCAGCCGAAGATGGCATCGGTCCAGTCAACGACGCAAAGACTGCCAAAGTGATGCGAAACGTGCTTGAACACGAGCATTCCCAGCTCGTGGTCCTCAATGGAGATCTGATCTCTGGCTACGGCACAGTGGCCGACAACGCAACGCACTATGTAGACCAGATCGTTGCTCCAATGGTCGATGCGAACCTGCCATGGGCATCGACATATGGGAACCACGACAACGAGAGGTTTGCAAAACCGGGGAAGATTTTCGAGCGGGAAAAGAGTTACCCCAATAGCCTGACGCAGAATATGGTACCGGGCGGTTCTGAAATCGGAATGACAAATTACTATTTACCAGTGCATTCGTCGTCGGGTTCGCAGCATGATGCGCCAGAAGTCCTCCTGTGGTTTTTTGATAGCAGGGGAGGAGCTGAGCGCCGTGACTGGGTTCACAGTTCGGTAAAGTCCAAAATGCCAATGCCAATATGAAGGTTCCATCCCAACTAATCATCCCCATGTAGGTTGTGAAATGGTTTGAAGAGAAGAATGCAAACCTGACTAAACAATACAATAGAGCCATCCCATCGTTGGCATTCTTTCATATTCCTATCAGTTCAATGTTCACATTCTGGACTCACCCCGGCGTTGACTCGAGGAGAGAACCGGGCTTCAATGGAGAAAAGGTATGGTGGCAGGGCCGAGGATACGATGACAAAACCGGTCATGATACCGCGTTCATGGCCGCGCTGTCAAAAACAGACAGGCTGCTGGCCACTTTCAGCGGCCATGATCATGATAATGACTGGTATGAATGAGCCCCTGTGCTCCAGCGAACCTTGGGGGAACGGCTAAATAATTAACAATCATGTTTTTCACCACAGGTGCTTCAAGTGGAATGGTACCACTTCTGAGCAGCCCGTAGCTGGAAATGGTATCCACGTGTGCTACGGCCGCCATACCGGGTACGGAGGATACGGGAATCTGGAGCGCGGCGGACGACAGATTCTGTTGAAAAAAGACACCCTTGACAAAAATGAAGTGCTGACCTGGATCCGCCTAGAAAGCGGACGCGTCCCCGTCAATGTGACATTAAACGCAACATACGGACAGGATGAATACAATCCGGTTTCGCGTCATGTTGGGGTCAAGAGGGACAGTATGGAGAGCCAAGGTCATACTTTGGCCCCAGAAATATACTCAGTCATGCTATTCCTCTTTATGATGATTTATCTTCCTCTCAGGCTATGGCACTGAATGGCTAGCATATATCTACGCTCTCACAGCAAATTTTGCGGGGAAGACTGAAGTAGAGAGAAGACAAAGGTGGCTCTCCTTCACAGTTCAGATAAAAACCAGCATTGCCTTGGTATGTTGCACTGAAAACACCACTGACATTAATGGGAGGTTGTGGTGGGTGGCTTCTTGTATGTACATACATACTTACTTTACCTGGGCTATAAATAAGACAGAAGATTTGAAGGAATGAGTCTCAATTGTAGGCTCGGTATCTTTCATTGCTTGACCTGCTTTGGCAAAGTAAAAATTCTTAATCGAAATGGCACAAAATCCCCATACTAGCTGTATTGGCCGCTACTTGCAAAAATTCAATAATAACCCACAGTGATCTTCCCACAAGTTTATAGAAGGCCCTTATTTTAATAGACTGTTGAGCCAGTAGTGATAAATCACACGGATTGCCATGTGGCAGCAAAATCAGTGTTTAGCCCCATGACACAACTCCATAGCCATGTTCTTTTAGCAGCAATCATCACTTTTGAATTGCTTTATCAATGTTACAATACAGCCCAAATGATCAAGTGGGGGGTTGTGAACCAATGCTTCTCCTTATTTGTGAAATTGTAAAGTAAAAAAAATCATCCCAAAAGCTCAACATCAAGTCCAATAGCACGCATGAACAGGTTGACATTACCCAGTCGCTGACTCGCCATATCAGCTGGCAATGTTTTGCTCTGAGAGACAGTTTCCATAACTCGGTCCCTGAAAATTTGTTAGCCTCCATTTACTCATGTGGGTATGATAAAGAGATTACTCACTTAACAGCAATTACTAGCCGTTGCTGCTGTTCTGGGCTTGCTCCAATGCCAACGGCTGCAAGGAATTGCCACACGTATATATCGTCGCCGCTATTGATGGAGCCAGGGAAAATGCTGCCCAGAATTGGCTCCAGGCGGTCAAAGAACTTGTTATACAAGTCCATCCATTGTTTCAATTCTTCATCCTCCACTGCGCCCGTTTCTTTAACCAACTCTCCACGGCTCAACAACATGGTCAGGATGCCGAGGCCGATCCGCGTTTTGGAAACTGCGTGAACGTTTGTACGGAAGACAAGGAGGCCGAGTAATCCAATAATGATCTTGAGAGGAGCTTCGTTGACGTAACTTAACAAACTCGGCATAACAGCTTGTGAAAACAAGTCAATCTCTTCACGGACTGGGCCAGGAGGTTGGATTTCTCCTGGCTGTAATTGAGCCCGCTGTATCACATCCAAGGTGTCCAAATGGACAATGATCATAGTGAGGATTGTTACCCGCTGTTCCTGATCAATGTGGCGGAAAATCCGGGGGATAGCCTTCTTGCCCTTAGGGTAAGACAAGAATGCAATAAAAGGATGTGTCGTTGGAGATCCGGGGAAAATGGGTTCATGGACCTTCATATCCGTCCATAGCTTTTGATTCAAAGCCTCCCTTTTCTGTCTCCACTCCAAATGCTTCTCAACAGCTTCCGCGTCTTCTGCATCTGGTGTGGGTGGCATTCTGCGTTCATGATCATCCATTTTCATTAGGGTATCGTATGTACTTTCGATGTTATGTAAAATGGATTTTCGATCACTGGGGCTCAAGCCGGTATGAGCTGCCTTTCTAACGTTGGTTGGTTTATGGCCGTCCGCGCTGTCAGGGCGCTTGATATTAAGAAGTGTCCTCGGGGTTTTAGCGTTGCTGAATGAAATCTTTCCTAAGCTCCCTTCAATTATGAGCTGCTTATTTTTAGGGCGGAGTTTCGCCGCTTCAACAGCGCGCTGGACTTGTTGTTGCATCCGTTGCATATGGTTGTCTGCGTTTTGGTACTGTCTTCTGCCCGAATTGTTGCCAGAGCGGTTCCCAGTTTGGAAAAGGTAGGTTTGGGCAAAATGACCAAGAGGTTGCCGAGGATGCTGCCGAGGAGCACCGCGGATTTGGCTATATACTTGATAATAGAAATCCTCTGACAAGAGGGAGTCATGGTCGGTCTCCCCAGTATTTCCAGTTGCCGATACCAGCTGTTGTAGTTGGATTCGGGTAATAAAATTCTTATCTTGCGGAGTCATTAATCCGTTTCCTTTGGAAAGAAGATGGATCTTATGGTTCCTTTTGGCGCGTTTGGCGTCTTCTGCTAACAAAGCTTTACGCTGTTCTTCCGGAAGCTGCATGAATTGTGGGTGCATCGCGGCAATCGATGGAAGTTGGCCAGCTGTGTTTGGCGGTGGTTGAGTCTGCGGAAAATGGCCTTGAACTTGAGGTCCGGTAGGTCTCTGAGGAATGTTCATGGCACGGTTTTGATGCTGAAGGACCTGAATTGGAGCGTTTTGTCTTGACCGCTCCTGAAGAGGCCGCAGCTGTTGCCGCTGGAGGTCTTGCGGTAAAGGCCCGTAGCCGCCGAATTGCGGATATTGCTGATGTTGACTTAAGGGCGGAAAGTCCTTTTGTTGAAAGTGTGCAAAATTGTCTGGATGAGGAATGGGGGCCTCTTGAGCACGGAGGTTGAGTGGCATGGGTTGCGAAGCGTTGATGGGAAACTGCTGCGACGGGAGAGAAGCCGGAGGTTCAGCTTTGGGCTGGGGTCTCTGAGTCTGCGCGCGCATTTGCGCTTCGACTTCCTCCAAACTCATCATCTTTCGGGCTGGAGCAACAACCGCCTGAGCCTGTTCTACTGGCTTTGACTTTTGCGTTATCCCCGTCCCCCAGACACTCGACTTGGCTTGGATTTCTGGTATATATCCGGGATCCTGATAAGGCTCGTAGCCCGTCCTTTTCGGCTTCGAAGGCTCATGCAACGGTGCCGAGGCTTTGGGGGTGTCTTTTTGGTGCTTCAGATTGTATATCACTTGCTCTTCACCAAGAACATTGGTCATCTGCGCAGTTTGGCCGAAGAAGTCAAAGTCTTTCCCCACAGGCTTTCCCTCATCCCCCGCGGCGGCCCCGAAGGTGTCGTCGTTGAAGGCATCTTGGGTCTCGTCAAGGCGGTCTCCCAGTCCATCATAGGTATCCTCAAAATCAATTCTAGATTCACGTTAGCATTTTCTACACATTGCTTGAAGGTTGCGGGAAGGGTAGTCGTACGCATCGTCATCGCCATGGAACCCATGTGCTGTGGCGCGAGCAACTTCGGCGAAAGGATCTGGGGTTTCGAAGATACCCCTCGACTCCTGTGGCGGAAGACGATCGTTAGGAAGCGTGGTATCGAAACCAAAAAACGACATGTCAGCTGTTAAATGCCAACCAAAAGCGAGAAAGGAATGCGGAGCGAGGTGAGGGAGCGTGCGATTCTACCAGTGCGACTTCAGCATTGCGTGTGGCATAACAAAGTCTTTCCCAAAAGAGGGTTCCGACGGTGGATTAGGTAAGCAAACAGCTACGGGGACTTGTTTAGACCAGAGATGCACTTACGCTAGCGGTACACTAGCGGTATACAATGGTGTATTGTAAATTACATCCATCTTCCTCTCCTCAGGCCTCTTGACATCTATCATCTATGCATACAAAAGGTATGCTACTGATGCTGTTTGATCTTCCGCATAATGTTCAACATGCTGCCTGGCCACCACTGTTCCTGCTTGCAGTCGCTCTCAGGCCACAGTCTGGTCACAAAATGATCACCATATCTATTCACCATTCCAGAGAGTGTCACAATTGGGAGATTCCCGATCCACCACGCCTCGTCCTCCACTAAAAACATGAGGACCGACCAGTGCGCATATATATCCAACGCTAGGGCTTGCTCCCTTGTCAGTTCTTTGGCAGAGCGGTCTGTGGTTCGAATCGGGCACTCGAGTCTTTGATCAAGAAGCGGAAGGACCAGATCAAAGTATGCCTGGGGAGCCTGGACATAGAAACCGAGAAAGAACTTTGTCAGCGGTTCCGTTGGCAGTGGATTCACGGATCTACTGGCGAATGCGCGAAGCCATGAAGCCACTTCCGGTATCGACGCTGGTTCTGGTTCAAAAAGCTCCTCAAGCGAGTTGTTACATGACGAAGGTAATGGTAAGGCGGATATGGAGAACGTTTTGCTTCTAATATCTTTGACAATTTCAAAAGCGGCTCGGCAAGCGGATAAGGAATCATCATATCCGTCGCTGTGGTGAAGCAAAGCAAACTCTACCCTGTTCTGAAGCTTTGAAAAAGCCCCTTGACTGGTTGTAGTGAGTATCGGGGCCATTACATGAGTGCATGATGAGATCGGAGCCACCGGCGTTATGTTGGCTTCGGGAAACGTCAAAGTTGTCTCAATCGCAAGCTCTGTCTCTAGAGACAGTCGCAAATTTGGGTCTAGGGTTTGAAGCGTCGTTCGCGTTCCTCGCATCATGATTATGACATCCCTTGGGGTAGTCGACAGGAGTTTATGAGGCTCCTGCGTCCCACCCCTTTCCGAGATCCAGTGGTTTATTTGCTGGCTTGCAGTGGCGAACGGCACTAGTACCAGGGCGCTCGCTAAAAGAGGTTCTAGCTTCATAGCAGCAGGCCATGACATCGATTGTCTCATTCGTTCACTTGCCGTATTATAGTGTCGATACCCGGCCATCAAGACCTTTTCGACTGCACCTATACTGGGCGGTGGCTCTTTCGATATCATATCGCAGCATATGCAGGCTGCGGAGACTGCAAGCAGGGAATAAAAGACGGTTTTGCTCTGCAGTGCCAGGGTTGGCATACCGATTTGCAATGGCCTTTGGTCTCTTTGGCAAAGAGTCGAAATGCGACTTGTATGTTGCAGATAGTGGTGATACAAGTCGGTGTCCGACAGCCCGTCGGGCACGTCCATGCCATGAGAGCAATGACTTGACCGCACAGTTTCTGGCGTTGAGCATGTGGACGGCCTGAACGATGGCGATCGCTCTGGGTATGATGGAGTACTTGGTGATATCAAAAGACTGCTGGATGACGATCTTGACACGGATAGTTCATCCTTTTGTTGCTTTGTAGCAGATTGTGGTGGTGCGGGATAGATGCATCTATCCAAGGACAAGGCGCATCTCATGCATATCGGCTTCATCTCATCGCACTGAGAGACTAATTTCAGCGCTGGAATTGCACCCGTTTCATGCAGTTACTCACCTTGACCCTTCGCCGCTTACACTCGTAACATCCATTCCTTGACTTTTTGTGACGTCTCCTCGTTTTGCCGAGAGGTGGTTGACTTTGGTATTCACGGGCCGCCATTTCGATGTCGACGAGTTACTCGATATTGCCTCGAGTATCGCGTCTACCCATGATTCCATGAAGCTCTTATTATATTTTCTCTGTGTCTAACAAGAATGGCCAGTTAAAACACACTTTGGCTGTGCAGGCCGGATTGACAGGGTGACAGCATCCCACAGCCTCACGCGATTCCAAACTCGGCTGCAACTGAGCAATCGAACATCTGTCCAGCTCTTCTTCCAAAAGCTTTGATCAAATTTAAAGCCAGCCGCACGCCCTGGCTGAACTGTGCCATGTTCTCCGGGACTACACGGAATATGCTTATAGTCTATGTCCGATATGCTCTATAACCATGCCTCAGCGCATACTTCGGAACTCCGACGCCATTCTCCCGAGCGTTCTCAGGCGCTGCTCTAAATGATTGAGAAGCCTGGCCTTCCGCATTCTTTTTTTTTCCAGAATATATATCCCAAAAGCACGTAACAACCCCTGGCCCTGGGTTTCTTGTATCTCTTTCCGCTAACTCTTGGAGCCTATGAGAGAACTTATCCCAGGAGAACTACTCGGCACGTTTCTCAGTAGCACTTTTAACTACTTATACGCTCGTTAGTTGGATCAGATATCAACTCACGGGTCGGCACGGCAGCAGAGCGGCCGCGAATAGTTATATAGTTATAGACTACTTTATATTGTAGGTAGCAATGCAGGCGGCAATGGTGAAAAAAGGACTTGGGGGTATTACAAGTAGTTGCTCCGAAGTAACCACGAAGTTGAACGGCGTGCAGATTGCGGCTTGTTGTATTCACAAGTATTTCCGACATACATATACTCAAGCATCGGCTGGGATAGAGTGCGTTGTTGAAGGCACGCTACAAGTAAGCCAGTAATTAGAGCTAAATAGTCTATAGCCCATTCCTAGCCAAGAAGTCGAATGTGACTTGATAACCGGCAGTGGCATTGTTGTGGAGAGTAAAAGCATGGCCGGTGTTCGGCTGGATGGCCGATTCGATAACAGTGGCGTTAGGGTAGGTTTCCTTGATAGCCTGTTTATTGAATATCCCCTTGCAATCTCCGCCGCAGATGTAAAAATCGAACTCTGGCAACATGTATTGTATCGGCGCCTTGAAAGAAGGCCCTTTGCGTCCTAAGATATGATAGGCAGAGGCAAATTCCCCGATGGGGACTGGCTGCTTGATGGCATCGCCATAGTCGAGCATTTCCTTGGTGAAAGCGGTTTTAAGATCGCCAGCAAAGAAAATAGTCTGGATACCACTCTTTTGGCATACGATATAGCCGCTCGGTCGATCGCGAGCTTTAACAGCGTTGAAAGATGCATATCCTCCTTTTGCAAGGTACTTGTTCGGAACAAAGCCTGTGATGATTGCGCCATCGGTCAGGAGCCCGTATGTTGCGATGAAGGCGGAAGTGAGCACGGAGCCAAAGCTATGACCGACGTGCACGACCTTGCTTGGTTTTGCTAACTTTTTGAATGCTGGATGGAGAGGTCTTGCCTTCGCTGCGAAGTCATACAGAGTGCCATTGCGAGCCATCAAAGTCAACTGTCGAAGTATCTCGACTTCCAAAGGCCCTTGGACCACGTTGTATGCATCAGGATGATCGGACTGGCCAACTCCCAAACGATCATAAGTGAGGATCGAATACCCTTCTCGGAGTGCTGCTTCAACATAGGACTGTTTCTCCGGATCGAGTTTAGGGTCCCAATATCTCGAGTCGTAATGCACTCCGTGAGTGGCAATCTGTAGGATGTCCTTTTTCTTTGCAAGCGACTTAGGAACGCATAATTGCGCGTGGATGCTGAAAGTATCTGAAGTCGTAGTGTTCTTGATAACCGTTGGTGGACCCAATGGAGTGCTCCAAGTGTCAGTATGGATTGCCCAAGCCGTGGTTTCAATGTCGTTGTTCACCCTCGGGAGGTCGTAAACCGCACTATCTGCGGTAGCAAACACTGGAAGGTCAAGCTGTTTGCAGAATCCGTGGGTTCGTCGGGAGAAATCGATGCTGGAAGCTGAACTTCGAGCAAGGAGCAGGAGGGCTGCGGTGATAATGGTCGCCATGTTCTGAGGAAATAGATGGTATATCAATGCACTTCGTCAATTGACTGATGCTTTGAATCACTTATCTGCCGGAGCGCAGCACAATCAGCGCTTTATATATTGTAGGGTGCAGCCGCAGCGCCCCCCGTGTGCCATCATTTCCGGTCATGGCTTTTCGCTCGAATGACATGGTAATCTGTCTAATACGCGGTTGACCTGTTGCATCAACCAGATCGACCACTTCAGAGCCGGTTCAACCTCCCTTTGGTCGTTGAAGATGCTGCGGTACTCGAGGCTGTGGACCTTTTTGCTCGACTGACAAGGGGCGTATACGCGTATCCACATAACCAGTGGTTGACAGGGGGCGTATTCGGGAGCTCGTATCACGCGTCTAGATCCATTCTAGCGCGGCTGAACTGGACTCAAGCCATTATGAGCATGGGAATCTGAAAGAGCAAACGATTATTTCAGCACTCCTGTTGAAAGTGTGGACTCTTTGAATGTGGCAGAGATGCAGCTTGCACTTGACGCCCTCGCCTTTTACTCAAATTCCGATAAGCCTTCGACATCCACATATCACTATCGTAGCGAATGAGATAGATCCTCGTCGATTGCGGGTGGCATATTCACTACCGTACAATAGGTACCTATTATACGGAATGCGGAATCACGAATTCTTTGCTTGAGATTGAAATATCTTTTTCTCCATGCGCGTTCGGATGACATTGCCTCGACATTCGCAACACAGCCTCAAAGTTAGAAGATAACGAACTTCCAACGGCTTCAACGAAATATAAATTCGTTGACATTATCCGGTTATGTCCTGCCCATAATCATCTTACACAAAGCCTCCAAGCGAAGTTGCTAGCTGATTCTCCGTTATAAATTCTCTATTGCAATATCCGTCAAGACAAGTCCTATCTTCTCGTATCTACCGCCTCGTTGGCTCACATCGCGCGACTTGAACCTTTTCCAACGTTCTCAGTTTACTCTGAATGGCTTTTCTCGTCATCCTCATCAGTGCCGGTATCGTTCTCGGTGCCGAAAAGGTACATAACCACCATAAAAAGAAGCGCGCCTTGAAGACACAGAACGCTTTAGAAAACGGCTTAGTTGAAGGCGGTTTGACCGCTGACGGCACCGCAGTCCGCCGGCGGAAAGCCAACGTCCCGGCTTACCAAGAGGAGGACCTCCCAGCCTACCAAAATGAAAGGCTCCCAGCATACCCCTCGGGCGACCAGTATCATGGGCCAAAGGCCAAGTCGCAAAGCGCAAATTCTAATAGTACGGCACTCGGATTGAACTGATAGGAGAGGCGACTTACCTCATGAGGAAGAGGGTGCATTGGGGGTGGAGCATTTTGATTCCTCGCGCGACGATTTTCATTCTTATGGCTATACGATCGCTTTTGTATATTTTCCTGGCGAAGTTTGCGCGAAATTTCCGAGAATGGCGGAGTAATACCAAAAATCTGATGGTATTTTTCTTTTCCAGCATCAAGTAAACATCCCTGGTGTCACCGCAAGTGCGCTAATTGTCATGGTCCAGCCTTGCCATGTTTTTGCATCCCTCTGGCCAAACCAAGGGCTCCGGCATGGACGGCGGTCGGTAGGTCTCCTGCATTTGAACGCCCCCTGGGCCCTTGGAGTTGACCACAAAAGCTCTATATCGGCTAGTCAGTTATATCGACTTGCTCGGAGTCTGGAAACCCGCTATGACATCCACGACAAAGAGCTTCTAGCAATAACTGCTGCCTTTAAACACTGGAGACACTACCTGGAGGGGAGCCAGGAACCGGCTATTGTCTTGTCAGACCATGCCAGTCTTCAGTACTTTATGACGATTAAAGCAAGCATCCAGCAGTTAGCCCATGACAATCTTCCCGTTGACCAGCCCCACAGCTGTTGAATCTGATGGTGATCTTGTCGCCGGCGAAGAAGTGAGCAGAAGTGGAAGTGATGCTGGTGCTGCAGAGTTATGTAAGCAGACTAGTTAACGAGCTAACTTACAGCCAGGCGGTATTGGGGCCGTATTGACACTTTTGCCCCTTGAAAGGCGTTTTCCCCTGCTTGGGCGGCCATCAGGTTTCGTGACGAGAAACTGTTTTAAACACATTCAGCAGCTGCTGTTCTGCTTGCCTTGCAATTCTCAGATTCTAAAGGCGTGCGGCGACATGAAATCTGACCAATTCTCATGACTTAGTGCACTTCATATCCCATCGTTCGTTCCGTCACGCACTACGAGTGAGCAAGGATTGAAACTTGACACCCTAATGAGTTGATACCAAAGTGGTCAATAAGCACCGGTTTCTTTTCTTCCAGCGGCCAACTTCTCCTTATTAAGGGCGCACTTTGTGCCGTTTTCCTAGCCCAATACCTTCGTTTAATCTGCGAACCGATCATGATGTCGGGGAAGTACGTACGGTACCTCTTGTTTGCGGTGCTGGTAAGCTACTATCAACGTGTAAACCATCCTGCATCAGACACTTGCTAACACCTTCAAGGGCATTGCGATCCTACACTTCATTGCCTCTTCCTCAATGCCTCGTCCCACGATACCGGCTTCAATTACAAAAACAGATCCCCCGAAACAAGCTGACAGCCGGCCCTCTCCTCCTTCGAGTCCGCCCGATGGCGAGCTCAAAATCCAAACTGTTCCCTCGTCTGAACCGACGAAAGTAGCGTTGCCGCCCAATCCTAGCAGCCCTCCCGCGCCAGTCTCCGAGGACAAGGGGGATGAGCAGCCCAAGCAATCAGCCCCAAAGACAGAGCGCGTAAATGCAACTTTCGTTTCGCTAGTGAGGGATTCCGACCTTTGGGAAATGGTTAAATCGATTCGACAAGTGGAGGATCGGTTCAATCGAAATTACAATTATGACTGGGTATTTCTGAATGACGGTGAATTTAGTGAGCAATTCAAGAACGTCACATCCTCCTTGGTTTCGGGCAAGACCCATTATGGCAAAATCCCATATGAACACTGGTCCTTCCCCGAGTGGATCGACGAAAACAAGGCCGCTCAGACACGTAAAGAGATGGAAGAGAAAAAGATCATCTACGGCGGCTCTATCAGTTACAGACACATGTGCCGCTACGAGTCTGGCTTCTTTTTCAGACATGACCTCATGATGAATTACGACTACTACTGGCGTGTAGAGCCCAGTGTCAAGTATTTCTGCGATATCGGTTTCGATGCGTTCAAATTTATGAAGGACAACAAAAAGAAATACAGCTTTGTGCTCAGCTTGCATGAGTACCGAGAAACTGTTGCCACTCTTTGGGATAGCGTCAAGAAGTTCATGGAAAAGCACCCAGAACATATTGTCGAGGGCAATAACTTGGAATTCGTGTCCGAAGATGGCGGCAGAACGTACAATATGTGCCATTTCGTGAGTGCTGACCCCTCATCGGTCGAGATGCATAATTATACTCATATGGTATCTAGTGGTCAAATTTTGAAATCGGTGACCTGAACTGGCTGCGCTCGAAGGCGTATCTGGATTACTTCGAGGTTCTTGACAAGGACGGAGGCTTTTTCTACGAAAGATGGGGCGACGCACCGGTCCATTCCATCGCGGCATCGATCTTGTTAAAGAAGGAGGAGGTGCATTTCTTTGATGAAATTGGTTATTATCACGTCCCTTTCACCCATTGCCCCACGGGCCAAGGTCGAAGATCGGAATGGAAGTGTGGTTGTAACCCTGGAGATAACTTTGACTGGAAAGGCCACTCATGTAAGGCTGGCTTTAAATTGCCTGACTTTGCCATGCAACTAATTTAACCGATACTAACTATTCTTCGCTAGGCACTACACGATTTTTCGATCTCCTCAAGTTACAAAAGCCAGCGGGCTATGAACTAGAAACCTGACGGTAGCAACAGTCAACCCCCGGTTATTTATTCTGTCTATTACCATGTTTTTTGTTCGATTTTCCTAGATACTCTTGTATCTTTTTCTTCCTACAGAACGCTAAGCAGGCATTTTTCAGTCAGCTCCACCATTTTCTCATCTTTGGGTAACATCGTACTGCTATACGATTTAAAGCGCATTTTCTTTTGAGACTCCATTTTCTTATCTTGTCGTCTTTCACGCCTGGTTTGTAACGATAAATGGGGATGAGGGAATCTTTATTTGTATCTGGTGCATTCTCCCGCAGGATGGTTACTTGTGGAGTTCTAGGGCCAAACAATACATGTCCTATGGTAATACATGATAGACGAAAAGGAAACGCGACCCAACCTCTCAACACCTGGCTTTCTCTAGGTGGGTTCCAAGACAAACTCTATGTCAATGGTAGGTTCATGACTGGTATGAATAATTATGCCGTTTTCGGCTTCTTCGTTCCGTATTTCGACCTGCTAGTTATACGGCCACCAACGCCAGCCTGTTAAAGTATTAAGTCAGCCATTATGCTCTCGGGCCAAAAACCCCGGGATAATCGCAGGCGAAGATATCCACATACAAGATCTAAAGCTCCACGCACAACGTGGTATCTCACACCGGGACAATCTTGAGCTCTGCCTCCCCGAACCAGAACCACGCTATGTTGTTGGATATTATGTCCTGTAGAGGAAAAAACATTAAATTAGCCAGTGCTCGAACAAACGGCCCCAAACGGCCAAGAGCGTATCAAACTCCAAAAAGAGATATCGTACCTTCACCAGGAATATACGCTGTTATCAGTCTCCCACTACTTAATCGAATCCTCGCAATCTTCCTCTCTCCAGAATTAGGCTTCTTGGGCTTCGTGATACCCGTCTTGAGACACACGCCCTTCATCGCTGGCCGGTTGACGAGCGCCGGCGACCGCGGCTTGCGCGCCTTTTGTTCCTGACGGCATCCGCGTCGAACTTGGTTGAATGTTGCTTGTGGACGGGGTGTGCTGGAGAAATGTGCGATTTGCGGTTTCTGGCGGAGAAGGGTGGTGAGTGGTGTGTTGCGGGAGAGGAACGGGGAGGCAGCGCGGATGGGGTGGGAGGCGGGAGAGGGGAATTGGCGGCAGATGAGGTGCCTGAGGAGGCGAATTGTGGTTGCGGATGGTGTTGGAGGCATGTTGGCGTTGGCGACGGCGGGGGATGAAGTAGAATCGTGAATGTGAGATCCTGTTCTCAACGTAGGTGCTTCAACATGCGCTGCAAAGTTTCGACGGTTGAAGGGCCGGAAACCATCACGTGATCTCTCAGCTGAACCTGCACAGTTGGTCTGCCCTGTTAGCCGCAGGAGCTTGACGTGGTGGTTGTTTGCCTTGAAGCTCAACGAGACCTCAGATCTCGCATCAAACCGATATCCTTTTTCTAGAAATTGCTACTACAACGAAAGTCTCTATAAACAAGCGTGCTCTTCCATTTTACTATCCCGACTAGTCTCGAAGTATCCATTCCCAAAACCTCCAGCTCACATCCTCGCGGCAATGGTATATCTCCTTGTTTTCATTACCTAGCTCCCCGTAGAACTACATACGATAACTAACTGTCCCCAGTCTCTACGAATTGCACCTCCCGCCAGTCACGCTTCCCAGACCTCCAACATCACCAGAAACGGCGCAGCCCCCCAATTCCGTAACGGCGCCCCATCCGCCCCCGGTGTCCCAGACACACTCCGCGCATCCCTTACCGCACCAGCACCTACTACATCTGGCCTCAAGGCTGCTTCCTCAACACATCCACTTGAGGCACGGCTGCTTCAGTGGCGCGAAACCCAAAATGCGCTGAAGATGGAGTCCCTTCGGCGGATATATGGTATCGCGGAGCCAGTGAGACGGGGAATGGAAATGAAGATGGTGAAGGAGGGACAGTGGAAGCCGGCTGCGCTGGGAAGGAGCAACGAAAGCAACATCCACGAAGATATTTTAGCGTTAGGAGGGAGGGAGACGGAGATCGGGTGGGAGGATGTGTTCCAGGGTATGTTGATATTGTGGTCGGCCGTAATCTATTGTTATGGGTCCCGCATGTTATCAACCGTTCACCACTATTCTCGAGTCTGGTAACTAACGCTATTTTCAGGTGATGATCTCCGTGAGCCACCAAGCTTCCATGACGAAATGGAACAGAGACTTAAGATGAATTGGTGATGATGTTGCTCGGAAGTCTCTTTTTTCTTTAGACATGTTTCGTGTGTAGCAGGCTTAACTCGAATTATCGAGGTTATGTACCATAGGAATGCATAACTTCAGTGGATCGAGATTCCGCGCTGATTCTTTGATCGGTAGAATCTATTGAAATCCATGCCCTTTAAAGAGAATAATTGATGATACTCTCACATGGTGGAAATTTATTTTGCCGCAATTATCGCACATGCCTGATATGCCATGCTCTCTTATTAGGGACATACAGGTTACAATTCCATGCCCATGTTTGATAAAGCATAGTTGCGTTGATCTAATTGAACTACGGAGTATTTAAGATAAATTCAAGAAGTTGTCAAGTTGATGACTTGATGGTCAAAGCTAAAGAACTAGCAGCAAGTTGAGTTGCTGAATTCTCACTGGACAACTCTTCATCACTCTGTGCTTCAGCATAGCTTATCTAGTGTAAACTCCCGCTTTCCGCCCTCGCAATGACGCTAAGGTTTCTTCCGCCCCAGTGCAAGGCTTGGCATCTCCAACTGCCCGGGGGCCGGGCGGGGAAGCGCGGCACTGGCATCGCTTCTTGGCGCTGGGCAATGCCGACCCGGCGCTTGATTAATCAGGCAAACGGCCAATTTTCCACGTTGGTCTACGATATTATGATTCCTACGCTTGTTGGACCATTGCTCCACCGAGATTCAATTTGCGCGAAAGCAATCCGAAACGCCGTCAACTGAGAGGAATATAGACCAATCTGATCCAAGATCAGGAAGAACATGAGCATAACTTTTTCGATAGATACACGTATTCAGTTAACTGCGAGGAACGCATTTGCATTGTATCTTCGTATCATAAATCACCTCTATAGTCAACAAGAATAGGGCCATGCAAAGGAGAAAAAGAAAATGAATAAATTGTAAGATGGATCCGGGAATGTTGGAATGAGATGAGCAACAAGACCATGCAAGCGTATACAATGTACGCAAGGTTAAACGGAGGAATGGGGCAACGATGGGTGCTGTTATCAAATCGGGCTAAACGATGCTAAACCAGGGACTGATCAGGTATCTTGAATGTAATGACCGTGCTCTGTCAGAAATCAGAACAGGGAGGGACATAGAATGGGAGGGACATAGTCATACTTGAACCAATGAACGCCAGAAGACCCTTGCAGCTCATGTAGGAAAGAGAACCCTTCGTTCTGTACACATGCCATTTGAAGGATGGCGCAATATCGAGGTCTGCATGCATTTGAAAAGATAGGATAGGGAGTGCAAGCATAGGGGGCTGGAATCGAGAGCGAGAACCGTTGATCGGTAAGGGATATGAAATTAATAGCATCGTTGCGTAGATCTCGTGGGTGTAAAGGACGTTGGGAGGCGAAAACATACAATGCCAAAAGAGATTGAGGACGTCAAATCCAGCGTGGCGTGGCCTCCTGGAAGCACTTGTATACGCGTACTTGGGATATGTTGCGGTGCCGGGCTTACAGTATGATACAGCGGCAACCAGGGCTTCGGTCACTTTCCTCGCGGTCACGCGAATAATGGCCTTTGGTGGCCTTTGCATCTTCTTCTTCAACGATATCCTGGGGCTTCACGGTCATGTGGACAACATTCGGAGTATCACGATTGAATTTGGAATCTGGTAGCTCGTCAGAATACGGAACCCGTCTGCTACGCGCATGTGAGGGAGCCACTCACCCGATAGAGGAGCTTTATCTTCCAGGAGTTTCCCAAATGATATCAAGCGAATTAGGCTGGGTGAAGTTGGTCGAGGCTCCCACTCTACAAGTCAAGCGAGTCAATCACTGGTCTTCCAATACTGACGCATGCCAGAAACACATGGATGTCCCATACCTGATCTCCATTCTCTCCATATCAATTCTTTCAAGGTGTATACACTCATAGCGAACGGATCATTATCCGGAACGTTCACTTCGCGTTTCCTCAGATATTTGCCATCGATCTTGAACGGGTGTCTGGCGCCCGTTGTTAGAAGCAGCGTGATCACCAGCGAAGCGCCAGCATTTTCGAAATCTTTGGGAGACGGGCTTGGAAGGTCTGAGGAAGGGCCTATCGCCGGGCTCAGCGGCTTCGGTTCTGGCGACTCAGATTGAGTCTCTTCCCGAGCATCCTGCATCTGGCTCTCTGAGGTGGGCTGGGGTTGTTCGGAGGATGTCGTGGTCGAAGGCATGGCGGGAGGCGAAGTTGCGCTCTCTGAGGCGGGAGAAGGAGGACGGGAGTTCTTGGGCTCTGGAGCCACTGGGGGAGTGGAAACTGCAGGCTCTAATGGCTCCTGCTCACCTGGAACATCTGGTGGATTGTCTGGTAAAGGGGCACTCTGGGGCTTCTGATCTCCGTCATCCAAAGGAATGGAAGTGGATGGAGGTTGTGATGGCGAAGAACCTGCATCGCCTGTTCCTGGCTGTGTGGTTGGACAATTTGCTTTGTGACTAGAACCATGGTCTGGCTCGGTCGAAGTGTTTGATGCCATCGTTCCAAGTTCCTAGTCAGTTTCACAAGGTTAAGTTAAAGGGCAAAAAGGAGCTTGGAGAATCACGTTGCTTGTGAGACCAACAGTCCAAGCGTTGATTCAAAGCGTGAGGGTAATTGCCATGAGAGACCCTGCGAAAGACATATGCGACCGATAATGATTGTAGATTGATGAGGATGGATGTTCTCGGAGTCTGGGGAAATGAGAGACAAGACCTGGCAATGGGGACTGCGACTCGTCAGCCACACTCCTCTTGTCACTCTCTGATCTCGCACGCGACAATCGTCTTCGCCCGCTGAACTGACCGACGTTGATTTCTATCCTGGGTTACGACAGACAATAGAGCAATTCTCTTTACTTCGCTCATAGAGAAGTGGTCTGGAAGACATTGAATTGCCCATTCGTGACTAGCTGACAGAACTATGGACGGACATGCTCCACGGAGACCTCCGAGGAAGACGCGGAGAAACGCCAGTGAACACGCTTGCGAGTTGACTTTAACGGATATCTCACCTGCATGATTTCTGAATGTATACGAAAGCCTTTTGCGCCAATCTTTCAAGCAGCGCCTATTCATTCATCCCATGAACTCCTCATATCCACCCGCTATACCGGACCCCAAGTTCATTCTTCACGCCATCGGATCCATATCCCACGCCGAGTAATCTCACCTTGCCAATTTGACCACCAAAGTCGTCTTCCACTGAGCTCTTCCAGCCATCCACGAGTTCGTGAATGGCGTTCATAACAATCGGGTCGTCTTTGACTAACAAAACGATCGCATCATAGCCGCCTGCACCCGGCACGACACCGCCGATAACACCGTTGATCTGCGAGAGCGCATTCAGCAACTCTGTTTGGACCTCAGGCTCAATGGGAACACCGCATTTGTTCGTCATGGTCTTGATCCACATTCGGGTGCGTGTGATCAAATTGCTGAGCTCATCGTAGTTTTGAACTACATTACGATTTTGTCCCAGTCGTTTGAGCTCCAAACGCAGCTTTTCATTGTTCCGCTGTAGGCCGGTCCAGAGCATCTCTGCGTCTACGCGATTCTGCTCCCGCCATTGCAGGACTTTCTTCACCATACCGGGCGTCTGTGAACCGCAATCAACATCGCAAAGAACCATCTGAAGACCTCGGGGAAGCTTGAAGCCAAAGTCTACGCATTCTGTGTCCCAGGGCTTTTCAGTATTGAGATCCTCAACAACCGTAAATAGCCGCTCTTCAAACTGCGGGGAGCCGACATCACCCAAATCACTGAGGATGGATGGGGAAAAGCGGCGATAAAGACATGACCCATACACAGCGGCCGCGACGTCGAACCCAGAGCCTATTTTCCCTTGTGCAGCGCAATGCGCAGCTTGGGCTAGGTTATGCAGTTTGTCCCGGACTGAAGGCAATTCTTCGGGCTGTACAGTACGGTGAATGACAATAGCAGATACCAAAGCCGTAACGAGAGCAGCAGAGGATCCTAGGCCGGTTTTGTGTGCTTCTTGTAATTTCACTCCAGCATTCATGAAGCGGGCCCCCCTATGTAGGACGGATAATGCCGCCGTTTCAGAGTAGTAATCGTTATCCGCCAGGATGGTAATCGATAACGAACCAAAGTTCTTCGATGCAGCAACGTAGCTCACATATGTCAGGGCGTAATTCAAGGAGGTTTCCACGAAAACGTTCCGGGGCCTATAGATATCAGCAACCGCGGTACAAGGCCATGCAAGCCAATAGCAGCATAAGCCCTGCGGCGTTGATGCACTGCGTTCTGGCTAAAGCGGTACAGAACAAGGGAGATGATGTGCCCTGAATGGCCAGTAAAAGGGAAACTCACTCGTCATTAACTTGCTGAACCTTGACTCCTCCGCCTTGGGTTATCCTCTGAATCCGGTACTCCCATACAGCGTCGATAAACTGCGGCGACTTCACAATCACGACTTCTTCTAGCCCGTCTTCGTAGTCTTTCGCATGGCATGTGTCTCCTTCCATGCCATCCATGGACGAATCCCCGTCCGCACCACCATTCGACCCTGTCCTTGCTGATTCCCCCACGTTGGCTTTCGGGGCCATTCTTGCTCCCTTGCCCATTGGGAGCTGTTGCACAATAACGTGGATCCTCGCATCGAGCGCCAGCACAGTGCCAGTATATTTGCGGTCCAACACCAAATATCCTCCGGTTAGGAGCACCTTTCCAGGCGCCGAAACCGCCGTTTCCACGGGTGGTTGGTGTGGCATGGTGTCGGCTTTCCGTCCCTGGATTCCTCTTGTGCTGCTCAGTTTGACATCCGCGTTGCGTATTTAGAATTTGGGGAGAGGAGCTGCGGATGTCGAGGGGGGGTGGTTTGGAGGGGTACGAACCTAAGAGATTCTGTGCGCTGAACCTGTACTCGGACGAGTACTAGATGCTATGAGCTTCAAGTCGCAATCATACAAACAAAATGAACTGAGCAAAGAAGACGTTCTCACGAGAGGAAAGGAGACACACCCGCGGCTGTTGTTTTTGATGCTCCCCTTGATCAAAAACCACAACAAAGAGAATGAGAGGGGCAGCAGAAAGGACAAGAAATTAGCGGATCAGCAGATGAGCTCCAAGTTCTTTAAAGGACGCTGAGTCCGCAGCTTCATTTTTGGCTAGAGCTCAGGGAGCCAGGCAGATTTCATACCAGACGTCATGGCGGGAGATGGAGAGAAGGTCGATGACCGTGGTTTGGGGCGAGATGTTTGGACGTTTCTTCGTATCAGAGCAACCCATCTCGCAAAAACTTAATTTATTTACATTCTATCACCGCTACTGTTGCATTGAGAGCCAGTTCTACCAGCCTTTCGCGGGCCGGGGAACTGTGGTAGACGGTTGGCTTTGAAATTTTTACTCATTCGGAGGGATGCTGTTGTCGCGCATCGAACAGCGCCCGGGCGTCTGCACGTTGTTCCTGAGAAATGACGACCCTCGGTCCATCAATTCAACTCGCGATTGGGTACCCCCACATTGTCCCGGAGGCCATCAATCCAACCGGCGACGATCTGGGGAACTAGACACAGGATGGGGAGCGTGACTGTGTGAAGCACAGGGTAATGTTTCCGATAGAAACTGTCGTATTGCTAGACACGAGCAGCTGCTGGCGTTGCAACATGTGGCTGTTCGAGCTGCTATCCCTTCCCGCCGTAGACTTTCAAATCCGACTCTCCCATCATACCCTGCAAGCCTCAGAAGCAATATCGCCAGCATCGCCTGCTTTTCCTGTCTGCTGAAGTTGACGATTCTGCAACTTCTCACCGCTAAGCTCATTGGTCACGTGGAGCAGCCACTTTACGCGTGAAGGTGACTAAGCAAGACGCGTCGCGCGCCGTATCTTCACGTGAAGTTTCTATCTTGACGTCTTGCATCAACACACTGCGCCGGGACTGGGTTTGATTCTGTCGTTATTGCATCTGTCGCTCCTTTCAGGTCTGTTGCTCAGCTTTACCTGTACTACTCGATTGCGAACCGACCGGCGCCATGTCGAGTATAATGGATACCATTCTCCAGTCGGAACCTGCTCGCCAGGGCACGAGGAGGGGGATTCTCCCGCAATCGGAAGCGCCTCCAAGCTCACGTCCAAACCTTCCCTCCGAAAGCAATGCGCAGATGAGCGAAGCGCCTGAATTTGCAGACGATCAGGTCATCGGCGGCTCGATGCCCCGTCGACCTCGACACCCCATGTACGGTAGAGGTCCGCCAGTATTCCGTGACGTGGCTGGAGAGAAAGTCCAACAGGCCTTTGAAGAGCTGTTGGAGACACATATGGAGGATCCAATGTCGTCCGGCGCCCCGCCCTCGTCCGAAATGCTGAGTGATAAATATTACGTTTCTCAAATACACGGAATGGCTAAGCTTCAGCTGTCCACACTCTATGTCGACTTCACACACTTGACATCACTCCCGAACCAGGTCCTGGCCGATGCCATTGCTAACCAATATTATCGATTTCAGCCATACTTGACGAAGGCTCTGCACAACCTGATCGCAAAATACGAACCGCAGTACTTTCGAGAACACCGACAGCTTGGGAGCCATTCCTCTCAAGCGAGCACGTCCGCCATGGCCGTGGATAGCAGCGAACCTGACCCTCTCTCCGAAAAAACTAGATATCAACAAACGGATAAGGTCTTTTCGTTGGCTTTTTATAATCTTCCCCTGGTTTCGAGACTGCGTCAGCTGCGCACCGCCCAGATAGGGAAGCTACTTTCGATATCCGGTACTGTCACAAGGACGTCCGAAGTTCGGCCAGAACTTGCAATGGGAACGTTTATCTGCGAAAATTGCAATACCCCTTGCCCAGATGTTGAGCAAAGTTTCAAATATACCGAACCGGCAGTTTGTCCAAACCCTCCGTGCGGTAATCGTGTTGGTTGGCGTCTGGATATTCGTCGAAGCACGTTCATCGATTGGCAAAAAGTAAAACTGCAGGAATCTTCCCATGAAATCCCAACTGGCAGTATGCCACGCACCATGGATATCATTCTCCGTGGAGAAATGGTAGATCGGGCCAAAGCTGGAGAGAGATGTATTTTCACCGGCACGTTGATCGTTATCCCTGATATGACTCAGTTGGGTGCCCCCGGTGTCCGCACAGAAGCAGTAAGGGACTATGGTAATTCGCGAGGCGGTGAGGCAGGCGGGAGTGGAGTGACTGGTTTAAAGTCACTGGGAGTCCGGGATCTTACGTATCGCCTGGCTTTTCTGGCTTGTATGGTGACACCGGATTTGACTACACCAGGTCAGCCTACAAGCCAAAGTCTCACGGGGCATTCCCAGAATATTCTTGCTTCATTGAACCAGGTCGAACTCCCTGAAGAAGTCGAAGATATGGCCCAAGAGCGTCTTCTGCAAACATTCACACCTAAGGAGGTTGAGGAGCTCAAAGAACTCGTACATACACCATTCATCTATTCGAAACTAGTGGATTCGATTGCCCCTATGATCTATGGACATCAATCAATCAAGAAAGGCTTACTTCTGCAATTAGTAGGCGGTGTCACCAAGAAAACCGTCGAAGAGGCCATGCAACTGCGTGGTGATATTAATATTTGCATTGTAGGCGATCCATCTACAAGCAAAAGTCAGTTTCTGAAGTGAGTTAAACGCCGGGCAAATATATATTATCGTCGCTAAACGTTTTGTCCCAGATATATCTGCGGATTGCACCCTCGGGCGGTATATACCAGTGGAAAGGCTTCTTCCGCTGCTGGTTTGACTGCTTCGGTGGTAAAGGACCCTGAAACGGGCGAGTTCACGATTGAAGCAGGTGCTTTGATGCTTGCGGTATGTTTTAAAATCGTATCCTTACAACTCCCGTTACTCTGCTAATTATGTACGTAAGAACGGCGGGGGCATTTGTGCAATTGATGAGTTTGATAAAATGGATATAACCGACCAAGTCGCCATCCATGAAGCTATGGAACAACAAACGATTTCCATTGCAAAGGCTGGTATTCATACTACTCTAAATGCTCGCGCAAGTATTCTTGCCGCTGCCAACCCTGTTGGCGGCAGATATAACCCGAAAGCCACTCTCCGTGCCAATCTCAATTTCAGCGCGCCAATCATGAGTCGATTCGATCTCTTCTTCGTTATCCGCGATGAACCCAACGAATCCGTGGATAAGAATCTTGCCCGACATATCGTTAATGTTCACATGAACCGTGATGAAGCCGTAGAGCCCGAAATATCCACTGAAAACTTACAACGCTATATCAGATTTGCTAGAACGTTTCGGCCCGTATTCACTCCAGAGGCGAAGGAGTTGGTCGTGGAGAAGTATATGGAACTTCGTAACGACGATGCGCAAGGCGGTATCGGACGAAGCAGCTACCGTATTACGGTGCGCCAGTTAGAAAGTTTGATTCGCTTATCAGAAGCTGTTGCCAAAGCGAATTGCGTCGAAGAAGTTGTACCTGATTTCGTCCTAGAAGCTTACAATCTTCTTCGGCAGAGTATAGTCACAGTTGAAAAGGATGATGTTGAAGTTGACGATGAAGCAATGGACGGCAATCAAGATCAGGAGATGCTCGATGGCGATAACGAACAACATGACCACGAAGGAGACACGACAATGGGTACCGGAGAGGAAGACCGTGTGAACGCCGATTCTGCCCCCCACCAACCGCAAACCCAGAAAACGAAAATAACGTATGAAAAGTATATGAAAATTCTTAATATCCTGGTTCGGCGCATCAACGATGATGAAGCGAACTCAGGCGAGGGCGTCGAGGAAGAAGAGTTAAAAATCTGGTATTTGGAGCAAATTGAATCTGAATTAAACAACGAAGAAGATATTGAACGGGAGAGGTCACTAGTGACCAAGGTGCTTAAACGGATGGTGAAGGTTCGTTTTTCGTCGCCTTGCTCTACTAATCACACATCTAACTTGAATATTCGTGCTTAGGACAATATTCTTATGCAAATTCGGGGAGAAGGTCTTATTGATGAAATCGATGATGCACAGGACAACACCCAAGCTCGTGTGGTTTATGTCTTGCATCCCAACTGTGCCGTTGAAGAGGTATAACGCAGCGCAATGCAGCCATTCGTATACACTTCGAATCATGGAGACGGTCAAAATTACCCGCGAATTTTTGATTTGATTTTCCCATATCATGAATATCCAAACTACTGGCTCCATGTGACCTGTTCGATTTTTATGACAAGGTGTTGGATGTATTTTGGGGAAAGGTGCACTCGGCAGGCGAAATAAGGGGTTCGGATACGATATTTCATTGAATTGGTTCTCCTATAACCAACATAAATCATTGATATCCACAGAATATCAAAAATTATTTTACGGTTGCTAGAACCAATCATTTATACGTCGAGCAGGAGCCTTTGAGTACTCACACAGACTTTGTATTTTTTCTCGAATTTCATTAAAGCAATACACCCAATTGCAAACAACAATTCAAAAGCAAGGACCCTCTTAAAACTCCAAATCATCAAGCCCAATCACCAAAGGATAGCAAAGCAGAACCAGAGAAGGGGCGCTAAGGACAAGAAAAATGGCGAGATATCCAATGGAGGTTAAGGGCATATTGTCACCTTAAGCATGTAGAAGGGGTCAAATCACATGTGGCCTAAAAACCGGACTAAGTTTCATCAAATGAATTCAGTCTGTTGTCCTTATGAAACCAAAGCAACAAGGACAATGGAGTGAAAACCCAAAGGGGCAAAAGGATGGAAAATAGCCCTGGTGGCGCCCATATCTGCCTGTCAAGATACCGTGGTATCAGGCATCGTCATCCGCGATGAAAGCGAATCCATTCTCCCCATCTGGGTCTTCAGTAACACCAAAGATTTTCAGAATATCTTCCAGCGTGTCCCTGGAAGTGTATCCGTCAGCAAGGTTGTCTTAAAGGCAGAGCAATTGGATTTGATGAGTGAGCCTAACCTGGATGACAGCGCATCGTAACCAATCGTCTTTTCAATGCTAGTCGACTTTTCATGTTGGATCAGTTGAATTCGATCATCTATGCTGTTTTTCACAGAGATTCTGACTATTTCCACTTCTTTCGTTTGCCCATATCTGAAAAGACGACAGAACGCCTAGAGAAGATGACAAGTCAGTATGCAGCCATATTGCATGCATGATATGCACGCAAGGTCTTCCTACCTGTTGCTCAATAGCTTCATTCCACCACAAGTCAACTAGTATGCATTTATCTGCCATGGTAAGATTCAATCCTGTCCCTCCAGCCTTAAGTGAAGAAATTAGAACGCGAACTGTGGGATCAACACGAAACTCTTCGATATCTCGATGTCTCTCTGATGGCGGAGCATTTCCAGTAAGCTATAAGCACATTGCATATGTTAGTAAACTGAAACTAAAGGACTCATGGTTGGAAGAGCTTTATACCGTTGTATGGCCCCAACCCTGTTTTATACACATGTTGCTGAGAATTCGGACCATCCCACGGAATTGGGTGAAAATTGTGACTTTTGTACCAGGGGAATTCGTCAACCAATTTGCAACACACGACTGGATGGCGGTCAACTTGGCACTAGGCATCAGATGTCCAGCTAATGAAATCCAGTCGTTTTCTTCTTGATCTGTAATGCTCGTTTCGTTTCCTGATATCTGAACAGGGTGGTTTTGGCGTTCCAGAATGTTGTTATAGAGTGCTGGAAGGGACTGGTAGAAAGTAAACTCCTGGCCGGACGAGCTGCAAGAGCACAGGATCCCCTCTCCATCCCGAACCATGCTAGCAGAGCAGCTACTGCAATAGATATGCATGCAGGCTAAAATGTATGCACTATATGTGAGTGTCTTACATTTTGCACACTTCCTCAGGTCAGAGTTTAAGATCGAAGAATTCAAAAGCGACCTATATTTCTTGATAAGCACTTCATGCAAGGGGGGATTCACATCTACTTCTGCCCTCTTTTCTTCCATGACATCGTCAAGAGATGGCAAATGTCTATTCATGCGGAGACTATCGAATAGATGGAGGACTTCCAACTCATCTGGTGGGGCATCAGATCCAACAGATTCATATAGTCTGCCCATCACTTCATCAGTTAAGATGTTCTGTAGCATCTTATATGATAGAAGCATATGGCTCGTAAACATGCGAAGCCTGAGCAGCAGAGTCCACTTTCCGTTATAGCTATGATATGAACGAACGCCATTTTCATGATCATTCCCCCCTAATCAAATGTTAAAACATATGCATAACAGAGGTTGATTTAGACTCACCCAGATATGATTTTAGCACAAATGTAATAAGCTCCTTATACAAGAGCTTCTCCACGCGCCCGAATTGTATGTCTAAGGTGCTTTCGTCAACATCCGGAAGCTTCAAGATTGGAAAACCAAAAAGCGTTTCCGCGTGGGTTCGACGCAACATATAGCCTCGTAAAACGCTGGACAGCCGACTGTGATTGGCTTGGCCGTCCTAAGATCCTCGTCGTTAACTAATTTTGTCTAGACAAAGGCCTCGAAAAATACTGGCGTTACCGGGCAGTAGTTTCTACAAAACCTCTCGAAATTCCCTGTTTGCGGTATTTTAAGAAATTCAAAGTATGAGAAGAATTCAACGGCAGTGCTTCACATATTTCAGCCTCGAAGATCAAATAGGATAGAATTGGCTTCGTAAGGAACTCACTTGTGGATGGGCGTGCCGGTCATTACCCACCGAAATCGGCCTTGAAGCATGCGAATTGCTCTGCTTGTTTTTGACTCATGGTTCTTGATCTCGTGGGCCTCTATAGGGCAGTTAGTCTGATGGATAAGATTTAGATTTCAAGCCTTACCATCCAAAATAATGCGATGGAAATTGGTCCGATGAAGCGCACCACAATTTTGGTAAAAGATTTCCGTCCATTTGCCTTTTTGATCATTTTCTTTGACTAGATTTTGGGGAAGCTGAATGTCAGGATAAGACCTACGGACTTCAGTGTATGTTGTGAGTCTATGGCAGTTAGTCTTTTGCCAGGGCTGAAAAGAAAGCCCAAAAACTCACACAACATTGAAGTTTTGAACACAATGAGGGAATACATCATCAGGGATCCTTCTTGTTGCGTGGTGCTGAAGAACCTCGCCTAAAGCATGAGGTTTACAATGCTCTTTCAACTGGCTCATCCTAGGTCTCATAGTTACTATATCTTCAAATTGGATAGAAAGGGAGGGGGAATTTACCAGTGGTTTACTAAATGGGGTGGAACAACAATCAAAGTGGTGTTTGTTGAATCACTAGTGCCTGGTTTCCCATCCACCATATTGGCTGCCAAAGGGTCAACAATGGATCGCAGCATGGTGGTTATCCGTGCTTACCAATTGCTTGTATTGTTTTCCCAAAACCCATCTCGTCGCATAAAAAACCACCAAAAGGAGCTATTGCTGAATTCTCGCGGTCACGCTTTCTTTGAATTAGCAATTTTCCATCATGCAACTTCAAAGATAGGGCTAGAGAATATACCATGAAACCCACCCCTAGAAGCTTGAAGTCGGTCAGTTTTAATATCCATGAAGTTAAAGGGGTTCTCAAACCTGGTAATGAAATAAGCTAGTGTTCATATCTGGGTGGAGCCAGCCGCCATTGCCATCGGCTTTGGGCCTTCTTGTGAATTTAACAATAGCCGCCATTATAGCTTTTTTATCCGTAGTAACGACTTTTGGGTCCGCGTGTGGAATGCTGGCGATGAGCTCCTTCATAGCCTTATCCTTGGCCTTTGAGTAAAATGTAGGGATCCCTGGTTTTGAGACATTTGCCTTTGCAGCATTGATGATGTCTGATGAGAATAGGCTTTCAAAGTTCAGTTGACCGAATTGTCTTTTTTTGTTCCGTCCCGAAACCTTGGGTTTCCACTTTTTATCTTTGCTTTCGCCAGCCTGTTTTCGTTTTCGAACACTTTGGTTCTCAACCTGCGAGGCAGTATCAGCGTCTATCGGTTACGTACATACATACAGTCGTTTCCTAGAGTGAGGTAAGCCGAGAATATCAAGGCGCACCTTTTTTTCCTTGCTTCGCCGAAAAGCGTCAAAGCCCAATGCCGCATTCTCTCTTTTGGCCTTGCGCGCGATTTTGTTTCTAGCGTTTGCGTGTTTGCCTTTAGTCTCCGAGCACAGTGCAGATACCTCACCTTCTGCGGTCCCTTCAGGTTTACCTATATTTCCGTTGGAGGTGTCTTTATCATCATCCGAGCAAAATAGCTGATATTGCTCGCTAGTTATACCAGGTCCAAGGGCCGAATCAAGATCCAGCCGGGAACTCGGCTCTGAGGCTGTGCTAGCTGGTAATTCATGCTGCTCTTCTTTTCGACGCTTAACAAGGTTAAGGCGTTGTAGTTCCTCGTTCTCAGCCTTTTGGAACTGAAGCCGCTCTTCCAAGGTTGGGTTTCTTTTGGCCCCAAATTCTAATTTCAGTTTCTCGAATCTATGAATGCGTTAGAAAACTACGAACGTCAATGGAAACAGCACATACGCCTCGTTTTGTTCAGAGCATATATGGTCAGTATGGGCGGTATGGTCAGTATGGTCAGTAGGGCCAGTAGATGAGCCACCCATGGCACCCATTCTTTCTTGAAGCTGTTGACGGGCCTGCTCAATGGTCTCTGTTACAAAAATGGGGTTTTGCGCATTACTCCCGAGATCTGAAGGCATAGGGTCTGAATTAAAGTCGATAAGCGAAAGAATAGATTCTTGCTCCATCCCGAGAAAGGGTATTTCTTCGGAGACAGTAACCGGATTGGATGCCTCCATTTTCCAACAAGATATTGCGTAAAAAACGGAGTACGAGGCAACACAAAAGAAAAATTCGGTACCAATAGATAGCCGGTGTTGCTTGATCAAGTTGAGCAACAAGCATATAAATCAAGCTTGAGCTACTGGTTTAGTGATCCGAATTGAGCCGCAAGGACGTAGAAGAAAGAAAAGACAAGCTAGAAAGAGGCTCAATATTTATCTGATGAAGTATTGAGCGGATCAAGATGCGAGAGAAGCTGGGGCTAAAATGTTTGAGATTTCAAGGCAAAAAGAGCTTCAAGCATAGGATATGCTTGGAAGATATGTGTCTTCGGTGAAAGTCTGAGTAGAAAAGACACCTTGTTTGAAAAAAAAAAACCTCACTTGAGGTACAGCAACACGCAGGGAGGAAAGGTCAGGACAAGCTATGACCGAGAGCAAATCATCAAGGTTGGTGACAGTGCTAGGAATGTTAGTGTGTGAGTAAGTGACGGTTATCTGAGAGCAAGTTGTGAAGATAGTGACGGCTCTGTGAGGAGGTTCGAGTATGAGAAGAGGGGGAGAGAGAGAGAGAGAGAGAGATGCAAGGAGGTTGGAACTAGCTTTCTATATAAAGTAGGGCTGACTGTAACACGTGACTAACACGTGACGGAGATCAGACCAAAGTCACGTGCACATCAGCCGAGGTGCCGGGTTACCTAATCATGCGGCTCACCTCCTGCCCTTCACCGCCTCTTGGCCCCAGCGACACTTCTGGTCTCGATCGACTTGACGAGTCCTCCCCTCCATCTCCACATTGTTTCTCTGCAATTCACCCGTCTTCTCTGGATAATCGCCATTGAGGAATGTGCTGCTATCCCTTATGCAGCTTCTGAGTCACCTCCGTTCTTTCCAGTGATTATCGGCTGCTTTACATCTGCATGCTTCATGCTGTGATCATGTTTTGGTGTGTGGACGCGACCAGGGTGGCATTCACGCATTCTCACCAACCGGCGTATCTGTGAGGGTGATGCACAGCTTTGTCGATGCAGACAATGGGCTTTCGCTGCTTACCTGCTATTAGACACCACCTTCTTTTTGTCAGCCATCTCGACTAACCTTGTTGCTGTGGACGAGAAAGCAATACAATGTTAGGAAGGCTGTTGAACACTGCAGCTTCGGCTTTCAACGCTAATCCTCATGCCCCGCGTAACCTTGCTCAGCTTGAATCAGTGACAGAGGAAGAACATACCTCCGGCCTCTTGTTCCCGGATGTCACCACCCTCCAGCGCTCTGGAACCCATACATATCCGCTCCAGACCAGTTCGTTGCTCCCAAACGCAACCACGGCCAGCAGTTTTGATGATAAAGGTGGTCTGGAATTTGATGAGGCAAGGGACTTTCGGATCATTGTTGCCCAAAATGCGATGGGGGATCGCGATGAGCCCTGCATACTGCTCGATACTCAAAACCTTGCAGCGGCGGATAATACGTCTCGACCCTCCATCGGCATACAGCTAGCGGAACCGCCTCGCGGAAGACATTCCCGAAATTCAAGCTCTTCGCAAAATGTGCGAAAGCATGCGGCACAAGCTTCGCAGTCGTCCATTCCCGATTTGAACCCAAATGCATCGTTCGTCGACTCGAGAAATCGTGATTCCGGTAACATGAGCGCATTCCTTCGCGCTCGAAGCCGAAGATCCACATTCTCTACACTGACCGGCGAAGGCGATCATCATCATAATCGCGTATCTGGTGACAACAGCGACTCGGGTCTTTTGAACTGCATTTTTGGAAGCAGCGCCTTTAGTTACCGTGGATCGTCCACCAAAATGCACATAGTCCCGAATGGTGGAGAGTCGCCCTATGAGATTGGAAACCATCATACCCATGCGGTTCAAAGTCGACCGCATCACCAGCGATCCGAGACTTTTAGCTCCCACTCGAAACCGAGAATCATACCCCGCGAAACTAGCATGGCTGACCAGTGTTCATCACGCCCAACAAAAATGACTGTTCTTGTCACCAGGATGTTTAGCGTCAATCTTCCCGATAACCAAGTCTTAGCAACTGACAATTGTGAGCCTCAAATCTCGTCCTTCGCTAAGCTGTTTTACAATAACGATTCAGGCAGTAATAAAAAAAGGAAGATGAAGGAAAAGAAAACCCCAATGTTTGCCGTCGCCATCGCTGTACAGCTTCCGGTGACAATTCGCAATCATGGGAGACAACTCTCGCAGCAAAATCCTTGTGGTCAGGATAGACTGAGACCTGCAGGCCTCATGTCGACTTCTCTCGATTCCGACAAACGATGGAATTTGGCAGTCGACGACGCATCCACACATTTATCTACCACGTCGAATTTAGATGAGAGAATCGATGCACTAGTCGATTATTGGGATATTATTACACGCACGCTTTCTCACCTAGAAAAAGTGGCTAGCAAAGAGATACTTGCTCTTTTGAAGCAAGTCGACCTCCACACAGTTCAGCAGCCGAAGCCCGTAAAACAACCGCCAAATATGCAGAGGACTAATCAGACAATTATTCACCTACCTCCCAACAGCCTTGCGTACAACATGGAAGTTCGAGAGGAGACCTTGCGCGCGATTCACCGAGTCTCTCTCGCGTTCAAAATCCCTCATGTTGTGACGGGACAAAGCCGCTGGGGGGTTTGGAGAGATGAAGCCCGGTGGATTGCCAAATTTTTAAGTGAGAGAGAGCATAACTTTTTCTTTCTAGTCCTGATTACAGCATTTCTCGGAAATCATACAGATTGGCTTGGCTCTCTCGGCCCCGAGTGGCACAGGCGGCGGCATATCCTGCAACAAAAGGCACAGCAAGATAACGAGCTCAACATTCCTAATAGAACTGTTATCATTTCCCCCTGTAAAATGACGGCAAGACGATTGATTTTTGTTCTTTCTGCTTTTTTGCCAGCCCAGCAGCGCCCTGATACCCTATCGTCGCCATTCCGCCCGGGCACTTCAACCTCTTTCCGTCAAACATCCCAGAGTCCTCCAAATCCTCAGATTTTTCGACGAGAATCACTCCGCCGAACCCTTAATAGGCGTGCTAGAACTCGTAACTTTGTCGAAGAACATGCGAATTTCAAACGGTCCGCGAGTGTTTCATCTAACGAAACTACCAATGTCGTCGCGGATGAGCTAGAGTTTATGAGCGTCTCGACCCGTCAAATGCGACGCGACTCCGATGTTCGATCTATCAAAACTGCTAGCCTTCCAATCCCTTCGAATGGTATGAGCACACGAAAAGGCAGCACAGCGATTGCTGCCCCTGCAATCCCTGGGACCGCCACACCTGTGCCACATTTTGCCTCGCAACGGGGTCCTCGACCACGAGGTCCCGCCAGTGGGCAGCCGGAGAACATTAGTGCAGCCTCCGCAAATCTAATGCAAACTCTCCGCCGAAGCGAAAGCTCCAACACTTCCTCGGGTGGTGATTATCTACCACCCAGCAGGTGGGGAAGCTTGCTTTCCAATATTTGGAGTTCGCGAGAAACTTCTTCAAATAGTAAAACCTATACTCATGCACCCGTTCGTCAGCAAGGAGCAGATTCTTCATTGCCCACTTCTCCCATCTCAACTCTCGCAAAAATGGCAGCAGAAGTGGCGAGTGATTCTCAGAGAAGCCCTCAAGCCACTGATAACTTGGGTTTGCCAAGCTCTTCTGCTCCCAGTACTGATGACGCGAAAAGCACTGTGGAATCATCCCTTAAACAACAAGGTCTAGACGGTCATTCCCCTGCGTCTCCAGTGAAGCTTTGTGTGGAGGGGAATGACGGCGTCGTAGATGTTGAAGTTCCTTTGCCTGGCTTTTTATCCTTTTCCTCCTCAAATGATTCCGCCATCATTTCTCCCCGAAAGGCTCGTACTTCGATCACCAGTCTTGACGGCGGGCCCTCATTTCAGAATGACGGATATCAATTCACAACCACCCAAAGGGACTATGAACGGCTTAACCTCAATGTTGCCGGTTGGCTTAAACGTTATCACGAAGACTTCGTTCTCCAGGCAGTTAGACCTTATCCAGCACTAGAAGCCGACGTTAAACGCTCTATGTCCGCAGAACCAACTCCAAGTCACCTTCTCGCTGCAATGACGTCCATTCCCGATGCCTCGGGCTACTCCGAGAAGTGGGTAGACGTTTGTTCGACTTTAATTGCAGACACTACTTCATCAACAGTCAAACGACTGAGATTACGCCGGAAGATATCTACTACTAAGCCTAGCTTGGCATTTCCTACTATCTCGCCTTCGTCTGGACGCAAGACGTCATTTTCTGCAGCCTCCTCTGTTTCTGACCCGACCGCATCGAGCTATGTCGAATCTCGCTTCATTGAAGAAGAGTTTATCGAAGAACCAGTGATGGATCTTGATGGAACGCTTGTTGATGCTGTTGAGCGCGTGTTGGCGCGATCTGGGCCGCCATCCGCCAACCATTCCAGAACCGCGTCTCCCAATCGTGGCCGCAGAGGAAGGCCCGGACCTAGTCAACTCGGTGACAGACAGACTATTGATGCCAACGCAAATGCACCCGAGACTCAAACGATCGAAGTTCCACGGAATGAGTGCCGCCGAATGGTACTAGGCGCTTTGGAGGAGGTTGTGAAAAGCGTTACCGCCGAACGTCACCGAGAAGATTCAACCTCAAAACTGGATGGTTCAGATGTCAAGAAGCCATCCCGTACGACGAGAAAAGGGATCGGCACTGTTGCAGATAACACTTTGAGAGAAGGCATCCGTAAATGGCTAATGGATATTGAAGAAACCTGCTGATGTAGGGGCTTCTCTCTCTCCTCACCAAAACTTACTTTACTGCTTTGTCGTCTACCCCCAGATTTGTTATTGTCGCACTCCACGGTGCCTTTATATTTTCCAGCCCTCCCCAAATGGAAGCACTGCCAATTCTCAGAAATGTGCTATGGTGAATAGAGAACCCGAGCAGTAAATTAGCGATGACGGTGGCAAATATTTCTGGATATAATTTTCAGATGCACAAGCAGCACTCCCTGGTAACCTAATCCCTGGCGACGTCTCCCCTCAGTAATTCAGCTTTCCCGAGCTTTAGTCGCCTCCAGAACATAGCGGCTAGGTTTTTGCTCATCCTACTTTACTTTTTCACTTTTACCTCCTTGATACCCCATTTTCAGTGTGATCAATTCCTTCTTCCTGCCTTTTGACACATTTGAGAGCTGTGCGGTGGCCCATTGTCACTCCAGCCAATTTAATTTAACTGTTTAATCCTTTGAAATATTGATAAGGAACGAGCATTCTTGCTTTCATTCACTCTCGCCGTATACGCGGTTTTACCTCACGGCGAATTTTCGGCCTCTTGATACCCTTCTTATCTACGTCGCCGAACGTTTTCAAGTCACAAACATTTGATTATCAGCTTAACTGACGAGGTTGATGACTTATTCTTTTCTTCATGGGCAGTGTTTCAAGATTTTCTTCTTGGGAAATCATCTTCTTCCATGACTCGAGGTCCTTTTTTCTCCAGTTTTCTTTTTCGAGCTATATCTCTCGGGGTTCCGTCACGTTTTCTGCCAGCTTTAGCGCTGAGTTTTCAATTGTTGCGTTCCCAGATTCAGGTTTGCAGTATTGACTTTCTTCACTGGGGGAGTGAGAACATAGTGATTATAGCGTAGCATATCATGCAAGGCATTAGATAGGGCCTAGATGGATGCATGCACATGGAGAAATTCAAATATTCATTTCACAATTCATCCTAGCTACTCAACCATCTGAATGTGACAAAGAGAGGGCGTGGAAAACCGCATAGAATCCTGTGTTCATTTTTTACGCCACATAGACTTTCTAAACAAAATCATACCAGTATGTATACCCTCGACTAACGCCAACAGATTTCCCTCGGTATATCAGAAACTCCATTTCCAGCTTATTTTAGTACCAAAGGCCGAACCGATACCCCAGAGTGAGGTGTGCTACGCCCCACGAGACTGATATTCAGAGCGTTCACATTGGTTTACCGCATGGCTTATCCACTTCCAACCGTCTAGATCATCAATCTCTCGACCTTAAGCTTGATATTGCGGATCTGTGCTGTCAAGTCACTAGCCTCGTTCGTAGTGATGCTAGCCGCAATCACAGCGCGACTCACACCGCAGGCTCTGCCCAGGGCAACTATAAAATCACGACAACAGTTAGGAAATCAAGCATCGTCAAGGAGAGAGGGAGGGGGGGAATGAATTCGCGTGCATACCTTTGCTAGGCACATAAACATATGGGGTGTTCTTGTCCTCGCAAAGCAGGGGAAGGTGAAGGAGGATGGCAAGAGGAGAAGTATCAGCAGCCAAAATGATCAGCTCCGATGTTCCACGGTTAAGAGTCTTGGTTGCTACATTTCCACAAAAAGTCATCGGTTAGCTCGAGCGCAAAAAAAAGGAAGAAAAGAGGGTGAACGAGCCCGTAGTGAAGAGGCGTCCCCCGACGTACCTTCGTTAGCTCCCTTCTTCAGCTGACGGTAGTGGGAGGCCTGCTGGACGAGATCAAGGAGTTCAGTGGAAAGAGCTTCATCGGCAATGGGCCAAGCTATATGTTCGCAGATGCAAGTTACATACGTTAGTCAAAATTGTCGTCAAAACCCCCTGCGGGCCATCCAATCGTCACGACACGGATGCAGCTCGACAGCACTGGGGAGCGGATAAAGAGGCCATACCTGCTGATTGTTCATTCGCCATGTTGAAAAGGTCCTTGTAGGATGCGTCGCAATGAGCAGTGTGGCTGGGGCTGTTGGAATCTCTCGAGATGCTGGAGCTTCTTTTCTTTCTTGATGCTGTTTTATCGTGCGGCTTGAAATTTTGGCATCACTGTCACGTGGTCCCAGCTTATGTCAGCCCCCGACTGAAACGACATCCATCTGGCATCAGACCTCTCTCTCTCAAGGGTGATGGGCTAGTTACAGGAAGTGCAATTTGAAGTCTGGTTTATTCAGTGGGCTGTTTGAGAAACATGCTGAGCACCTTATTTCGGAATTACACAACGCTAACTAGTTAACTGTTCGACCACATCGAAAACCGGAGTTTTAAACCTTGGGTGCCCGAAGTCATTGACTGCTAGCTAGGATCCGATGGTCGTTCCGAGTGTCCGTGAACCCGATGTTGGCATTAAGAACGAAAAAAGGTATCCGAATTTTGAGTGGTCATCAAAACCTGCCGCAGTCCTGGCCCATGGATGTGGAACTCAGATGCCCCAGCAAGATGTGTCAATCGCTTCGAAACAGGACGGTTGATTGTTTCAATCTCGTTCAACAAAACGTCATGATTTACATCTGCTGAAATCATCTCGAGCAAATAACAGCCGTCGTTCTACCCGCTTTGTGGATACTACTATCAGCTGCAAGAGGACGAAGGGAAATCCTCCGAGTTCTACATGGTTCCCGCGCCAGAGTTGCAGCCTCAGGAGATCCGTGCGCCCTTTTCTTTGTTAGATGGGCAAGGTTCGAGTCCACACTATCCTACCTCTGATCGCAACGTCCTAGATACGTGGCGAAGACAGGCGACGACAGACAGTAGCGTGGCGGGAGAATTTGAACTAGATTGTAGGAACGGCATTTTAGCACACAGTATCGAATGGCATTCTAGGTCAATGGCGCTTCGCGGATGTGGAAGCTTATCCTCGGGCACAAATTGCAGTTTATCTGCGCTTCGTCCATTTCTGAACATTAGAGAACGCACCCTGGAGCAATGGTGTGCTGAAAATCTCCGCACCGGGCACAGTTCTATGCCCCCCTCTCTGCGCAACGGTTGCTTTGATTAATGACCCAAAGAACATCAATATCTCCATCAAGATGCCTTTGGCAAGTCAGGTTTCCGCAAGTCTCACCCTTGATCCACTAGCAATGAATCTTCAAGTGAAGACCTTGACTCAAACAATAATGATTTTGGCAACATATCGAGATTCCAGGTGCCCTAGCATCAATGATATTCAGCCCACAGCGAATCATCAAGGGTCTGGGCCGTTTCCCCGCACAGTTCGACTCCCTGCTTGGTCTGTCTAGATCAAGCGAGGTCGCTCGACCTTGGGAATATGAGCACCATTAATCGCTGCGATTTAGTTCAAGGATCTCTTGATAGAATCAGGAACGACTATTATCAAATGGCCTTTGAAAACACAGCTCACAGCGCGTTACCCATTTCAGTCCCCTGTAGATACAGGTACAGATGCATGCAAGTATATATATCTTTTCCATGTCTGACACGAACATATATATGCATGCGTTCGTACATACCCCAAGAACCCTTTAGCTCGGGCGGAAACGTCGGTGGAACCGAGTTACGTGGATTCCAAAAAGGCTCCGAACCGACAAATCTTACAGGAATCAACGATTTCCGTCTTCCCTAATCCGCGCTGATTTACTCCGTACATTTAGAACCTTTACGACAAACGTGTCCGCTCGTGTGTCCGCTTGTGAAGGTTGATGCAATTATGGCGCGTGGTCCGATGCATGGTACGTGTAGTTCCGTGATACCCATGATCTCTCTCCAAATCCCAATCCTTTCTCATATCATTCCCAACTGCCAACCCCTACGGATGCTGGGGGCATCGAAAAGGAGCTCAACCCCCTGGTCCCTGCGCCCCCCTCAACAGATAGACATGCAACAAGATTGGACAATAACACCCCAGGCTAGCCCGGGGTCCGTGGGCAGGGAACACACGGAGGATCTGGTACCCCATTCCCTTCCTCTGGACCAAACTAATGACTTGGCTTGCAGGGCTTGGGGGAGAAGAGATCTTTGCGGATCGGATTTGTCAGTGGAACCGGTCAAGCCTACTCGCCTTCTAGAAAGACGCAAAGAAGGCTGTTCTTTCTTTTTTGCCTTCAACCGTGCGCAAAGGGTTGATTTCCAGTATCAAAAGGTAGGATTCTTATGAAGTCTTGAGGGAACTAAATGTCCTTTTGTTACCAACCAGCACATTTGGAGCTCATTGATTGGGCTAGAAATAAGGAAATCATTCCGGCCTCCATATATTAAGGTACTGTTAAAGGTAGATATTGGCATCTCGAGCAGGGTAGCAATCGAATGTCGCGATTAGCCGCTGGTAGCAATGGAACTATCCCATCGCCTTGACGGCTTCCCGTCCCCTGACAGCTGGCTGATGCGCGTACGGACGGATAAAGCTCCGGATCTAGAAGTTCCTGGCGAAAGACGGCGTGAAAAAACGAAGAGACCGTTGTCCTAGAACCAACTTGTTCACACCATAAAATAAATGAACCGACCTGATTCAGTCCCATATGAACCTGCAATTTTCGCTCACGCGGCACACGCACACACCCAGCATTTCGAAATTTGATCGGTTGTGTATATGACAGCCTTGGAGCCATGCATCTTATCACAAACCTCTTATCCCAGAGCTTCCGTTGCACAAAACCATGATGGAAAGGGCTTTTGGGAGCCTGAAATGCAAAAGCAGCAAAAACTCAGGGCCAACAGCTAAGACATAGAATCAGTCGATCATGATCACCTTTATCGTATCAGACTCTTGACGCCACGCAGACCAAAAGCAAATCATGCACGCAGGTGAAGAATTCGAAACCAACACCAACTTTCTTCACACACGATGACGTCCTTGCATATTTTTTCCGCTTGCGCGTGGCCTTCGCCTCGGCTCGTACAAGAATTCAGCCGTCGAAAATGAGCAAGCTGGAAGAGGACTACCCAGGCCAACTTTTACATCGGGTTTTGCGTTGGGTGTAAGCGACTGGGCCGGCCGTTCCGCTTATTGGGGATTCAAGCAAGGTGAGCAGCAGCATAAGCTTGCATGCTGGCGGGCGAAAATGAGTTCTGGTTGGCAGATTTTTTGGTATGGAAAAGGCCAGCAAGAAGCCCTGTAATCTTAGCGACGAAGCTGAGATCCCGCGCAGTTTCTACGCGAGCGAGATGGATGGGCAGGATATGGCTCGCGGGAGCTTCAGGTTAGATGGGTTACCTTCACTAGGGGGTTACATGTGGTTCCCCGTGTGGCGTCTCGTCGAGAATGAAATTTCTTCTCTCCTTTCTCGCCTTTGCTCTCTTCCTTTGCTGCCATCGGCCATTGCTTCGCTTCCGGTCAGCCACTGACCGACTTGTTGATAGCGTGGGATGGGAAACGGGTTTGGAGGCCTCAACGGTTGGCCATGGGGTCCGAGACGCAAATTCAGTTCGGCATCAAAAAGAATCGGGCCGGGTTTTGTGAACTTGACGAGCTCCTTTCTGTTTGGCCAGTATTCCGGAGTGGCTGCAGCCAAAAGAACGCGAAATTGTGATTCGACCCTCGGCAATGCTTGGTTCGTTTAGCGTCCGAAAACCCGGCTGCATGTCCTGCGGGCCGGTTGGAAAGAAAATTTTCTCATGGTCATGTTGAAATACGGTGTTCACGGGGAACACGCGCATTTATTATTCAGGTCAGACATAATCAGCTTGTGAGATACGATTCCCGCTTGGCGGGATGATGCATGTATCCTTGCGAATTTTTTTTGGAAAGGGAAGGGGAGGCAGAGCTGTCTCTTCAGGGTTGTGCCGATAACCTCGTGGTTCGCAAGGATTTGGGAGCAACAGTATGTGCACACAAAATGCCAGAGAGTCGAGAGCGGAAATGTGCTTGGGCGGCTGGGCCCGTGGCGATGCATCCAGCGACTAGGGTCACGGAACAGCAGGAGCTGGGGGAGAGAGAGATGGTTGACAGCTGGAATGCGGGAGCTGGGATAAAGTCGAAACCCAGCAGAGTAGATGGGAGAACGCCACGGAGAAGAGGGCAAATCAAGAAGGTGAAATGTTTGGTTTCAACCAAATAGACGGAGTAATCCTTCATGCAATTGAGAAGGGGAAAAAGAAGAAAAAGAAAAGAAAGGCTTTCGGTCGTAAAGCAAGGTAGCAGTTTTGGAGCAATCTCCCACATAGACAAAACCCCTGCTCTTAAAGGGCCCTCAATAACCGACAGCGAGACAAGGGGAGTAATAGTTCTTTGTCTCTGGGGGTTCTCTTTGGCGCCGGTGGCTTTCCAGTTGCTGCAAAGCGGCCCAGGGGTTCGATGCACGGAATCGTTCGAGAGAAGTAACTCTGTGCGTGCGGTGAGCTCGAGCCCGTGCAAGGTCTCTTCTCATAAAGGAAGGAAAACGCCGGAGGGCAAAAAGGCGCAAAAGACAAAGAAGGGAAGATGAAACGTGTATGGAGTACCAGGCGCCGGCAGCCCGTGGCCACGGGCATCCACCGGAACCGAGTGCACAGGAGCGGCGCGTGAGACGCAGGAAAGAAAGGCAGCGGGATGCGTGGACACGGACGGGGAAGAAAGGCGACCTTGCATTGCCCACATGTATATGGGCGTCTAGAGAGGAACACGGTCGTTGGGAGGTCACGTCGCGGATGGAGTATTATAGCCGGGGGTTTCTATCAGATGGCTTGGATGCGGTGAGAGAGCGGTGCTTGTAGTGCTGTCAAGCTCTGATCCGGCATCTTCTCACTATGTAGCTACTGTACATCCTCTAGACGCCGAGCAGATGAGAGGATTCTTGCCCATAGACTGTCCGTTGCTTGGATCTACAATTATTGGGCGTCTCTGTCGTCTGCCTTCCCCTGCTCTGCTGCATCCTTGAAGCCAGCAAGCGATAACAGTTGAGCAAAGACAGAAACCCCCTTGTTCAGCCCCCTCTTGTCCCTTTCTCACCACAAGAAACGGACGAAGAAAAGCACCGACGATCTCGAACTCGTCAAACACGCCCCAGTGACGTGCAGCTTAACGCAGAGGTGCTCCACGATCGGCCCCCCGGCCGGACCTGGGGAAGACAGAGTCGCCTGAAACTCACCAGCCGATCGGGAGTGGTGGTAGAGAACAAAGGTTCCTTCAGACGGCGCATGCAGAGATATGTTGGGCAGCTAAGGGCTGGGATTCGGCTCGTATCTCGTTTGACAACCGAGGGCAGCTTAAGAGACGGTGATAATTTTGACAAGACGTGAAGGAGCTAATAGCTTGACTAGTTAGTTACTGCTGCAGAAGAGGTGTTAGTTAGTGAGATGCTATTTGGCGGATCTCATCGACGGCACCGACGGCGACGAGGACGAACGGCAGGACAAAGCAAGAGAGAGAGTGACACACGGCTTCCGGCTTGGCGAACGGGGATATTTCGCGAGTGAGTGAGTGTGTGAGAGAGAGAGAGAGAGAGAGAGAGAGAGAGAGAGAGAGAGAGAGAGATGTGTCTTTTGCGGTCATACGACAGATGAAAACGTCCATCATTGCGCGAGCCGATCGGTGGAAAAGCACTGTGGACGATCTCGTTTCTTTTACAAGACTCTCGGCAGTGCGAGGATGATTGCGCATTTCTTTTCTGCGTTGAATTTCGTCTTTTACAGTATTCCGATTGGATTCCCTTGATCTCTGCCGCAAGTAGAGTACACTGTACAGCCCGCACTCGGTCAATCGTGCGTAGATATTCGCCAGCCCGGCCCCCGTCTTGCATCCTGGATCTTAGCACAGGCCCGTTAATTATCCTAGCAGGGCGTTATTCTCCGTTGTATTCACTACTATCTCTGCCCCACAGCCTCTGCTCCTTGTTCCCGGCCGTCGCTGGCCAGAGGAACCGGAGCCATGCCGCCTAGTCTGTTGGTGCGCCCAGCCGCCGTTCGGATGCGCAGCCAAAAAGCAGTTGGGTTTTCGCCTGTCGGGATTCCGTCAAGAGGCCGGCCGTGGTCTTCCTCGGTAGATGAGAGAGAGAGAAGAGTCCAGCATCTGTAGTTCTCTAGACCGGGTCTTTATTTCAAACCGAGCAGGCATCTCTCTCTTTGTCAAGAAATAATAAATCGATAGTTCCAATACGACCTTGCAAATCCTCCGAACCCGGATGATACTAGCATCTTCTTATTTAGCTTCTCTTGCCGTCTCCCGAGCAGCTTGATAGCAGAAGAAGCAAAGAAGAGCGCGGCATCTTTCATAACCACTCCCTTGCGACGAATTGACCACGGCCTCTCTCTCTCTCTCTCTCTCTCTCTGTCTGTGCCGAATAGCTGTTCCCCTCCTGGTGTTCATCCCGAGGCCCCGACGTGGACGCACTGAGCGCCATGTGCATGCGACGACGAGGTTGACCGGCGCATTCTCTGTGGCGGCTGGCTCTTTGGTTTTATCTTCTTTCTTCGGGATCATCAGAAACCAGGACAATCCCTTCCAGCTGTCTATCCAAGTCCGGCTGATAGGATTGCCTTTGTGCTGAGCCAGCGGCCTTGTCTGCGATTGACTGTTCCTCGAATACCCATTTCTTCTCTACATTCTCCCTCTCTCTCTCTCTTTGTTACTCTTTGTCACACGGCAACTCCCTCTGGTCGAGGAAGCCCGCGAAGCGTGTGGCCATCTCGCCGGCAAGTATCACACGCGGGCCAAAAGAAATGCCCGCGACGTGAACGAGAAACGCGCTCTACTTAATCTCGCTGCAGTTGGCTCGACTGTGTGCTGTTCTCCTCGTCTATTCACACATCTTACACGTCTCACACATCTCCCTTCTCGTCTCTATCAGCCTACGCAACCACCATCACCGTGGAGAAGAAAAAGGACCCGCCCGCACTGAAGATGCGCTCGAGCATTGCTTGCTCCCGCTGCCGGCGGAGCAAGATCAAGTGCGTCAACGCGGGCATCGACACCACCTGCCGGGCGTGCGAGTCTTCAGGCCGCGAATGCCTCTATCCCACCCCGGCCACCGGCACCGCTGGCGCTGCCGCCGCCGCCAAACGAGACCTGGCTGCCATGGCCGACGGCGACGAGCGCAACGGCGGCTGGGAGAGCCCCAAGCGCCACCGTTCACGCAAAACCGCTGCCGCCGTCGCCAACGCCAAAGACGTCAAGGCGAGCAGCGGCCCTCCCGTCCTGGACGCCGCGCTGCTCACCGTCAAGGTCTGGGAGAGCCTCTTTGACCTGTTCCAGCTGCACTTTGCTACCATTCTACCCTTTCTACATCCCACCACCTTTCTCTCGCAGATCCGACAGCTGTCCGCCAACCCGACGCCCACCGCCGACACCAACCCCAACCAGCAGCAGCAGCAGCAGCAGCAACCCGCCAGCAGACACTCCCAGAGCCCCGCGCCGCGATCAGAGCCGTCTCCCCTGATCCTCCTGGGCGTCCTGGCCCTCACGGCTCGCTTCCACCCGCAGCTGGCCCAGCATCACTCGCCCTCCTCGCCCGTCAGCCCGTGCAACCCCCTCGCCGCCTCGGAATTCTACGCCAACGCTCTGCGCGCCCGCCTCGTCGGCAACGACGGCTCCGAGCTCGCAGTCACGGACATCAGCCGCGTCCAGGGCCTGCTGATGCTCGGCCTGCACGACTGGGGCATGTGTCGCGGCACCAACGCGTCCATCTACGTCGGCATGGCCGTCAGGCTGGCCCAGGCCATGGGTCTGTCCCTTGAGCCCGAGCAACATAGCGACCGCTTCTCGCGCCGCAGCTCCATGCACTCGACCCTCGACCAGCGGGATCCAAACAACTCCGACGACGTCATCGAGCAGGAAACCAAGCGCCGCACGTTCTGGAGCTGTTTCATCCTCGACCGGTGTCTTAGCGGTGGCCGCCTCCGCCCGCGGATGATCAAGGTGCGGGATGTGGGGATCCAGCTGCCGAGCGACAATGCGTTTGCGTTTGGGGAGCGGGTGCGCACCTCGCGGCTGAGCGAGAATGCCGGTAACCGCCGATCGCAGAGCTTTGAGCCTCGCGTCGTCATGCCCGTTCCCGGGGTGCGCCAGCACGCCGCCGTCGACGACTTGAAACTGCGCGCGAACGGCATGGCGAATGACCCGAAGCAGTGGTCGAATGCCAGCCATCGCAGCGACGGAGCGGAAAATGGAATCGACCGCTGGGAGGTGGGTGCCGAAGAATGTGTTTTGAGCCGATTAATACGGATTCTACGCATCTGGGGCAGCATTGCGAAATGGTCTTGCGCTGGTGGGCGAAGGTGAGTGTTTGAGATTTCCTATCAGCTCTGTGCAACCCCAAATCATAACCAAAAGTGCTAACTATGGGGATAGATTTGATCAGTATCCTCCGTGGCATCCCGAATCGCAGTTTCACCGGCTCAAGGAGCTGCTCATCGAGTTTCAAGAAGGCCTACCGCGCAACCTACAATACAGCGCCCGAAACACCGATACTCACATCATGTACAAGAACACCCTGGCTCCGTATTCGCTTATGCACATCATCTACTTTCTCTCCGTCATCGTCCTCCACCGGCCATATCTCCAGTTCCTACCTCTACGCGCGATGGACCCGCAGGGACCGCTGGACGAGCCATCCTTTCCGCCCGACCGGTTCCATGTTCCCGACGGTTTCTGGAGAGACGTCGCCCGGGAAGTGTTCCGCGCCTCGCGCCATCTGATCGAGCTGGTCAAGACTTGCGACGACCGTGGTGTCCTGATGGAGACGCCGCTGGTTGGGTTCGCCATCTACAATGCTGCGTTCGTGGGCGTCTACGCGGCTCACTTTAGCCACATGGACCAGGAAGGTTACATCTGCTCCAAGTCCAGCTCCACCGACATCATGCCCGGCCTCGGCGGTCAGGGGCAGGCGGAGATCCGCAAGGCGATCGAAATCCTGGGGGCGATGAGACCGCGGCTCCCGATGGCTGTGGGTTGGTTCCGCACCATTCACCGGCTGCACACGTACTTTGCAAAGGCGAGACAGGACTACCAGCGGACGGCACGGAAGCTGGAGGCGCCCAGCTGCAATGAAAATAGTAAACTGGCGCCCGGTGGGAATCCGGACGAGCTGAGATTGCTGGAGAAGCTGCTGTCCGACATGGGCGTTGCAGAGGATCAGGCACCGGATGCAAACGGCGTCAGCGATGAGCCTGTTGCGCCCCCTGTCAACGGCGCCGAACACAACGGCAGCGATGCCGCAAGCAATCACGTCAAGAGCGAAGCTGGCGACGCGGCAGAGGCAAACAGCGACAATCTCCCTCGGCGCGAACCCTGGGTGCCAGTCAACGGCTCGTCGCACGAACCAAGAGAACCGGACCGGCACGATGGCACCGTCCTCCGCCCCATCGAAGCCGAGCGCTGGGCCAATCTCCCAGGCCCTCCAGCACCGCCGTCATACAACCTGCCCTCCATCCACCACCACAGCCTCCCACCAGCTTCCGGCGCGCCTCCACACCCAGCGTCGGGCGTATACGCCTCCTCGCCGGCACCCGCTCCGTATCTCCCCTCGACAAACCGCCTGCAGCCCCTTCACCCCTGGCCCAGCGCCCGCCAGCCACCACCTCCTCCATACTCACAATCCCTTCCCGCCCTCAACGCCGCCGCGCAGCAAAACTTCCCCATGCCCCCTCTTGCCACCATGCCGCCCCATGCGCCCCCGCCGGCGCTCCAGCTCCATCATCACCACGCGCACCTCACGCCGTCGCGCATGATGTCCCCGCTTCCTCCTGACTTGTGCACGAGCGCGGCGTGGGTGGGCAGTCTGGGCGGCGACGATGTGATTGCGTTTATGGACGGGGAGGGCGTGGAGAAGTGGTCGAGGGGAGCGGCGATGGCGCAGGCTGGTGTGCAGAGTGGATGGTTGACGATGATTTGGGATGGTTATGGCCACTGAAGGAAAAGAAGAGGGAGAAACAGGATGTGGTCTGGGTTTGTTTGATTAAAATTGTTTTCCCTTGTTTTTCATGTGTACTACGATATGGGGGCTGGTGCATTTTTTTTTTTTCTTATGGGCTGGCGAGATCGGTCAAGGGCATATTATCCTTTGTTTTCTTCTTCTAAAAAAACGGGCCGGACTGCGGCAGAAGCTCTGCTTGCATGTTGTTTTGTTTTCATACTTTTGTACACCTGGGGTGCTGGGATGGCAAGATCTCAATTCTTTTGCACTTTTTTTATTTGTTCTCCGCTTGTCTTTGTCTTTTGTGCTTTTTACAGGAACGGACATGGGAATGGGAATGGGAGATGGAACGGAAGGGATCTATCTGGACCGGCTTTCTTCTTCACTTTTTGCGATCTGGCTGATGTTATTGTTTGAATGGTTGTTGCGATGTATACTTATTTCTCAGAGCGCTCTGTCAACTGTATGAGTTCATGTATTCTTTACTCTTTCTTGTGGTGAATGAAGAATACACAATTCAATTGCATTGCTACAACGATCTATATCCTTCGGCTCCCTCCGCCTCTCATCCCGAACACCACCGGCTCGGCACCGAAAATCCTTCAAATGCAAGAAAAACAGAGAAAAAAAAAACCTAAACGGGAACAAACAAGCCGAGTTTCTCTTCTCTTTTTCTCTTTTTCCCCACAGCGGGAACTTGACCTCCATCTCTCCCTTTTTTTCACAAGCAGAAGGATGATCACTAGATCAGCAGTTGCCCTCCCCCACCGACATCGGTTCCCTCCCCGCCCCATGGTTCGGCTCAAACAGCTTAGCCGAGATGAACAGCAAAAGTTCCGCCCAGGTTCCCGAACCCGTTTTCTGTTCAACAGGCGAGAATCGGGGAAAGGGTCGAGTGCTGGGAGATAGCTAGGGAGTAGCCTAGAAGAGGGAAAAGAAAGAACAAGACGAGCAAGGATGATGACCGACATGAGATGCCCTGGCTGGTTAGCAGGGATTCCCAGACGAAACCTTTTTCTTGTGCATTTGAAACATCTGATCCCGATCAGCTGCCTCTCTCTGGATTTACTGCTACTGGCATCGTCGTCGTCGTCGTCATGATAATCCTTTTTCCCCCTTTTATCCACCTTGTCCCGAATTAGGTTTTGCGGGGAGATGATCGCGGGAGAAAGAGAGAGAGAGAGAGAGAGATCAGGCGCTGTATTATTCTCATTCCGAATCCTCGCTAACCGCACCATCACATGGAATTTATGGTTTTTCTAGTAACTACCTTGCACATGCTACTATTATTACTATTATCAAACGGCTTTCCTTCGCGTCAAGGCCGGAACGTCGCCGACCGAAACCTCAGCCCGAGCTAACTTCCCGCCGAAACCCTGCTTTCCCGCAAGGTCTCGAATCGTCTTTTTCTTTTGGGGGAACCCGTTTTGAATCCTGCCTTTCCGTGGCCCACAATCTGGTCTCCGAGTGACGAATATAGCTTTGTCGTCTGATCAACTGGCAAGGTAGTTTGAGGGACATCGGCCGGGTATAGAGATTGGATGTGGATTGGTTCTGGCTTGCCGAGACCGTTTTTGGCGATGGGGACCTTGAGCAGCAGCGGGACTGGGCGTGTTGAGGGGGAGGGGGGTTTGATGGGCTGTGTTTTTTGGCGGTTGTCGGTTGAGATCGGTTGCCGATTTGGTGATCTGGCTTTAGACCGGGGAAATATCAAACATTTATCAATAATTCAATACTGGGCATGGGCTGCAATGACGGGTACCTTCAAAGAGGGATTTGCCATGGGATCAATACAACAATGTCAAGAAGAGCCGGTTCCGGTTGGGTCGGATTTCGCAGGGTAAAACCTATGACGAGCCGTTTTAGTTTGAAATCTGATCCGCCGCTCAAAAGGATAGCTTACCATGCAGCCACAGAGATGATCAGGTATAATGTCATCAGCAACACTCCTTCCAGCCAGTGTGATTTGCCGTCTTGGATGAGGTAATTGACCTGTTGAAACACCTCGAGTCAGCAGAGGCAGCGAGTCTGGCGCTGGAATACCCCGTACCAAAAGGACAGACACGAAGAGCACAGCCACCTGGAATCCGTCAAAGTACAACGTCTGTATGAATGGGTTATCAGTGACTCCTTATTTCCTCCCAGAAGAGGGACTTGCCATGTTGTCCTTGCCTGCCAGCGACGTCAGCATAACTATATCAATGATTCCTTGCGGATGGAAAACGCACCTGCAATCCATCCAATCACAACAATCAATGGAAGAACCAATAGGGCAATCTGCATACTCGATCCAACGGCGACGCCAATGGACAGATCCATTTTGTCCTTCACCGCGACGGTAACCGCCGTAGCGTGCTCTGCGGCATTCCCGACAATGGGCAGCAGGATCAACCCGACAAATGTTTCAGAGATGTGGCCTCGCGTTGTGATGGCGTCAATCGACGAAACCTTCATATATGCCAGGTCAATACTTATACCCGCATTTGCAGCCAGAGGCAAGTACATACCAGTGCCTCAGCACAGACTCCTACCAATGCGGTAGATGCCGCGAGCGTGAACAGAGCAACGAAAAGATGGAGTTCTGGCTCCTCCGACTCCTCCTCTGGAGTGTGTATCGGCACCCTCTGCGCGTTGTGCCCGCCCATACTTGCAGATATCCCAGCGCCGATCTGCGCAATCCCCTTGATAGCATCTCCGCTTTCAATTTGTTCTCTTCGCCTGGCGACCTTTTCGCTCGGCTTGTTGTACATTTCCGTGTGAGATTTCAGTTGGAAGAAAAGATAGCATCCGTATACGAACAAAAGGATGATGCTCGTTCCTATGCTGATTTAGTATGCCATTTTGAAGAAAGTCGAGAACAACCTACCTCGTGACAATGGAGCAATCCCATTTTCACCGGCTGATGAACATTAGCAAGTAGCCCCATACTCGTGAAACCCAGGTAGCCTACCTTCGGACCACTCATGAAATGCAGTCGGGATAATCAGACTTCCAACGGCCAAGGCGAGCAAACTGGCCGCGGTTTGGGCGACGGTCAAGTTGAAATTCTGTTCGATGCGGTTGAACCCTCCAAGGAAAAAGGACATCCCCATGACTAAAAGCAGATTCGACAGTATACTTCCGATCAGGGAAGTTTTAACAATAACGATCTCGTCTTTGAAAAGGGCCAGAATCGATACGATCAACTCAACGGCATTTCTGCAGCGCGTTAACGATGCAGAGGTGCTTGGGACTCGTTTGGCTACTTACCCGAATGTGGCATTGAGGAGGCCTCCCACCGTTTCTCCAGTCCTGTGACAAAGTTAATGCCAATGTCCATATGCCAGATGTGGCATAAATACCTCATGGCAATCTCTTCTGTTGCATAACCCAACAGGGCCGCAAGCGGGCTGGATTCCGATTAGCAAACGAGCCATCCTTTCTATCCCATAGATCTAAATCGTACATGATTGCAACAAAGTTGACCACGAATACCACAATAGGATCGAGGTGGATATGATGCACGATTACTGTCTCGAGTTAATGAAAGATTCGGAATATGCGAAATGGGCAAAGCCTTACTTCCTACCGGCGCAGCCAGTAACAAAACATTCACCCAGGAGTTCAACAGAGTGGCCTTCAACTGTCCAACAAACGTGTATTTCTGCTTGTTATCCTTGGCACCTAGTGATTCCGGGTCCTCCATCACTGTTTCGTTTGGGGTTTCGCTCTGCTCGGCTTTCGTACCTCTCCGCCTGATCGGTTGATTCCCCAAGGAGCTATTTCCCGTCTCTGGTCTCTGCAGCGGGACTGCGCTGTGCATCGAATCCGCACCAGACGGTATCCCAGTGAGGGCCCCGTCAACACGAGTTCCGTCAGTTCCAGCAGACGACGGGACGGGAAGGGTATTCGGGTGCGGTAGGTGTTGCAAGTCGTCGGCTATGTTTTCTCTTCTCGTATATTCATTCATGGATATCGCGTCAGACTCTGATCTGACGGCGAAGGAGTCAGTCCTGCGGGTGGGTCGTCGTGCTCTAAATTTCTTGAAGGGATTCCGGCTGGGAGGCTCGCCGTCTTCATCGTACCAGGCGATATTCCTGGCTTGTCGACGGTAGATATCTGCAACATGATTCAGTCGCAGTGTCTCAAGGAGTCCGGAGGTGATTGCCTACTTACGCATGGTTTGTGGTGAAGGCCGGGTCTGAGATCAAGAGGTGGATGCAATCGCTGAATCACCCTGTATCTGCCACAGTGCTGTGAGGCTAAAGTCAGGGGGGTCATGAAGGGAATTTATTTAGTCTACTCTTGAAGGTAGATAAACAAGGGTGTGGCTTCAACCCATGTCCAACTGAAACAGCAGATGAAGTGTGGCTGCGGCCGTTAATCAACCAGCTGTTCTGATTAACTAGTTAGTTAGTTTCCTTGCCAGTTTGAAGCTGAACAGGTGTCACAGGCCCACAGGCTCAAAGCCCCCTAGCGTGTGAATGGCAGCGCTCCAGGCGGATCTATTGATTGCTGGCAAAGGCAGAGTGATATACCATTATTATTCCTGCTGAGGCTGTTTGTTCTAAGCTGTAGTTATCAGTCCTAGATACAGAGTCTCTGTTCCCCTGACGGTGAAGCTTCACAGCTGCTTGTCTCCAGCTAAGCTTCTCTTGGTGGAGGCTTGATCCATCAGCCCTCTTGGCATCCGCACGAAACTGTGTTTTGACATATTTAGTCAGTGGTATAAGTGAAGAAACAGTGCAGCCATATTTGATGATGACATACCATCATCAACCTGGCTAAGAGACACCTGTTAACGTCCTTGACTGCATTCAAATGTCTTGTCAAACGAGCTGCACTCTGGCTGGTTACTAAGCATGCATATTTGGGGTGGCTGGTGAGATGGCGGTGCCACATGTTTGTACAGTTTGCACAGTCACCTGACATGGCTTCCGCTTTCGTCGCAACATGAAAGTGAGAGAGAGACAACCTCACTTTCAACAACCCCAACTCATTTCTGCTCCCTGGTTGCTTCCAATGGATTTATTTTTACAGTATGGGGTCTTGCTGAATATGCACTAGTACTACTGGTTGAATAGGCTGCCTCGAGGAGCACCTTGCTAGCGAAATGCTTCAGACTGCGTCACTAAGGGGGCAGCAGCGGAAGCAGTTGCATCCAGCTGCTGCTGAACCGACTTCTATGCGGGCAACGGTAGCTAGCCTGCAGGACTCGAGAATAGATCATACAAGGCCCGGCTCTTCTCACCACTCACCCAGAAGCCCCGCCAAACTGGCCTGCACGCTCTGGGTCCATGATGAGACCTTTTCCCGCGAGGAGGTCCTCTGCAACCTCCAGGCGTTACCTGATTTTGGCCTAAAGGTCGGTTTTCTGGTAGAAGTCTCACCTGCACCGGAAGACCATTCACAGGCCAGCAGCAGGTACTTTCACGATGAGGCTGGCTACATGGGCCCCCGGTGGGGTACAGGTAGCGCCTCGAAACCGGTCTACGGAGCTGATGGCAGAGTTCGCCAGCAGAAGATATCTGGGAAGTTTCTATTTATCGTCAAACCGTTCCCGCCAGAGATTAAGGCTCGGCATCCGAATCTGCAGATATCAGTTGCCAACCATGTTGCGAATGCCTTTGGCTTTAAGAACCGTACCCAAGTCCATCTTACAGTCAAGAACGCCGCCCAATGCGCAGCATCCCACGTGGAATTTGTCTTCCGCGACCAGTTCCTCCTTCGCTCAGATATGTGGAGGCTGACCTCTTCAGAGCTTGTCAACCGACCCATGTATAAAGGCCAGAAGATTCTTTTCATGGGCAGCATCAAGGCGTCAGTAAAATCGGTTTATTGCGGTGGCAAAAAGGCCATGTCCGCTTATTTTTCTCCAAAAACTATTCCTATATTCCGGAGTGAGTCGGCTCGCTTCGTTCTATTCATCCAAATGTCCAAAGAAATGTGGGACTTTGACTCTGAAGGCACCGGTGATATCATGTTCAGCCGGGTAATCAACAGTATGCTGCCAGAAGTATTCAAACGATGGGCGAATATTGATGCACACCACTTGGTAACTATCGTGCTGTTCACAAGAGTCCAATACGACTCGGCGACCCCTGCGCCCGGACCCGCGTCCCTGAGTGGCAGCTTTTTGAACCGTGGTCCGGATGAATCGACACCGCGGACCCAGGATTTTTATCGTGTTGTCGTCAACGACATGCCCAGTGGGCAATGGACTAAGATATTGGACTCCATTAAAAAGGAATTCCGTACCTTTTTACGAGATGTTTCGATACCCCCGCCCTATTTTCCTGAAACATCAATAGCAGCAGAAGATATTCCAAGATTCACCGATGAGTGCCCTCCCAAAATCTCTGGGCGTCCCACTTCAGCTCTACGAGGGAACATCTTGGAGGCTATCCATGTTGCGTCTTCCTATCTTGCATTCGAACATATTGGTCGTGATTTGGTGAGAACCGGGACGTCAATCGTCATTATTACCCCGGGCACGGGTGTCTTTGAGGTCCCTTTTAACATACTATCCCTGACTTCGGATGTGCTTACTAGCCGAGCTATCGGCATAGATCTCATTTGCCTCAGTCCTATGCCGCTTCATTCCGTACCGCTATTCAAGTATAAGCTCCCCCGTGACACCTCTCGCCGACCTGGTAGGCCTATTTCATCCCGCCTTGCACCTTATGAACATCGTCGGATGTCAACGACTCTTTCTGCCCCGCGCATGACACCTCTTGATAGGCCAGGAAGCGCATTGTCCGATCAGGCATTGAGAAGTAGTGAAGGCAGCATTCAAGAAGAGGAATGGGGATACGGTATTCCACATTGGATCGATATCTCCTTTTGGGACCCTCGACTGGACCGCGCTAGCCGAGCGGCGGCAAACAAAGGATCTACAATGGCCCCCGCAATGGGTACCATAACGAAACATTCGCAGCCCTTCGTTCCCAAAGTGAGAATGTATGAAATACAAATGATGGGTGTCATGGAAAGCGAACAATCCAATGTATCCATTCCTCATATGTCTGCCTCGTCCGGCCCTGAAAAACGCCTCAGTAACCTTGCTCCCCTTGAATCATCTATTGGCAACAGCCCGTCGCCGGATTCGTCATACAGATCCCAGGCGGGCGATGGTTTCAGACCTAAATCGTTCATGTACAACATCAAAGATTCAAAAAAGAGCATGCTACCACCCGACGCTAAGCAGCGCACGGAGTTGCTAGAGTGGATGGATTCCTATGATCGAAACATCTTCCACCTTCATCCTAAGCAGAAACGTTCGCGGAGGCGATCTAAAGCGAACCAAGCCCCTGAAGTCGAAACCAATACCCAATTTCAACAGGAACAGCTAAAGCGAAGATCGGCTATGGACTTGAAAGAACTCGATGGCCGTCACGCATCACCTTTTAACCAGCCTCATCTGAGGTATGGAAAGATAGAAGAAGAAAGGCCAGTTACACCGAATCCAACCGCTCCAATAACTCCTAAACCAGCGAGGAAACCCAGCATAAAACCGAAGCCAAAGTTAATTGTTCCGCGGATATCTCGCTCTATCAGTTTTGCTCTCCGTGGCCTTGGACCTGCTGCTCCAAGAGCGCAAGCGAGTACTGCAATAAGGACTGAACATGCTCAGGCTTTGCCAACCACAGGTGGAAAGACCCCTGAAGAACCTGCATCCGAAGTGTCTACCACAAATACTCCTAATTCCCCTCTTAGTTCAGGCACGCTTACTCCAAGAGCGGAATGGTCGATCGCTGATGTAACTAGCAACAACGAGACAATGACACCGTCACGGCCGATTTTGATCAAACCAACCCGACGAAGTGGGGAAGGGAGCAATGCAGAGCCGCCTGTTGAGGGATCATTCTCTCCCCAGGCATCAGAAAATCGACACGACGCATTGCAGCAACACGACAATCAAGGGGGCCAGCTTATAAAGAGGACTGGAAGGAGATTAGATTTGCTTAGTGGTGGTGATCCCACCTCACCACCAACTATTCCCGCTACAGATGCACTTTCTCCTTGGGTACGGTCCGTCAATCCTTGGAATCCACCGAAGCATTGGCCGACACGTTCAAGTTGGTTTGGCCGTTGGCACCACATATATCCCAGGATGCCAAAGACGACTTCTGTCAGGTGGAAGAGTTTGAAATCACCAGCATCATTACCCCTAACAACCGAAGAGCTCCCTACGGAATTTGAATTGACTTCGAATTTTCTCCAGACCCCATACAGGGTCTATCGGAACGAGGATTCTGATTCCGGAGCACCTAAAACAAGAGAAATGCTTCTGTGCGATATGATATCTTTGCGACTGTCGCATGGGTTTCAGATAGTAGTGGGGAAACGAGTTGAAGAGCACCCTCAAGGTTACTCCAATATCTTCGACACCAAAGCACTCTCGGAGGATGGAACCACGGTTGTCATGTCGAGGGGCAATGTTATTCACAGAATCGTAAACGTTGGAGGCGAGATTGAGGTTACAAAGTTTACTCGCAGGCCGCTCAATGGATTTCCCACCGATGAATTGAATGATGCGATAAGCTATAGTCCCGCCGTCAAGACCATTCTGAGTGCTCAATATTGCAAAAGCACCCTACCTCTAAGCGTTCCCCCGGAAGAGTATAATTGGAACCTCGCCGATGCATACCTTGCTGGCCATCGGGATCATATAACCAGCTCTATCAGGCAACTGCGGTTCTGGCGAACGAGATTTGTTTTGATACCAGTTCAGGTACCGCTAAATGCAAGACGACAGATATCGTCAGCTCATGAAGACAACGAAGAAGAAATCCATTTGCTTGGAATTTACAAACTAACCCAAATGTGGCAACGACACAGGTATATAGCACCTGAGGAGAAACGCTTTCAGTCTTCCACCCGCAAGATTATGGATCAGAACCCACTCAATATAATGTACCAGACGAGCGACCCTTCCGTCGTTGTTGCTGCCGAGCTTGACAGATCATTATTAGAGGATCCCGGGCTGGACAATCGTCCTGCTCAATTGCTCCCTGACTCGGAGTTGCTGCGGAGGTCCGATATCACCCTTTCATTTTTGTCGCAGAGAATACAAGGCGAAAAGGGGGTAAGATTGATGGATAGAAGATGGCATTGGCGCCTACATTACAACTGCTTTGTCGGCATGGAGCTGACGACATGGATAATGCAAAATTTCCGCGACATCGACAGTCGAGAGGAAGCCGTTGAATTTGGAAACGAGCTGATGAAGCATGGGTTGTTCCATCATGTTCAACGGCGGCATAACTTTAGGGATGGCAATTACTTTTACCAAATTGCTGATGAATACAGAGTAGCGCGTCCAGAATCGAGAGCCGGCGGCTGGTTTCAACCACGTAAAGTGGACAAATCAACCCCAAATACACCGATGGGTGAAAGTATAAAGGATACCTTGTCAAGCGCCCGTGCGAGATCAGAGAGGAGCGTTGATGAAACCGGAAACAGACTTGAGGTCCCAGGTGCTAAATCCGGCCGAGCCAGGCCATCAGTTTCTCTCTCTAAATCAATGAAATATGATGTCGATCCTCGCAAGCGTTCAGATCGACCGGAAATCATTGACCTCCACTATGACAGGATCCATAACCCGGAAAACTGTTTCCATATTGAGCTGAGCTGGATGAATGCTACGCCTAAGCTTGTGGAAGATGCCATCATGTCTTGGGTGGGAACAGCGGAAAAGTATGGGTTGAAGTTGGTCGAGTTGCCGATATCTGAAGCCTCATCGATTGTTGAACGACAGATATTCCGGCGTCCCTATCCTATCAGGCTGAAGGTTGAGCCGCCAATGACACCTGTGACCACGGTTCTCACTGCGACGTCCTTTAACTCCCAAGCCGTGCCCGACCATCAGTTCTACCAGAAGGCGATCTTGAAGAAGTTTGATTTTGTGCTCGACTTCGAAGCTAAAAGTTCATTCCCTGCGGATGTGGACGTGATCTATAGCTGGGGCAAACCTGATTATCAATTTCCCCAATACGTGCATCGTAGCGGGGCGGCTCTGGCACAGATCACGGATGAGGGCCACTTTCTCCTGCTTGCCAACCGATTTTACAACAGCCACAATCCCACGAGCCTCAAAGAATCCAGCAGGTTTGATCGTTCATCCGAGTACTTCCCGCGCGCACGAGCGGGAACATTTGACCCTTTGGACCGCCGCTCCCCTATTCTATCGCCCGTCGTTCGAGCCACTCCCGGAACCGATGCCTTGGGCATTTTCAGCGCGCCCGCCTCGGTCGCAGCGAACGATGCGGCACAAACTTCATACCACGTCACGGACCAGATCAAGGACGAGATGCGCTCATTTTGCTCCAACACCGAAAAGCTGGAGGCATTCTATGCGGAGGTGGCTGCTTTGAAGAGCAAGCCAGCGGCTCCACCGTCGACGTCGTCTGTGAAGGTTAGCCCCACCATGCCGGCGACACTGGACTCGTCGATCCCGTCACTGGAGCTCCCGGCAAGCATTGTTGCGAGGAACCTGCATATTCCGGCGCCGGTGGCTCTTGCGGCCAAGCAAGCGACGGCAGAACCGCCGCAGGTTTCTGGGTCGATTGATGCGGTAATGAGGAATGCGAGTCTTTCGAGTCCGCGCCATAATGCATTCAAGTATTGACAAGATAGTGTTGCATCTTGGAATGGTCGATTTTCCAGGTTGATATTTTTTATTGTTTTCAATTGCAAGTTATGGCTCTATAAAAGTTGGGGTCATCTTGGGAGGTGGTTCAGAGCGAGATTTCTACAAGTGATTTGGTGGGATGGTTACAATGGAGCATTGGGTTGATATTGGAGCAGCATCAGAGATAACTATCATACTCATCCCTGCAGAGGCTCAGTTGGGCATGTGTATCATGGAGTCCGCCGTTAGCTAGATAATGAAAGAAAGATGCAACCTCAAAGCTCTGCTGATGCCGCTCAGCCTCCACTCCCGACCCCAAGAGTCCGCGTCGTCACGCGCCTCGAAGAAAGGGCGGGCTTCTAGAAGTGCCCCAAGGGAGGGAACCGGCGACGACACGGGCTCTTGTCGGAGCTTATCGTACGATGACGTCTTGCGCGTTTTGACCAAAGCGGCGGAGAGTTTTGTCTTGCGTTCAATCAACAAGGGGCCACGGTGGCATTCCTTGTGAACCGGGTGATGACAACAATGGGCATGCAGCATCCATCCGCTGATTTGAGAAACACAGCCAGACTTGACACTGTGTCCTGATTTCTGTGGTGAGCATGAATTGAACTCTGCATGAAAGGCGAAGAAATCTGATCGGCTCGGATTGCAGGATCGCATGCTCCAATTTGGCAGCGGGTTCCGCCGCCCCGATAATTTCTCGGAACGGGGGGCAGTGAGTCACTTTTTCCACGGATCAAACGGTCGGGGCGAGGGAAGCTCCGATGTCCCCGAGCTTGCCCCGGACCAAGTGAAGTCATCGCCATGTCGTGTGCGCACTGGGAGTTGCAGTGGCCCCGGCACAGGAAGCCAGCCCGGGAGTCAGTCAGTCTCTTTCATCTCGACTGCAGCGAGTCTCTTGAAGACGTGTCTCTTCGTTGCTTCGACTGTCGCGTTGCGCCCTCGATTCCTCGAATGATTTTGAATACGGAGTCACGAGGTACGGTACGGAAAGCCCGGATGGCCTGAGCAGAACTGGCCAATCGGAGCCGGGCTTTGGGACTCCACTTTGCTGGATCTAGTATGGCTGTGGTAAGAAACAGTAATTTATACGTCCCCGGGACAGCAAACGGCGTAATTGCTGAGACGGCCGGGGACTGGAGATGGTAATTTTGCACTTCTTCTTCTTGCAGGCATCGCCATTTAATATTCCTTTTCTTTTTCTTCCTGCGTTGACTTTTTTCCACTTTCACTTCTCCAGACCAGCCATTCTCTCAAGGGACACTCGAATATCGTCCCTCTGAAATTGAAGCCAGACTAGAGGACGTCCCTCACCTGAGTCGATTCGAAAAATCTCACACTACTAGGCAGCAGGCAGCCCAACGCTGCTCGACTCCTCCCCTCTCCCCATCCCACCTCTTTTTACTTTTTGTGCGCGTTCATTGACGGCTCCAGGTCGTCAAATGAACCTGCGAGTTCAGTTATCCCCGAGTGCAGATGTGAGCAACCCCAACCGTGGTCCCCCCGCCCAAGCTTCAGCTAACCACTATTCTCCCGCACCGCAGAATCTCCTCTTCAACCTGGAGAGGCACCCAATTAGATAAATGGTTTTTAAGCCATTTACACACCTCGCGCGTCAAACCTTCTCCAAGACCCTTGTCCATGGCTATGCTCAGTCGGTAGTTGCAGCCTCGCAATCCTCCTATGCATCCTCCACCACTTCCCTGAACCAGATCACCTCCGTCCCCGGAAAATTCACCCGCACCGCTCAGCTACAAAGTGCGTTCCAGAACGCTTCTGGCTCCTCTTCGAGTGCTGGCCCCAAAGCCGGCCATGCTGCGTCCAACTTTTCTGCCGGTGACTCCGGCTTAGCTGCTTACTTTGCAGCATGGCAGCTGGCACAGCAGGCGGACGAAGGGGACTGGAAACAATACCAATTCACGAAGCGAATTGGCTGGAAGGCCGGGGTCAAGGCATCTGAGGAAAAGGATAAACCTGAAAAACAGCCAGTTGAAGGACAGGACGCGGCTGCTCTCTCGCATGCCAGCTTGAGTGAAAATCGAAGCGCGCGCAATGTCGAGAGCGCCCCTGTCGATAAGGATGTGAGCGCCAAGGTCGACGAGGCGGTTGCTCGCGAAATCCAGCAGATTCAGGAAGCTGCAGAGCTAACAGAAAGTCCTGCTTCAAGCGTCGATTCTGCGGTGGTCCTCGAATCAAGGGAGGCTTCAAGCGTGGAGCTGACACCCGTATCATCCATCGAGGAAGCCGAACCAGCCCCTAGAACACCCAAGACTCCCGTCCGTGAATTGAGACAGGCCCAAACGCCCAACGAGGAGTCTAACCGGATTGTCGAACTTGCCTCTGCCGGGTCATTTGCGCAAGTCCCCGGCGCCTTCGAAAAGCTGTTGAAGGATGGCCTGGTTCCGAGCATCGGAGCCTATAATGCTCTCCTGCAAGCAGCCATTCACCTACATTCCGACGTCTATCATGCCGTCCCCAAAGTTCTCGATATCTACTCTGACATGATTCGTCGCAATGTCATGCCGGATGAACAGACGTACAAGACACTTGTCCAGCTTCTATCTACCCGTGCCTTGGATTGTCAGCACATGGTTCAGAAACTCGAGCAAGCACGAATTCGCTATGGAGGTATGGACGAACCAGGAAAGTTCATCTTCCGGTCTAGCGAGGTAGAGCATCAACTCTTGACTGAGGATCATTCGCTCTCCATCGCTCTCAAGCTCTTCAAATTGGCGGCTTCGCGTCATCAGGGAATTGTCTTTTCTCTCGACATCTACCGGGCTCTCCTGACCGCATGTGCTATGCGTGGCGAGGTTGACAAGATGATTCAAATATTTGCGCACATGGAAACCAATAAAGTAGCCCCCCACGCTGCCATGTTTCCTCCGATGATTGATGCGTTCGCTACCAGTGGCGATTTGAAGAGCGCGGTTGAATGCTACAACGAATACAAAACCTTGGCCATTTCTGATGACAATGGAATCTTTGGAATTGTTGACAGAAGAGACGGTGAAGTTTACGCTGCTGTGGTCAAAGCCTACATGGTCTGCGGTAAAAACGAAGGAGCTCTGCGATTCTCCGACAAAATCAGAGCTTCGTTCGATGGAGTTGAGAATAGCGAACAGAGACTTGCCGCTGTCGAAAACGTCATTGTGAAAGATGGCTTGGTCCAGTATTCAGTTATGGCCGGCAAATTCGCTGAGGCCCTTCAAACCGCTAAGACCCGTCTCGACGGAGAGGCTCTGAAATCTGCTGTTTCAAAGATCTGCGTCATGGCCGCAGATGCAGGGGAGTCTGCCGTTGCTTCCGAAGCGTACGATATTTTGTTAACGAAACAACCGAGCAAGAACACCCCTGTCGTCGCCATGATGGCCATGCACATCCGGAAGGGTGATCTCGTCTCGGCCAAGTCTCAATGGGCTATATTAGCCACCAGCGATCATGTCAACGCGGACCTCATCCAGCCGACGGCTATGTATACCGTTGCCCTTTTGAGAAGTGGCCAGATCGACGAAGGCCTTAGTCAAGCCCGCAACATGTTCGCTAAAATCAGGAACGGTGCTCCAAAGGATCCATCTCAGCTCCGCGAAGAGATCGATGAAGCCATTGACCTCTTCGGTCGTGTTCTCATGCGATCCTCCCCAGTCATCACAGCGCATGCCGCCATGACTCTGATCTGGGCTATGGTCGAAAATGGTGGCTTGGTATCTCCAATTGCAGAGCATGCCATCGCCAGCCTCGGCCCTAGCGAGATTGGTCAGCTTAGCGTCCACGACCTCAACCTCGCGCTCCAAGTCCAAGCTGGCATGATCGTCAATGGATCTCCCCTATTCGATGCGGCACACCCTGCTCGTTTCGCTCACATGCTTGAATTGGCAATGTCCACGGGGTTGCCAATCAACCAGCACACAAAACAGCTTCTGGATCAAGGTGTCTCAAAAATCAGCCCGGCACGCCCCGATTTGTTGCGCAGGTGGCAGAGCTTCACACAAGCCCCAGCAAGGCCGACCTTTGTGTCGCCAAAGTATTCCCCTGCACCAAAAGCTTCCCCGGCCCTGAAGCCAGAGGATTCTTTTGACCCCTATGCTCATTCAACCGATTTCCGTGGCTCCTCTATCATCGCTGAAGAGCTCGAGAATACTCGCGGACGGGCTGAGGATCATCTCAACACCGCAATGATCAAATTCAGAAACATGCGCCGTATTGGCAGACATCCTCGATATATCACATACGCCAAACTTATCACTGCTGCTGCCAAGTGCCATCGTACAAATCTCGTGCATGAAATTCTGGGGATGGCAAGACATGATGTCCCTCTAATTCCCCAATACGGCGCTGTCAAGTATGGCTGGACGTCAATTCTCGACGCAATGGTCGCAGCTTGTCTGACTGCCGGTGAACGCGGCCTTGCTGCGAAATATCACCAAGAACTATTGAACATTGGAGCCGCACCTTCGGCTAACACCTTTGGTCTCTACATCACCACCCTGAAGGAGTCCACCAAGACATTCGACGAGGCGACGGAAGCCGTAAAAATCTTCCACCGGGCCATGTCTGAGGGAGTTGAACCCACGTCGTTTTTGTATAACGCGTTGATCGGGAAACTCGGTAAAGCTCGTCGCATTGATGACTGCCTTCTCTACTTTGCGGAGATGCGTGCCAATGGTGTCCGTCCGACCAGTGTGACCTACGGCACGATCGTGAATGCGCTCTGCAGAGTCAGCGACGAACGCTTCGCCGAGGAGATGTTTGACGAGATGGAATCGATGCCTAATTATAAGCCGAGACCAGCACCTTATAATTCGCTCATCCAGTATTTCCTTAACACCAAGCGTGATCGATCAAAGGTCCTGACTTACTACGAACGGATGAAATCTAAGAATATTGAGCCGACGATGCACACCTATAAGCTCCTCATCGACGCTTATGCTTCACTAGAGCCGGTGAATATGGAAGCCGCAGAGGGTCTTCTCGAAACCATTCGATCCACTGGTCAGCAGCCGGAAGGCGTGCACTACGCATCTCTAGTTCACGCAAAGGGATGCGTCCTACATGACATGGAAGGCGCTCGCCGTACGTTCGATTCCGCACTCGCCAGCGGCGCTGCTAAACCTCAACCCTGCCTCTACCAGGCGCTGTTCGAAGCCATGGTTGCGAACCACAACGTCGCCGACACCCCGGCACTTCTGAAAGATATGAAAGCCCGAGGCGTTGAAATGACACCGTACATCGCCAACACTCTAATTCACGGCTGGGCAGCTGAGGGCAACGTCGCCAATGCCAAGGATGTGTATGAGAGCATCGGGATGCAGAAGCGTGAACCGAGCACGTATGAAGCCATGACTCGTGCGTACTTGGCGGTTGAGGATCGGCGGAGTGCATCTGCTGTTGTTCAGGAGATGCTCTCTCGTGGCTATCCTGCTGCCGTTGCTAGCAAGGTGGTCGAGCTCGTCACCGGTGGTAACCCGTCTTAAGTGATCAGTGCGTGATAGTACTGGCTCTGCCTCTGTGTGCGTTTTGTGGGTCTCCACTGGAATGGTCGCTGTGGTTTGATTTCAATATACCCCATTTGCATAGACATTTTAAATCGTGTTTGATTTTTCGATTTTTTCTTCTTAACAAAAGATATCCGGGTTTGCTCTAGTCAACCCACGGCTTTATTTCCTTTCCAGTGAGAAATACCTACCTTTTCTTTCCTTTTTTTTGACTTCACAATAAAAGATGGGTTTGCAGGTACATTCTGGCGTTTTCAGTACATATATCGCAGTCCATATCAGCGGATGGCGTTGTTTGGAATTCGTGGACTTTGGTGCAAATACTTCCAGCACGGTTGGGGACGGTTCGATTTTTGCTTGCTTTTTTCCTCAGTTTTATAGACACAACTCTACTCTCTTCTGGATCAGATACGATGAGCTCATGATGTATATTTATGGAGATTTTGTGGTGTGCGGTGGGTTCATGTATCTGGATCTAGAAGGCCTTTTTAATAGAAAGCTGAATGTGGATGGATTTCCATCTTTTAACAGCTGAAAAAAATACAAAGATGATTTTGTGCTACTCGGGCCTCTTTGTGGTTGAGATGCCCAGAAGATATGCATCGTTCTATCTATATTCATAAAGCCGTGAGACACCCGCCGAAGTGCAACCCAAAGTCCGTCATCGCTTCGGCCGCCGTCGGCGCAACGCCAACGGAGCGTTCGTCAAGAATCAAATCTCGACGTCTCAACACACCTTCCAGAGCCGTTTCTCATAGAATTATTTCTCTTTTTTTTTTTTTTTCCTTTTGTACAATAGAAATATTGAATGCTTCACTCTTTACGCAGCTGCACTTGGAACCCGACCCGTCGATTGTCCCATCTTTCGATTTTCCGACACGCAAGCGCCAAAGCCATGACTCTTGACAACTCGCAGTCGCCGGGGGAGCACTTGGGGCACGAGCACCGCGATTCTCACACCCAGCCGCATCGTCACCCCAAGAGATTGATCTGTATGTATTCTACAACACCCTGCGGTTCTTGCTTACGGGTAACTAATTGACCAACGTCCAGTTGCACCCGGCGACATCCAAGCCCCTCTTTCTTCCCCCGCAGCCCCCTCCACCGCAACACCACGCATCGTCGACGCCAGCACGAACAACACCGATTCCCAACCCACCGTCCTACGATCATCGTTGCTCCCTACCCTCGACGACCCCACGCTCTCCGGCGCCTCGACGCCCTCCACCAATGCCGCCGTCGTCTCGCACGCCGCGCGCGCCCACCAGTTCCTGACCAACCCGCCTCTGACTCTCTCCCAGATCCACCCCACCAACCCGCTGCATCAATTCCACACGTGGTTCCGCGATGCGAGACTGCCCGCGTCCTCGGCGCCGGAGACGTGCACGCTCGCCACGGCGAGCATGCCGTCGGGCCGGGTGAGTGCGCGCGTGGTGTATCTCAAGGAGCTGGATGAGCGGGGGTGGGTTGTGTATAGTAACTGGGGCAGCCGGGCGGGAAAGGGAGGGCAGGTGTTTGGCACGGCGACGGAGGCGGAGACGGGTGTTGATGGGAGTGTGATTCCGGATGATGGACAGGGACGGCTGGAGGGGAACCGCTGGGCGGCGCTGACGTTTAATTGGCCCCGCGTGGAGAGGCAGGTTCGGGTGGAGGGGTTGATTGAGATGTTGAGCCGCGAGGAGAGCGAGACGTATTGGCGGGTGAGGGAGCGGGGGAGCCAGATTGGGGCGTGGGCGAGCCAGCAGAGTAAGGTGCTGTGGTCTACGGAGCCGCAGGATTTGACGGGAGTGGATGCCGCTCCGGGCGCGGGTGGGGATGGGCACAGGGAAGATGTGGATGATGGGCGCTCCGTGTTGGAGAATCGGGTGAAGGAGATGGAGGAGAGGTTCGCTGGGGCGGAGGAGATTCCGCTCCCGCCGTTCTGGGGGGGCGTCAGGCTTGTTCCTGAGTCTGTGGAGTTCTGGCAGGGGAGAAAGAGTCGGCTACATGACCGGTTCCGGTATGTGAGGGTGAATGATGAGGATGAGCAGCCGGGAGTGGGAGACGAGAAGACATTTAGATGGCGGATCCAGAGACTCTCGCCTTAATGCTGATGGCGGGATAGATATGGCTTCTTTCAAGAGGAGTTTGCGGGAAAAGTACCAGATAGACGAATGCACATGATAATAATACTGATAATGAGAGACGCAGGCTGACTTTTAGACGCAAAAGCTGTGTTTTCCCCCTCAAGCTCGAAAGCAGGTCATGTGACACGCCCTATATTTTCGCTGGTCCGACGACTTCAACTTCACTCGACAATCACTCACGCTGGATGGCGACGTCGTGGAACAATGTGCAGGGAGAGGTGCGAGTGAATTGTCATGGGACATGATGGAACTTTTTCAATTGGTTCTACTGGGGTTTCCGCCATCGATGAAGGTCGAACCCTGCCAGCCCGCAGATCCGACTCGAAGCGAGCAGCCTTGTACGGAGTAAGGTGTGCAGGTTCCAGGGCCGGCATCCAACGCAGCCAAACCACATGCAAGGAGCATTGGTAAATGCGAGCCAGGCATCAGAAACCCTTGAATAGGGCATCTCGTTCTTGCTAGAGGCAGTGCTGCGCATACTTTGAATTCCGCAGGGTAGCGAACTGGCCTGGCCTGGCAAGGCTAATATCACGGGCCCTGTTCTCGTGTTGAATTACGGGAGGACATTGATCGAACCCAGGTCTCGCTTCTGGCATTGGTCGAAGCATGGTTCCAATTGACGTGCACCCACTGCAGCCGCCCGCATATCGGGTCCGTGCACCCGCCTGCTTGTCTGCAGAATCTCGACCTCTGGCCCCCCCTTGATATTTGATGGAACGTTCCAAGCCCTATGCCAGTTTGTCAGATGATTTGGCCCCTTCGTTTGGCAAAGCAGAACTGCGGGGCAGTTCATACCGACTTGGCTTTAAGGCTGTTCTGGGTAGCTCAGCCAGCCACGAGAATGGAGTTAGCACTACATAGCTGATGCTCGCCTTACAATAACCAGTTTGAGTCCGTGGATCTGGAGAACTCGAGCATGGGAATACTGCCTGAATTAGATGCTCGCATACGGGTCATCCAATATGCCGTCGGCCACTCCGTGTGAACGTTCCGATTTCTGGACTCTAAGTTATCTTCTTGAGGGTAGGGTATGGCCTTATCTGACCTCTCCATGCATTGATGAAGACAGATATCCGAGCTGAAGACGACTCTGAGACCAGGCTTGTTCTCTCGTCAAGCAATGGCGTCTAGTAAATGATCCTTCTAGATTACGTTGCGATAGCACCTCACTAGGTCCTATCCGTTCCAATTGAACTCCGCGGAAATCTACTATACATCCTCCTCAGTATTTACCCTCCATAGGGCCAAAGGTTCTCTGACCCATGGAATTCCAAGACCACAAGCCGGACACGCCGGGCAATTCTAGACAATTGGAACCGCTGGTTGTTCACAAATTACCCTGCACGCCTGGCCCTATGGGACGCCACCATATGCAGACCCTCTACATGATAGTCTTTGCGGTTTTGCAAACCCGCCTTTCTACTATTTTTATAGAGGCCGGTTCCGAAAAGGGCAGTGTGGGATAGCTTCATACCGGTCGTCTGATGAGCCCCAGGCCAGCAGTTAATCAGAGCATTGGGCAAAGGTTCTCACCCTTTAACGTCCCGGTATATGATGCTGTGAAGACTGTTCAAATCTCGTGATTGGCATTGAGTCAGCTTCCCTGCTATCCGGATGGCATCTGGAGCAGACGCCCTGGTCAACTGTTTTGCTGTGAAGCTCGCTGGGTTTCAATCGGGGTTGTTTTCGGGTCGTGGCTCGATGATCCCTGGCCTGTTTGGCCGACGTAATGGTTGTTTGTCGATATGACCTGCGAGCATTGACCCTAGCAAGGCCACTCAGCTCCCGTTTTCCTATGATCTGTATCCTAAACACCGTGGTCGTCACGAAATTTGCCATCTACGATGCTTGGCGAGAGAGGCCAGACCACAAGGCACGTTACCCAGAGTCCTGTGATACTGCTTTTCGTGAGACAGAGTCGGCACGGCCATTGCCATTAGCTGGAGCGTTGCTCGCGGTGGTCCAGGGATGTCGAGACGTTTACCAATGATATATGGAAAGAAGTAGGTTACCAGGATCACGGCCAGGCTCCTACAGCTGATGGCGAGCTATTCAGCTCCCTATGGCAGTTTAGCACTATCTCGTTCTCCGATTGCAACTCGACGGTGCACTGAGTTTGAGCGGAGGCTGGCTGATGCTGCTGCATGGGCAAGTGACTCCTGACGGTGCTCAGACTGTCTCCGTCCTGACTCTATGCAGCCGCATTGGGTTATAAAAGGATGGCCCTTCCCGCAGGATTTTCAGTATCCAAAACGAACAAGCCCAGCTTCCACACCGAGCCTGCCTTCCCAAGTCTGTCCTCCCGGCGATTTAGTGTTCCAAAAACAAAAACCAAAACCACAATGTCCAACAACTACTACGCCAGTGCTAGCGGCATTGCCCTCATCGGCGACGGAACCGCCAACCTGGTTGTCACCTATAAACCGGATGGAGCCGTCATCAGCTCCCCCCAAGCGTCAACCGCGTCCCCTCTTGCGGCCACCGTCTTTGTCCCCCTCCCAAACCCACCTAACACTAATGCAACTTTGAAGAGTGTATCCCTCGAGATTGACACCACCGGAAGCGCCGAAATCACCGAAGTCTATGTTTACTTCGGCAAGACGTTGATCCTCGACTCCGCTGGCCGTTTTGACAAAGACCACATTATTGATGCCACCAAAAGCGCTCAGAAGCCAGACGACAAGCCCTACGGCATCACCGTCGCCCTTGATGTCAATATTCCGAATGCGCAGGCCACAATCTCGATTCACTCTGTCTCCTTGGATTTCCAAGGCTAAATAATTAGCCGACTTGGCCCGCAAGGTAGGCTTGACCCGAACACCGAGATTTGCTCATGCATAGAATCAGGTGCTGACTTGAGACTATGATTTTAGTATTACCGCCCAACTGGAGACGACTAGGCCCTAAAGCATTGGCTCTGTGATTTGCATTCTTTTCCTGTTGGTTACATGTGCGTGGATGTCTATAGGCTTGGGGTCTTCAAGGCACGAAGTAGTCAGATTTTAACAGACGGAATACACACTCTTTCATTTACTAAATTCATCTTGCATCTCTGCGCATTGATTCAAAGCTGCTCAATCCCCAATGAGTTGTGGTCCAACTGCACGTCAAGCTAGAGATTAACCAAGCAACAGCATGAAAGTGGCGAACTCGTTAGTAGATGCTGTAACCAGTCAGTCCCCACCATTATGCCAGTGGTTGATAGAAGGGAGTTGATATCGATTACATAATCCAGGGACATCAGACCAGGTGGAGATGATCCTTGGATGTTGTTTATTATTAAGAGAACTAGACCAACAGCCAAGGCACAGGGAAGATGGAGGGCGAAGCAGACATGGCTCGACAACGACGGAATCACCGGTCGAACGGAGAGCAACGAGAGTCCGGCTTTGGGTCTGGTATGTTTGAGCCCTGGTCTTCATCAATTCAATGCACCTGGTGAAAGAACGCTTTTCCTTCCCGTGATTGATTGTTGATTGGTTTTCTTTTTCCGGGGAGAAGATCAGATCGAAAAAGGAGATTCTCCACGAGAACATGCAAAAGCAAGTGAGAAGAGCGCAATGACGATATCGCAGAAGTGGCTGGTGCTGGCGGTTGCCAGCGGGGCTTTTGCTGCTTTGAATGGGGTTTTTGCAAAGTTGTAAGTTGAGAGATATGTACGAAGGGGGAGATCAGGCTGGGATATCATTATCCTGTAAGAAAGGCGAATCAGTGCTGACTTGTTTCATCAGGACGACGGCCCAGCTCACAGCCAATATATCCCAAGGAATATCACATTCCCTGTCCCTCTCAACATCAGTGGCTGTTGCCGTGGAGTATATCGTTCGAGCCGTATGAGATAACCTCATTTGTCTTTTTTTGTATTTACTTTCTAACATCTCACCCGCAAGTTCTTCTTCGGCTTGAACATCCTCTCAAATATCACCATGTGGGCCTTGTTCACGCGCGCTTTGACTGCCGCCAGCTCCTCCACGCAAGTCACTATCACGAACACCACGGCAAACTTCCTCGCCACTGCGCTGTTGGGCATGGTGGTATTCCAGGAACGTGTCGCGCCGCAGTGGTGGCTCGGTGCGACGATCATGGCGGCTGGCTCCATCATCGTGGGCTTAAGGGATGAGGGTAAGGTCGAAGATAGTACCGATGAGCGGAGGGGAGACGGAGATGGAAGGACGGCGGATTTGATTGAGTTCCAGGACGAGAGGGCTTTGACGCAGGAGCGAGATTAAGGCCATTGGGGTGAATCCATTGGGAGCAGATAGATGCCATCTATAGGATAGAGTTGTACTGGACATACCTGTTCGAAATACATAAAGCAATCATTGGTCTATTCTGTGATACATAAATCGAAAAGCTTCAAAAGGCCTTCATGTAGGCTATAGCCGCCCATCATCTCTCTCACCCAATTCTACAAATCCATCAAACCCATCACTCTCCTCTGTCCCGTCGATGATATCAAATGAACCGTCTCTCGTCCGCGAATTCCCGCTCTCAAATCCCTCACCCAACCTAGCATGTCCCTTTTTCCAAAAGGAGACCTTTCCAACAACCCACTGAATGATCTCCCACGCCTTCTGCTCCACCAGCCCTTCTGCCATATTGCCATGTGCAGGGGGCCTATCACCACTCGCCGCATTCGCATCTGCAAGCTCCTGATGTTCGACTTTGAACTGATACTTTAAACAGTCCTTGACGGTTACCAGCCCCGACAACCGACCACGGTGTTCAACTAGGATCACGCGGGGTCCCATCTTTTTAAATATTTCCATGACTGTTTCGAGTGCGAGGCGTGGATGCACGGTTATCGGCGCAAGGTCAACGTATGGACTGAAATCAATGGCGCGGATTCCAGACGATGAGGCGATGTCTTCGAATGTCTGGGGCGGTGGTAGGTGTGTTTCAGCGGCTTCAGACGAGGAGGACGCAACTGTTGGAGGGTCGAAATATAGAGATGAAGTCGGCGATGGATTGGATCTTGTTCTGGGATAACTGCTGGGGTCATATGTGTTGGGCTGAGAAATGAATCGACACTTCGCGTTTGGCGAAAAGAGGCCTTCTTTCTTAGCTCGATTGATCGCGTACTGGAACTCGGTGCGTCCGATGAATCCGATCAATGTTCGCGAAGTGAGGTCTTCGACAATCGGGAAGCCTTGAAACATGTTGTTTTCAAGCAGTCGCTCAGCTTGACGGACAGGAAAATCCATTGCGGGAAGAACAACGGGTTTATTCGTCATTGCATGGGAGACTGGGACGTTGAAGATGTGCTCTTCTTTGCTGTCAAGGTAGGGAAATCCGTTGAACCAGATCATGCGATCTGCGATGCCTCCTCTTCCGAAACGGTCACTGACGGCTTTTGTCACGCCAACGACAATCTAGCATCAGGGAATTAGTGGATGTAGCACATCAGATTGTTTTTGCCTATAGGCTTACCATAGTAGGTAGAATGTAAGTCAATGCTCCTGTCAGCTCGAACATAATGACTGTTACGGAAATCGTCAAATGCATGATCCCGCTCAGTGCGGCGCCCGCGCCCAGGAAAGCATATGTACCCGGTGTTATACAAGGGACGTCAGGCTCGCAGGAGGCGAAAAAGCTCGAGTTCGGGAATGATTCCTGAAGTGCTTGAACAAGGATTCCAACCATTCGTCCGAAAGATGCCCCGATTGCCATGGATGGGACGAATATACCTGCTGGCACCTTACAGCCATAGGATATAATCACAAAAAGGACTCGCAATATCGTGGCCATGAAAAGAGAAAATACCATCGACCACCGGCGAGCAGCCCTAGGCATGTCAGTTTCACCTATCAAGAGGAAGTCCCAAGCAACAGAGTATCTCTTACTGGCAAATACCGTTATAGTCGTGCTCTCTTTCGCATTCACGGAATAATATTTCCATCATTTCAGTCATTGTAATCCTCATGAACATATTCGGGTAACAAACAAGCGCCGTTAGACCGGCTAGGACGGTTGCCTCTAATATAGGATGGCGCGAGAGGTACTTCTTCCGGAACGCCTGAGCTCGTAGATTCCACTTCATGACAAATGCTCCGTATAATCCTCCAAAAACGCCGAGAATCACAAAGAAAATAAGCTCAAAGAAATGCCATGTCCTATCATATTTGACTTGGAACATGACCAATTGACCCGTTCTAAAGGGGTTCATAGCCTAGAGATAGTTAGCACCAGAGTCGCCGTACTAGATATCGCCAACGGGTATAGAATACATACCGCAAGAACCCCGGTCGCTACCAAGGCGCAAAAGTAACTTCTCCATAATGTCTTGAGGGGGAAATGAGATGCCATTTCCTACGCACATCAGCGTCAGCTCTCTCACACATAAATCGGGCGCCAACCCATACCTCCAAGGAAAACAAAACTCCGCCTATCGGGCTACCAAAAGCAACTGCTACGCCTGCAGCAGACGTGGCCGTCAGGATCTCTCGCGTTTTGGCCGCATGCCTCTTATATTTGCTAAACCACCTAGATATCACATTTCCGGTGCAGACGGCAATATGAACACTTGGGCCTTCTTTTCCGACTGAGAGCCCAGCGGCGATAGCTAAAGGTAGGCCGATTGATTTGATCAACAAGGTCCTCGCAGAAAGGAATCCTTTCATAATAAAACCCGCAATGATGACTTTGATTTCTGATATGCCTGATCCGGCGGCGTAAGGGGCAATCGCATCAATCAACACGGCGCCTGAAAACGCGAATAGGATCTGAAAGCGTAAGATGGCGTCAACGCAAAAAAGGGACGGGGGCCCGCTTACAGCAAAGATAAAGTAAACAATGTAGTTTACTGGCGGCAAGCTGCTCCATCTTCTCCATTCCGGGCACTCTGCGAATAATTCCGTCAGCCATAGTTCGTTGAAACTAGGGTCGGCATCACATACGCCCATTCACCGCTTCCCAACAGCAAAACGCTTCATTCAAGTAGAATGCGGTCGTGCAGTATCCCAGTTTGACATCCGCCAGCCACTCCGTGACGATACTCAAAAATGCGGCATTCAGCCCAATGGCCGCTCCAACAATTGTGACAACCAGCCATGCCTGGCCTGCATCGTAAGCCTCGCTGACTTTCCGCCTCCATCCAAACGCTCCCTCCTTATCCCAAAACCTAGCTCCTTGTTTCCTCCGCGCCCGGCGTCGAGCTTGTTCGTGAACCGCATCCTGCACCCAATCGATTGTCGTAAAGTCCTCGTATCTCTTGATCTCATTGATTTCCTCTGTTATCGTCGGGCTGGCCCCGTGGAGCTCGCCCGCCGTAGGAATGATCGGGGTAACAGGCGCATGATCGCTTGCTGAGTAGATGGAGAGGCCTGAATGGCGCCTGATATCTCGCGCCGGGGCTGCGTGGGCGGAGGGGCGGCGGCGTTGAGCGGAGCTGGAGGAAATGTTGGGGTTCATCACACCGACACGAAATGTGCATCTACTTTACCATCCTGGAACAGTAGCTTGCACCGTGTAGTTAAAGCCTGGGGACTCTGCACATGGACTCAATGGTGGTTGGTACGAGACAAGCGGCCTCTCGCTTCCGTGGCCGGTTGCGTGCAGGACGTCGCGGGCAAGCCCTCTGGATTGACAACCGTAGCAGTGCAGTGTCACAGCTCCAGTCGAAAGTGCCGGTGCAATGGGAATGCTGTCCAGAGTTGGCATTTGAATCGGTGCCCGTGGAGGGACGGCGTTGGGTTTGACCATCCCAAGATCCCCAAACTTTAGCCTGCTCGATTCGCCAGTCCACGCCCACAAACCGACGTCTTGTCTTCTGGCTTGAAAGCTGCTAGTTATCCCACTGACAAGATCGAGCTTGCTTCTCAGCTGCTTCCGACGAACCACGCGTGAAATGCCTTACAACACCGCCGCAATCCCTCCGCCGGAGGAAGCAAGTGGCCAGACTGCTTTGCCATGTATGTTCTGTTGAAGCTCTGCCACTGCTTCATTTTGCTCGAATCTACAGGGCTAATGACATGGGAGAGCAAAACAGTAACCAGGGTCAAGAAGATTATCCATCTTGATGAAGATATTGCGCAGTGCTCCAACAACGCAGCCTTCGTGATCGCAGTCGCCACGGTAGGACCGAAATCCGTTTGGCCATTCCACGATTGCGCATTTCCTTTGGTTGCTAACTAGGCTACGATCCCCAATAACAGGAGATGTTCATACGGTACCTGACAGAGCAAGGACATAACGTTGTCAAATCCGAAAAGAAGCCAAGGCGGAATATACAGTATCGAGACCTAGGTGTGTCTGGACCATCGCACGGCGCCAACCGTCCCCAGAGCTCTTTATGCTGATCTCTAGAATTGCCTGGAAGCAACCGCCGTGTCTCGCATTGATAACCTCGAGTTCCTCTCAGACGTCATCCCGAAAACTACGACGTACAAACAATTCAAAGAAAAGCGAGCGCGCGAAGCCGCCAAAGAGGCCGGACGACCAAAGGGCCAGCGTACACTAGGCAGAAAGGGGATGCAGGCGAACGGCGAGTCGGTGACCTCGCGCGAGGAATCGATGGTGAATTTGGACGCGAACGGAGCGCAGTCTTCTCCCCGGCTGCCCATGGTCATCCATTCCTCACGGACACAGAGCGCGCTTTTGCACGAGGAACCGGCGAACGGGGACTCTGGCGATAAAGATGTCGAGATGAGCGACTAGAGCAGGGCCATGTATGTAGCGAAACCTGGAGCCGAGGGCCTCCGTGCAGCGATGGATTTTGCTTTCAAGGTAGCATTCTGACGAGCGACGATGGGCTTCACGGCTATAGAAGGGCAGCTGTTTGGCAGCGCGGCGTTGGGCGCATGCTTTTTGGATGATTCACAAGTAGCACATTTATTCAGAATATGATAGCATCTGTAGACCAGTCACTATGAGATACCAATGACTTCGTTCACCTCGCCGTCGCTGGTTTTTCGGTGGAGGCCCCGGCCAGCCAATCAGACGGGCCGCGATTCCGACCGAATTCGCAACTCTTCAACTTCAACTTCACGGCCAAAAAGACGCTCGCTTGCTCTCGATTGCCATCGTCCATCCCGTCATTGTTGGGTTTCTGCTCAGCTGCGTCCCTTCGTCTTGTCCCCGCCATGCCTCCTCTCACTGCTTCCTCTGCCTCGTCGCTCGCCCGGGCCTGCACCCGCCAGACCCTGGCCCTCCCTCGCACTCTCGCCGTGACAACCTCCGCCCAGCAGCTCCGAGCAAAGTCTTCATCGGAAACGGCGCAGACCTCCTCGTTCGATAGCCCCTTTGGTCGCAGCAAGGAAAGCCCTTCGACATTGAAGATCCCCAACTTTGGAAAATACGCCAGTCCTCGCAATGCCACGTCGAACAAGGTCTTTTCCTACTTCGTGGCGGGAAGTATGGGTTTGATCACTGCTGTTGGAGCAAAGGCTACTGTGCAGGGTATGTTTTTGCGCGAATTGCACTCTTGTCAATGGCGTCTTTCCTCTAGAGTTCCTTCAGAGCCAGTGGCAGAAGAAACACGACCTCCATGGTCAATCCGTTTACGGCTATACTGACCCAATTGGATACATTTCAGATTTTCTCGTCAACATGTCTGCCTCAGCCGATGTCCTTGCCCAAGCCAAGGTTGAAATCGGTCTCAATTCCATCCCCGAAGGCAAGAACGTACGTTTTTCTCCCGCCCGCTTGGCAAGCGCCTATTTTCCAATTTTACAGACTGCAAATTCTGACCGTGTCCTGCTTTTGCTCGTTTAAATAGGTGATCATCAAATGGCGAGGCAAGCCCGTTTTCATCCGTCACCGTACCGCTAGCGAAATCGCGGAGGCCGAGAACACAAACTGGGAAGGGCTCCGGGATCCTCAGCCAGATTCTGACCGTGTGAAGAAACCCGAATGGCTTGTTATGCTGGGTACGTGACATCTCCCACCCGCCAATCTGCATTCTCACGGGATTTTCCTTTGAATTTATGCTCACTTTTCTATTGTGTAGGTGTCTGCACCCATCTTGGCTGTGTCCCAATTGGTGAATCCGGAGACTTTGGCGGTTGGTTCTGCCCCTGCCACGGTTCCCACTACGACATCTCTGGCAGAATCAGGAAAGGCCCTGCTCCCCTTAACCTCGAGGTTCCTCAGTACGATTTCCCTACGGAAGATACCCTTGTCATCGGTTAAGGCTCTTGTACACTACGTGAGATGTTATGGATGGGGAGCGGAGTGTGCGGGGAGGGTTAATTAGCATGAAGAGGAAAAAGATCATATATCTGTAGAGGGAACGAAGGATCGTTTATCTTGGATTTTCATATAGAGGAAAAAAAAAAAGAAGAGGGAGAACTGACCTCGCCCCCCATAAGCATATGTGGGTTTCTCTTCAACTTGACTCTGTTTATATTATGTACTTTTTTGTCCCCTTTACCGGTTTGTCGATCTCGAAATTGTTCTCCTTTGTACCACCAGAATATACACAGCTCCGCCTATACGTGATTCTGGAGAATGCGATAGACTGAAAAGACTGAAGACGAAAATCGTGCTTCCGCATTTCAATCTTGCGACTAAGGGCGCTATACGCAGTAAATAGAGCAGTCCTCAAGAATGCCCTCATCCTTCTATCTAGAATACAACTGGAAGAGCAAAAAAAACCGCTCAAGACTGGACCATAACACATACATTCGGGGAGGGCGCGAACCAAGGAAATTTTATATATGTACAGTACATATCCAAAATAAATGCCATCTCTTTTCTTTATTCCAAAACTGATAGACTCAACGGTGTTTATCCTTCCCTAGCCAATCAGGAGAAAATCTTTTCAACTGGATAGAATCAAGTCTGTCTACCGCGGCCTGAAGATGGCGATCAATACGCCCATGACCGCTGCGCCGGCAGCTGCACTTTCCAATGCAACGGTTGTCAAGTCTCGTTGCGAGAGTGTCACGCGCCGATCGCTAAATAGGTCTCGGCAGGTTTGTTGCCACGAATCAGGGGAAAGAGAAGCTTCGGGTGGGAGGATTGTGGTGAGTGGAGGTTCGGTAATGGGTTCGGGTTCGGGCTCGAGCTCGAGCTCAGACTGCGGTTGTTCTTGTTGTTGTTGCTGTTGTGGTCCGGAGTGTGTTACGAGTGTAGACAATTCGGGCTGTGCTTGTTCAGCGGAAATATCAGACTCAGCTGGAGGCATAACCGTTGATGAGACGCTCTTTTCACCGTGCCCGTCTACCTCCAGATCTTCCTGGTGTCGATGGGCTTGGGTAATAGGAGACACGGCAACAACAGCTGGCTTTTGATCCAACGGTGCCGGGACATGGTCCACCCCGTTCTCTTTCTCCAAAGCCTCCATCACTTTCTCCTCGAATCCTTTGACCAGCCTCTTCCTCCTCCACGGCTCAACTGCCACTTGGAAGATCAAAAACAACAGCACGTTGACGCCCATCAGTCCCCATGTTCCCCATGTACTCATCCGTCGAATCTTATCCGACCAGATCTGCTCCTCGTGGTAGCGCGACAAGATGCTCTTGCTTAGCAGCGCCGCTGCTTCCTCTGCCTCCCGCTCAGCGGCCACTAGAGCCTCCTGGGCTTCCGTTTCGGCTCTCTCGTTCGCATGATCGGAGCGATATAGCGATGTAAAACGTTCAAGGTCTGTTGGCGTCCAGGCGTGCTTTCGTTGTAGAAGCTCGTTAACCTCGCGCTGAGAGGCGGAACGGCGGTTTATTGCGGCCGAATAGGCATCTTTGGATTCGCGGACACGGGCGTGCACTTGTCGAACATGATCCTCTGTTGCAAGATGAAAAGTACAGAGTTAGTTTTGTCTTCTCCTTTGCCTGGCTTTAACAATTGTAGCCCAAAAAGAGGAAAGATTCAAAACCTTAGGTTGGACGAGACATACCCTGAGCGAGAATATCTTGTTTCAACTTCTCAATTGCAGAGTATCCCGTCAAGTCGTTTATATGTCTATTCGCAATGAAGATGTTGGACTGTAAATTATCCATCAATTGGGAGAACTGTTTCGAAAGCTGCGACCGGCGGTTTTCCCAATGCGAGGGGAGACTGCTCTCGCTCCCTTTTATGTCACTTTCTCCTCCTGGCCGCGAGGCGCCCTTAGATTCTTCTTCCGGACCTTTATTTGGCAATTGCGAGGTGGTGCTGGCTCCGGAGGCGCCGGGCTCCTCCACCTTTGCATTATCGTTGTCTAAACTCCCATCTCGTATATTCTCCCTTCGCGACTCATTCTTATCTCCTGGGACAGAGTAATATCTCGCTTGTGCACGGAATTGACATCGTAGGCATATCGAAGGCCCGACGTTGCGCAATGCAGACTTTTGCCGAGCAAACTGTGACGAAAACGACGCGGTCGGAATGTGATTATATACTGTAGTTTTGGCGAAGCCGACTCCCGATCGTAGAGATTGTCTGAATAGGAGCGGAAGAGGATGCATAACTAGGATTGAACAGAGGTCGCTGTCATGAAGACAGCTTCATGTGGCAGTTGTTGTGTGGTTGAAGTGCTTGGTCTTTGTGTTGAACTTTTTGGGAGCCCTTTCGTTGCTCTGCACCGCATGCAGTCAATCTGCAGTGCGACGAAATTCCGCCCATTGGGGTTGATTGAAATTAAAACTGTCTTTGGAAACAGTTGGCCTCTATTTCTACACTTACTGTCGCATGTCACATTGTTGTGCCTAGCCGCCGCAAAGTAATTCTGATTGCCCTGAAACTAGCAGAACAAAGTTCACTCCTCGCAAGGGCCCAATGTAGATAGAAATTCAACTGTTGAATTGCAAGTAGGTATACATACACAAGTTCATTATCATTGCGAAAGTCCAGGACAATCAAGCAAGAAATCATCTTAAAACGCCCGGAACGTATCCTCATCCCAACGAGTATACAGGGGATGTGGAAGCCTGTGGAATACAGGAGCAGATTAAATTAAAGAATGCGCCACACAAGCGCCATAGTAAAATCGCTATAAAGCCACTTATAGAAGAATAGATTCCGGAGAGCTAAGAAGCTATGGCAGCACGGTCACGGCTTTCGACGCGTCAAACCGCCTATGGCGATTGTCATAATGTTCACTTCAATCCCATTATTTCGGTTTCGAGTAGGACCATTGCCAAATCCTTAGGTTTGAACCTTATGATCGCCCTTCACTGCTTCAGCGTAGGTTGGGGGAGCCCTTGTTTCGTCATGTGGTCTAGAGCTGCTACCTTGTTCAGCGCCCTCTCTCGCGCCGGAATCATTATGTTGGGAAGGATGGCGTGGCGGTACTGCTGGCGCTGGCTTTGTGGATGAATTGGGCACTTCAGGCGGCTGTTGTTGAGTGGCTCCGTAAGATCGTTGAGGAGAGCGGTTGTTTTGAGGAGCTTGGTGGTGAGCGACATAGTAGTAGGTCACCCTCCCGTTTTCAGGGTCGTGATGGGTGCCCGATCCAACAATGGGCTGGTAGCCGTCTGGATACTCGTCATCGGGCTCTGGGTATTTCAGAATAATATACCACGCGTGCAGGAGGCCGGGCACATAGCCCAGGCAGCATAAAGCGATATTGATGATTGAATCTGCGGAGCATATTCCAACCTTTATCCACACTGCTTATGCGTTAGCGGCGAGATGAATTCGCAGAGCAAACGGGGTCAAGATGCTGGATGTTGCCTCACCTGCAACTGGGGGAAACAGGACGGCCAGCAGCCCTAGAAAGAGGTCAGGCGAGCACATGGTGGTACTGGCAGAATCTTCAGTCAAATATTCAGTCAAGTCTTCAGCCTGGAAAGCTTTAATGAACGTGTCATCTAGTTCAACTGTTCAAGTGGTGTGGTGAGTGTTTATCAGCTCTCTTGGATTCATGGAAGCCTGACGGCTGGGCGATGCGGAGTGACGTTGATTTGGTGTGACGACGTTGGCGGGGAGTGGCTTTGTCAGCATCATGTGGAAGTGATAACGATGCCACTCACCGCGTTATCCAGAGCGCCGTCGAGGCGGACAATGGCGCATGGAGTTCCGGATGCTAGGATATTGCTGTTAAGATTGAAGCAAAACAACCGATGTCGAGCTTTTGGACATGGAAGCATTTAGTTATCTGGTCTGTCCGTCGAAGACGACCTCGAAGGACCGTACTTCTCCTACGAAATGCTCTGTATTGAAACAAACGCCACCTCGCTGCAACCGGATACTTCAAAGCCCTTTATGCACACCGAGATCCTAATCCATATACTCAATATCTCGTAGAATAATAAGGATTTGAAAGAACAACGAAAGAGCTTTAGCATAGCTAGATGTTTGCACTGTTTGCATAAGCATCGATGATGACCGCTAGTAACATTCGTACCTCGGCGATCCAACGCGCAGTCTGTGGTTCAAGTCCGGGGAACTCCATCAGTTCCAGGGAATCCAGATGAAACGCCACGGCCCATCTGCAGCATGTCTGGCGTGCCCAGGAAGCAAGAGAGCAAGACCACCAGGACATAGGGCCGAAATAGGGCCCAAGCAGGGCGACCACGATATCGAATCGCAAGCGTTACCACAGCAATACCGCCGTCGGTTCCTAGGGTAATCTATTTTGATTAGCAAAGCACCTCCCCCGTTCGACTTTGCTCTTTTCGACTTTTGCGGTTTTCTTTCTCTTCTTTCGCTCGACAACCTCCCTGTCGCCCTTGTCCAGCCTGTTCTCGTCAGGCATCCATTCGTTGGGGTTGACTCCTAATAATTCCCTTCTTAATACCGGGCGCTTCGCCTGCTTTTCCTGTGTGAGCGTTCCGCCGCTCGTTTTGACCTGAGTTGGTTTCGCGATCTGTCAGGGGCACGAACTCAACTGTCGGAACCCTCGACCATTGCCGCATAATACTACTATTAATTCGACAAGACCGCCGCAAAATCCCAATCCCTGATGAAGAGCTTCGCTCAACTCAGCTCGGCTTCTCAGTCAACACAATAAATCCGTTAATACTAGTTTCTTTCCCGTTGGTCTGCGTGCGACTCGAGTGTGATACATCCCACCGCCGCCCTGCCCATCATCGACGATGGCAGAGACCTGCATTCCTCTAAAAGACTCAACGACATGTCCTGCATTCTCCAAGGCGTCCTTTTCCACCAAGAAAGAAATTGTGGACCTCTAGTACGGCCAGCACTCGTTCCTCCCAGGCGACGCTAAATGTAACTGACATGCTCGCCTTTCCGCAGCCCCTTCCTTGCATTCGTCTCCAACGTCGAAGACTTCGATAAGGAACTTGAATCATACGTCCATCGCGATTATGTCAAACTCAAGTATGTCGCTAAAATGGAAACCAGTCAGCTTCACAACACTGACCCTTGCGCACAGATATCAAACGCTCATCGGCTGTTCCAATGTCAATCTCCGAAACACGTCGTCTCTCTACGCTAGATATACAACCAGTGTCCTTTGTAATGGCATAATTCAAAACTCTAAAGATATCTGCAACCTTTCTCCGGAGAATTCGCGACCACTCTGTGCTGACACATGCGTCTGTGCTCCATTCACTCCTCACGAGTAACCTTCGACTGACTTTAGACAGGCCTTGGCAGCTACGAGCGAGGAAATGATCGCGGTAAATCCTGACCTATGTGGCACTCCAAAGAACAACTTTATGGACCAAATACGCTCTGACTTCACCGTGTGCGCAATCCCTGCCGATTCATTGACCGGAAAATGCATATCAGGAAGCGATAATGAACAGAAAGAATGTGGCTATGGACCCAATTTGCTTGGACTTTGCGGATTTTGCGCCGAAAGCTCGCCGAATGCGACTGATTCATGCTGCGTCGCAGCAGATGCGCCAAACCGATGTCGCGGACTAGAACTGCCCACCTTATCGCCCTTACCTCCTCTCTTCCCCACGTCGACTTCTAGTTCTACTCCATCAGCTAGTACGGGTGCCAGCCCCGGTGGTCTTTCTGGTGGAGCCATTGCGGGAATTGTGGTTGGATCTGTGGCCGGCGTCGCTTTGTTAGCGGCACTAGGAGTATTTCTATTCATCTTTCTCCGTCGAAGGCGCGAGCGGGAAGGCAGTATATTCAATCAACCGACACCTCCACGGAAAGGAACAAATTCGATGCAGTACGCGCCCGGAAGCAGGGGAGACGGAACCGGGTATGAGGTTCTTCCCGGAGGACGTGTTGCCCGCATGTCTGCTTTACAAAGTAACGAGGGTTCCCCACCACGTGGTGCTGCGGGCGGTAGATACGATTCATCGGATACCGAAACTTTTGCTAGCCCTGGGAGTCGTACCAAAGGGCGACTTCCTGTGACTGGTAGAAGGAACGGTTCACTATCTAGTACTTCAGTTCTTGATACATCACCAAAATCAGGAGATGGCGCACAGTTTTCTTCGCCAGAAGGCGTCGCTAGTGGCCAATCGGAACAGCTCCCTTACTTCAGAGACTATTATTCACAGGATGATATTCATCCCAATGATAAAGTATCCGTGTTGTGGGCGTATCAACCTCGCGCGGCGGATGAGTTTGAATTGGAACGGGGCGATATGCTCAAAATAGTCGGTATTTGGGATGATGGATGGGCAACCGGAGTGCGGATTTCTGAACGGGCCGAAGATTACGATGGAAAACACAAGCCTCAACGTGATAGCGGTGTCTCCAACGGTCCTGAGCGACGAGGGTCATCGCCGGTTCCTATGGGCGACATCAAAGCGTTTCCGGTAAGCTCCCTCCGCAATCCAGATTAAATTCTCATTTACTGATGAACTCTAGCTTGTTTGTGTCTGCCTGCCGGAACACTGGAAAAAGACCATCGAAGGAGACCCTCAGAGAATGAGCATGGACACTCAGTGATCTGTTGTCATAAATCTCCTCCTTCAATGTCTTGATGTCTTCACGATTGTGTGGGTTTCTGTGGTTTATTCGGCGTTTTCGCGGAAGTGGTCCAATTTGAGCGTCTTTAGGACAACTGCTCAAAATCTTTATTCCCCCCCCTTTTTCCTCGGCATTTATTTCCCTATTCACAGTGAGATTATTGCACAGTCAACTCCAAATCCGCACCTCTTAGCCTCCTATTTCTCTATGCATTATCTTCAAGATTTCCCTTTCCTTTCTTCCTGTCTGTTGGCAATTTGGGCACCCCATAGACGTGCCTTTCCGAAATGCGAGGCCCCTGAGCCTTGTACGTGAACCGAGTTCCCCTTTCTCTTCGTTACCGGGCCGCTCGCTCTAGCAGCTGTGGCGGTGGTTTCATTTGCGAACATATTTGAACCCCTTTCCCAACATTTGGTTGGTCGAGTCCTGTAATTTTATCCCAGATATGTACCTAGTTATACCCCAATATCGATCTGTGGAATACATGAATATATTCTCATTGCACCAAAGATGTGGCCGAGAATCGCAACCAGAACCGAATCCGTTGCTCCTACTCCGTAGAAAGGCCAAGGGTTCAAACCTGTATAAGACCAGGTGCTTCTTTTTAAAAATTAGTTTCTGATGTGAAAGATACGGTCCCTGACGAAATTGATAACAATGCTTGATTGGGCCTATGGTGCGATTTGATATGAAGACTGTCTGCCACAATAGCAGGATTTTTTTACCTATCTACCATGATGAGTAGATACTTTGAGGTCCAAAACTTGCTGCACTGGCTGGTGAGAAATCATTTGATCTTAGACTTCATTGGAGTCTTCTCTAGATAAAAGCTCCGTAGTTGATATCGTAGCCTATAACCAGAGAAACAAAAGCATGACATAAGGCGAAGCCCTACCTATCAAGAGAAACATTGAAGTTTTTGATAACAAGGTATCCATAGCCTTTTGTCATCAAAAGTTCTTTCTGGCCCACGACACGACTGTTCTAGAAACCGGTGCCAACAAAGCCACCGGCTAGGTGGAGCCGTTGGGCCGATGGGAAGAAAACCGTTTTGCGAGGAAAGTAGTTAGGCTGGAACAATCAAACAAGACCGCAGAGGATAAGTTGATGTTGAGAGCACAATTTTTCTGATGAACTCAAGGTGGAGGGCAACTGTTTATGAATAGAAGCCATCAAAGGGTTTCTTGAATAATAGTCTGCGGTTGCCCATTGATCTCAAATTCCAATCGCACGAAGAGATCATCATTGGAAAACGGGCTGCGATGCATCTGGAAACTGTCCTGCATGAGTGCGATGTGACGGCATCGCACAGTTTTGTTCTTGTCCACCAGCGAGACGGGATGGAATGCCGAGTTGGGCCCGGAAACGACTCTGATTCACGCGTTCCGTTGCCGACAGAAAAGCAAAGCCCGCCGGTCGCTTTAGTTTGCGTGACAAGCCGGACAAAGAGACATGCGGGCACAGAGTGATCTGACCAACAGCGGCCCGAGACATCGCGCATCTCGTTGGCCCTGGCCAGGTCAAGAGGAAAGACCGGAGACTCCAAAACCTCGCCAGATCCAATCAGTCAACCCATCGCCGGCCCTTCAATGCCTTGATCCGGACACCGGTGCACCGTCGCAGGGATCCGATCGCATTTCGTGTTTCTTGCAGGATTGATGCTGTAACCGCTCCTGGTCAACAGCGGTGCCTGTCTTGAGTTTATACGCTTGCCCATCCTCGGGCAATGCACCGCAGAATCCAGAAACCCTGATGGGACGCCCGAGCCTCGCCAAGAGACCGTGCAGCTGCATGTTCGCATGGGAATCCTCCGACTTTCTTTGAAGCGGATGAACGACGGTAGGTCTCGTCCCGATGTCCTCGATGGTTGGAATCCCTCTTTTGCGGGATATGTCTTGCGTCCTCCCCGGTGCCACTGCGTTTGGTGTTCTCCCCGTTATTTATGATCGTTTTTCGTTGCTAGAGATTGGTGCGCAGCGAACATCAAGATGAATCATCCAGGCTGAAATTCGTCGTGTAGCACGGGTCTAATCGTCTAAGCCGCTCCTTTGCACACCTGTTCGATTGAGCGATCGTTGTCTCCGCGTCTTGCCAGTTCTGCTGGTCAGATAACTATGTCAGGTACGGTCATTGCATTCAAAACGAGCGCTCCTTTCCAGTCAAGCTAACAACACGCTCGCAGGAAAAAAAGGCGAAAACGTCTCACAGACGAGGCGGCGGATAGTCCCTGCGCAGCCTGTGCCAGACACGGGACCCCGCCATGCTCCTGTCGCTTCACCGGCCTCTCAGCGCACGTTCTTCTTTGTTGACGACAAGTCTTCCAGCAAGGGGAAACGTGCACATGTCATGAAGCACCATATCCAAGAGAAGAAAAAGGAGCAGAGAAGATTGCTCTCGCAGGTGGTGGTTGCGCAGGGAGCACGCGGGGCCCGGGCGTTGCCATGGACGAGAAAGCCAGACGAGCCATCGCAGCCTGCAGCAGACACGAACAAGACGCACACCTTTGCGCTACGTACAATGACTCCTGTTGTGGTAGGTCCTCTTGGATGCTCTTCGGTTGCTGGTGCCAGCCGCTAAAGCCAATGCAGTGGACTGAAGACACGGATAAGAAGAACGATGCGCCCCTTCCCGTCAAGGCACCACCGGCTCCGACTCACAGTGGGTGCCTTCTTTGCCACCAATTCACAATAAGCGCATCGAGGACAGATCCCTTCTGCACCTTGCCGATGGATATCACGGATGAATCGCAGCAGCTTGTGGACTGTTGGACGAAGAAGCTGGCGTACTGGTCGGGCCAAAATACGCACATGAAAATTGCTGGTTTCAAGCAAGCAATCCTCAATCCAATGACCTTCCATGTCGCGATTCTTACTTACTGTGCCCGGTATAAAGCTCACGTTTTCGGCGCAGAGCAGACCCCGCAGTCTATTCAGTACCTCTCGACGGCGGAGCGCTCGCTTGCGCGATATATTGCAAACGCAAGCGACCCTTACGATCAAAACATCATCATGGCGTTTGCAGCTCTGTCGCTTCAAGAGGAAAGATATGGGTGTAAGGAGAAAGCGATGAAACTCGTCAATCAAGCGATGGTCCGGCTGAGACCTCGTGCGGGACAATATCATTTTCAGGATGTTTACGTGCACTACGTTCGCTATACCATGTCTCCGCGGGGCACCGTACGCAATCCGGCAGATGCACATCTGCTATTATCTTTTCTTCGTAGCGCTGAATCTGCGGCACAGGACCATCAATTTATCTCCCAGATTCCTATCAGGGAAGAGATTTTTCAATTCTCGACGCCTCTCCACCTTCTTCTCTCCTCCGGGCCACAACCCAGCCATGTCCCGAACGAAGAACGAAAATGGGTCGTCAAATACGGTTCACTACATGACTTTTGTCGCATCGCATCGTTGATCTACATCACCGCCGCTTTACTGGACTACCGCGGCTCAGCCGACAGGACAGCCCGATTCCTGGAACAGCTACTTGAGAGAGTCGACCAGCATCGCCTCAACCGCTGGCCATCGACAGAAACGCTGGTATGGATGCTCCTTGAAGAGCCTGCCAGCCCTGATTTGAAAAATCCGCAGCGTGCCTGGCTTGTAGGCGACATGTTGGAGGTTGTTCGAAAGTTACCGTGGCAACTGAACTACCAGTTTAGCGAACTGTTACTCAGGTATCTGATGCTGAGGCCGCCAGACCTTGAAATATCATTGAGTCGATTCGAGCGAGATCTATGGGCGCACCTCAGCCCACAGGAAGCAGTTCCTACAATTTTTGGCTGAAGCCTGCATGTTATCTGGTTCTGATATCAATGTGTCTGATAATCCTTTCCGGGATGTATTGCTCCCCTCTCGCTCTCTTCCCGTACCACGCACAACATTCACAAATAAAAATATCTATTTTTTTTATTCGAGATTTAGTTTTAATCGTCAATTTGGTATCAGCAAATACTGCACCAGCGCTCTATTATCCTCCCGTTCTCTGACATCTCTTCTCTGGCCTTTTTCCCACGGCCTCCATCACACTGGGAATTTTCAAACTATTTAGCGGCCTTGCATCCATTGTATATATACCCCACGCATGTGCTGAACTGGATACCTTATGGAATATTTAAAATACTCCCCTCAAGACCATGGGCTGGCACTGGATGAGCATCGCTATGTCAACTCCCGAGGCGGAAGATGATAAGTGGATCATTGCTCAAAGATAGAGCAGCTGATGGGGACAAACTTGTGTCGAATCAATGGGTCTCTCATCTTTGCACGCATGACAAGCTTGCCAACCCTGTTTCTTCTCGAATCAAAAAATCAAATTTCAACATATTTGACGCTATGAGTGTTTCAGAACTTTCCCATCGGCGACTTAAAAACCACCAAGTAACATCTCGGCTTTTGAAACGCGAGCTATTCGACTACATGAACAATATACATAGGGAGAAGGGGTTGCAAACGTAGAGCTATGTATAGCTTGGTCTTGCATCTCTATCCAGTTGCTGAAGTTTAGTTATTAAGGCTTGTCATCTAGAGCTTGAAAATAGGTGACTGGAATTTCGATCTATTCACGTAGCTAAGGTGTTCTATACTACCTGTATGGCACCTCCATCGACATGAGTACACTATGTCCATCATGCTTGAACATACCTTTGCTTATAGATAGGCTAGTACTTGCGATCTCTGAGAGATTTCCATGAAGCTGCAAAGCCGTAGTTGAATCTCTGGATGTTTAATACACTTTCCTGTGGTATATAAAAATATATGCATGCCTTTGAGCGGAAACAAAAAACAAATATTCCTAGGCATATTCGAATGCTTTAAAAAAAAGTGAAGGAAAAAGATAGCGGTGACAAAAAGGTTCCCATCGGGTGAGCGCCTAGCCCGATGGTACGTCCTTGTCGCTATTCGAACCCCTATTGCCTCCTGCGTCGTTTGGGGGGCGCTCCAGGTGTGGATAGTTTGACCACTAGGCCACGGGGGTTTTGTTGTGTGATATAGCTCTTTTTTTTGGGGGCATAAGTTCCATGTGTTGTTGAGATAGGGAGCTGTGTTGAGTCCCAAAGTCTCAGGTGACAACATGACTCACTCAAGCTCGACGCAGGCACCATGTTAGAACTTGGATCGAGGTTGGTGGTTCCGGAGGTTTCGGAAAGGTTCAAAGCAGAGGTTTTGAGGAGGGTCCTTCTATTGTCAAGAATGATGTTGTATCGAGCATAATTCGACATAACTGACGGACTCATCACCTCAGGGCGGATGTTGCTTCGCTCTTCGAATGTCAACATCTACATGCAGAAGACAGGATTAGCATAACTTGTCTGACTCGAGAAGAGTGTTGAGTATTTGCAAACCAGGAACAAGCAACTGGGCGACTGGTTCCATGGGTATTGTCACTCAATAATGCGGATGGTTTCTTTGGTCCCTTTTCGGGGCAAAACCAAGGGGTCGCTCCCAACAGCAATTAATAACAGTCCAGAAATTTGGACAAGCCAACGGCGCGTATCAAGTGGCGATCTCGCGGGGAAAACGTGATGTCGCACTTACATATGGCTGCCCAAGAGCGCCCCCAGGCACAGGCTATCGGTGCTGGGCGCCATGTGAGCCTGCAGTCTCGCGTACTTGATGCAGATGGGACGAATGCGGCGATGAGGTCAGACGGTCAAAACCTGCAGAATTAAGGTTTTTCAGCCAGCCCCAAACCAGCTCACATCCACGTCCGCCAATCAGCACGCCGCAACCGCCCACTCTGCAACACACTAGCGAAACTCTCCGCCGGAACAATGTTGATCCGAGCAATCAGCGCGCCGATCCCAAGCCACACGATTAGCTAAGCGAGATGTGGCGCTCGCCTGGAGCTCTGGCGGGGGGCGCATTAGCTAATCAAGTGGCTCCAACACACCGCGAACCAGGAAGTGCGCTTTAACTTCAAGCGATCGTCCTTCATCTCGACTTCTTGTCCTCCTTAATTAACAGCCCTGATTTCCCACTCCTGTCCCTCTTTTGGTTCTTTTGGCTTGTTGTCACCGTCACTCTCTGCAGCCTTGAGCTGCTTTTTTCTTTCTCCTTTCTCGTCATTCAATGCTCTGCTGAGAGCTAATCTGCACCTGAGCTTCCCTCCACCCCCTGTCGCACTTAGCGCCCGGGTATATATATATATATATATATCATTAGCCTGCATTCAGAGCAATTTGACCCCAGACAGGCGGTTTGAGTAGCCATGGACACCTTTGTCCAGCTCGCAAGACGAGCGGTATGCTTTTATCCTGTCTCAATCGGCCTCAATTCGTCCCAAGCCCTCTAACCGTATCGCTCTAGGACGATGACAACCCGCAAAATGCGTCCAATTCGGCGTCCGGCCTTGTGTCGACCCTAATTCCCACCCTCATCATTTCGGGGGCGATGCTCTTGCTGTTTGTAATCCTGCGCCGCAGTGAACGCAGACAGTATGTCCCCAGGACATACATCGGCGCTTTGCGCGAAGAGGAGCGCACTCCCGCTCCTGAACCGGGCTTTTTGGGCTGGATCTGGTCCATGATGAAATTGCCCGATACCTACGTGCTTCGCCATCACTCCATTGATGCGTACTTGCTCCTTCGCTACTTGAAAATTGCCACTACAATTTGCTTCGTCGGGTGCTTGATCACCTGGCCCGTCCTCTTTCCCGTCAATGCCACTGGAGGAGCGGGAAAACAGCAATTGGATATGTTAAGTTTTGGAAATGTTACCGGAAATCTTAATAGATACTATGCTCACACATTCATTGCTTGGATTTTTATTGGTAAGTTCGAACAAACATCCTCGCAAATATAAATCGTCATTGACATGTTTCCAGGGTTTGTCTTCTTCATGATTACTCGCGAAAACATCTACTTCATCAACTTGCGCCAGGCATATTTCTTTTCCCCGCTCTATGCCAATCGTATCTCTTCCAAGACCGTTCTTTTCACCTCTGTACCTGATGAGTATCTTGATGAGGCTCGAATCCGCAAGATGTATGGGGAGGATAAAGTTAAAAACGTCTGGCTTGTTCCCGTTGTGGATGATCTTCAAAGCAAGGTTGAAGAACGAGATGGAGCAGCCTTCAAACTTGAAGGCGCGGAAACTAAACTAATCAAGCTTGCAAATGCTGCCCGTCTTAAGGCTACAAAAGGAACGCCCAGTGACGAAGAAGCCCAAAAAGCCATTTCAACCCCCGAAACGAATGCAGGTGAAGAGTCTGGCTCAGTGGCAGCTAAATGGATCAAGCCTTCGCAGAGACCCACTCACCGACTCAAGATGCTCATTGGCAAAAAGGTCGACACTATCAACTGGGCTCGTGGAGAGATTGGACGTTTAAATCCTGAAATACAAGCTCTGCAGTCCAAACTTCGTGCTGGTGATGCCGAACTTATGTCCTCTATTTTTGTTGAATTCTACACGCAGAATGACGCACAAGCCGCTTATCAAATGGGTAAGCCTTTTCCCATCGCGTTGATACTATGCCCAGGATAATGCTAACATGCATCCATAGTTGCGCATAACCAGCCCCTGCACATGGCTCCACGCTACATTGGTTTGAACCCTAGCGACATCATCTGGTCGAATTTGCGTATCAAATGGTGGGAACTCATTATTCGCAACGCTGCCACTATCGGTTTCGTCGTAGCATTGATCATCTTTTGGGCAATCCCCGTCGCTGCTGTCGGTGCTATATCCAACATCAACTTTCTTACCGACAAGGTTCCATTCCTAAGCTTTATTAATGACTGCCCAAAGTTGATTCTCGGTCTCATCACCGCCTTCCTGCCTGCTATCCTCTTGGCTGTTCTCATGGCTTTGTTGCCCATTGTGCTTCGGCGTAAGTAGCTGTTCACTCGCTATCATATAAGAACTTGTTCTAACTTCCTCTAGTCATGGCAAGACTCGGGGGTGTACCAACCACCGCTGCCGTTGAATTGAGGACCCAGAATTTTTACTTTGGTTTCCAGGTCGTTCAAGTCTTCCTTGTCACAACCATTGCCTCCGCTGCATCCAGTGCTGTTACGAAAATCATCCAAAAGCCACAAGAAGCCGCTTCGTTACTCGCTGAGAATATCCCGAAAGCTTCAAACTTTTATATCGCTTATTTCATCTTGCAGGGCTTGACTTTCAGCTCCGGCGCTCTCTTACAGGTTGTTGGTCTGATAGTTTCGAAGATCTTAGGCAAGCTTTTGGATAATACGCCCCGAAAGATGTACAAGAGATGGTCTACCCTGTCTGGTTTAGGCTGGGGAACTGTCTTCCCTGTTCTCACCAATCTTTGTGTTATCGGTAGGGAATTACCAAATACTTTCTTGGTTCCTTCTTTGCTGACGAATCTGTAGCAATCACCTATGCTGCAATCGCTCCTTTAGTCCTTGGTTTCGCGACTGTCGGCCTTTATCTCTTCTATATCGCTTATAGATACAACATGCTTTATGTCACCAATGCCAACATCGACACAAAAGGGATGATTTACCCTCGAGCATTGCAGCACACAACCGTTGGCTGCTATCTTTTGATCATCTGTCTTATTGGCCTATTTGCTATTGGAACTGCGTCTGATCGCAGCGCCTTGGGTCCTATGATCCTTATGATCATTTGCGGTGTCTTTACGGTTATATATCACCTCTCGCTGAACCAAGCCATAACGCCTTTGCTCAACTACCTACCCAAAAACTTGGAAACCGAAGTCACAAGCCCACTACTTCATGAGCCTGTGCGCCATGCAGCTGGTCCCAGTGGAGAAGCGGACGGCGATCCTGAAAAGGGCATATCAAATGGTGCCTCTGCCGAGCCCGAATTGCCGAAAGCCAATCCTATTGTCAAATTTTTCCAACCGCAGAAATACGCTGACCATAATACTTTGCGAAACCTTGTTCCTCACGATTTTGCTGATACCGTTTATCCACCTGAAGTTGAGCAAAATGCGTATTACCATCCGTGCATTGGCTCAACGCCACCACTTCTTTGGATTCCACGTGATGCTGGAGGCGTAAGTCGACAAGAAGTTGCGCATACATCACAGGTTATCCCCATCACTGATGAAGATGCCTCCATTGATGATAATGGTAAAATCACATGGAATCAAGACAAAGGCGTCCCACCAATCTATGAGGAGAAGATTTACTACTAAAGTGAAGTGACTCCTCTCTCGGGAACTTCAGACAGTTAATATTTTCAGAATTTCGGAACTCCTGCGCCCTTCAAAGTGAAAAAGGAGTGGGCGTTGTATATACCTTGGATTTCACTATTGATCTTTTGCCGCTTTTTGTGACTGGTGGGTTCCAATCTTGGGTTTTGTTGCGTGATACCCCCCGCCGAGAACAATTAAGACTGTGACTGTTATGCCTGTCAAGTTAATATGAGATCTAATAAGTAATAATGAATACGAACTGCACATTCCCTTGATGTAATCACTTGATCCACGATCCTTGCTTCTACTTTCTTTCACCTTTCCAGTCACCTTGCTCTCTCAACCGCTCACCTTCACGCCAACACTGAGCTATATAAGGACCCGGTCTCCCGCAAATTTTTCTTTTCAACTTCATCAATGCAAAAATAGAGAAAGTATTTGAGTAAGTATTTCTCTTTCCCCATCTCACAAGTTAATGAATTTTTCTAACTAAAGCTGTAAAGGAATAAATAAGTCATCTAATAACCGCCTGACCCTAGAACTACAAATAGCAACAAGTCAACCGGAGCAACTAGCAGACATTACATCTCCTAACATCAGCCAGCTTTTCGAAATGACGGGCTCCCTATAACCTACAACATGTGCTGAGAACAGCACAGAATAATGCCATACCAGGAGAACACCTCCAGACATCACTAGCAATTAAAAATATTGCACGAACAACCTACAATTGCCGAATTCAGCGAGTATAACGAAACTTATCTTGGCTGCCTAGGGTGTCTTGTTGGTACACCTCTACAGTGCTAAACATTGTTTCCTTGTCCATCAGCACTTAGGAGGCTGAGATAAGGAAAAACTACGGGGAGAAATAACCTCACATTCTCCTCTCCTCCTTTGACAAATATCCAAATAATCGCATGCACCCTCTAACAGATGCTCTTCACATTCGGTTCAACAGCCTTTGTCCTTGTTGTGCAAGAACAGCTCCCTTGCCAGCTGCTGTCTCTAGCCTGAAACAAATCTACTTGAACAAGCAGAGCCCAAGCCAATGTCGCACAAGAAGATTGTCTGTCTGCTTTGCTGATATTGAAGCAGAAGAAGCCACTGAAAGACCCATGGTGAATACTTTGAACAACAAGTTGATTGGACTTATTGAAAGCAAGAACACAATCAAGGAACCAACAGAGAATGAGCTATCTGAACATGGCTCGCCAGTATGAATGGCACCGGCAGAAAGATACATCCCGCGCTCATTTCTAAGGGCAAAATTCCGACCTCCTTTCGATCGATATCTTCAGCGCTTTGTGCTTTTTACCGCTCGGCCTTGGTTCTGCTTTGAACAGAATGCTTTCTTGTTGTAAGTGAATTCTACTTCCTTCTTCTAATCTTAGCCTAATTGACCTTGATTAGATACTCTTACTGCTTCCGAAGATGCAAGTCTCTGAATCTGTTTTGCCTGAGATTCTTTGCTGTTTATATGCCTCTTTTTGTGTCTCTGTTGCTCAACAGATTAGTGAGTTCCCGATCAAGCATTTTCGTTGCTCCAAATGACATGCTCTTCATTGCTCTAACAAGCATACCAGTCTTGAACTTAAGGTGTGGTGGAAATCTTTGAGCAAATACCGATCGAGCGGCGATGAAGACGATATTGAGACTTGAGCAAATCTCATCTATTGTGCGGGTGGCCACCGCTTCTACAAAATTTTACTACAGCTCAACTTACGTACGACTACTCCTGGAGAGGAAAACCCGACAAGCTGGGCGAGAAGTTGGCTTCTATATATCCTAACGAACATGTCCTCCCTACAAAAGATGCTTTTTGCTCTCCGGTCGAACCAGGCGACTCGAGATCCCGTCCACCTATCATACACCGCAATCACCTCTCCCTGACAGCGTTGGCGCAGCCAGCACCCGGGACTGGAAAATTACACGACGACTCTCCCTATTAGCACTTTCCCTCAAAACTGAAGAGTTGATCAAGCAAACTGGGTCACGCAATCTCAGCCACCACATCCGATACTGGCAGAACCTGAGAACCATGTCGGCACACGTCCTATGCAAGTTGAGACCGTTGGCGGCACACTGGTAGGACGTCAACACGACTTGAAAGTTGCAATTCAAGAGGACCATGACAATCTCGAAGTTATGGAAGGCGGAACCTGGTCACAACTCGCGAATGCACATCGAGACCTTTCTCCAGGGCCTACTTCGCCGTCTGGACATGCAAGTAGATATTCGACGATTCCCTATGCCTTTCCAGCAGCAATCCATCTCGAATGAATAGGCCATATCTCTGATGCATTAGTCGGGCGCAAGAAATGGACCAACCCTCAAGTCATTGCTGATCTCGACATCCTCTTTGGTGATGATGAAGATACCATCCACGCAATCCAGAACATACAACAGCAACCGATTTTGCCGCCACGGCTTTGCGGTCGTCAAGTATTGATACATGGGGATTGATCGCAAATTCGTGTACCGACCCTTCGTCGAGATTATGGTGCCTTTTCTCAGCCAGGTGGTGGAGAAAAAGGAAAGGATGTGTGCGTGGGAAGCCTACCTCGAAGATATCGAGGTTCAAACTGGCTTTCTCCGCAAATGTCATCCGGGCCTGTTGGGTCCAAGTATAAGATAATCTCTATATATATAGAGCAACGGACACAAGATAACTTGACCAAACCTTATCAACACTTCGTTCTTCAACCGAAAACAACTTCGACTTGTCAGCTCTCATCGAGACACACCGATCGTTACGGTACAAAATATGCTGTTCCCAGCACTGGAGGCCCTAGTTCAGAGATATTTCACCTAGCACCAAAAGACGCTAACGCACGTCTAGGCCCAGCGAAAAAGATGATAAGGGACGCTGAAGAAGAGATATCAACAAAAAAGAAACAGAAACTTTTACCCCTGCTGAATAGGGTCTGGTCGCCCCGACCTGGCTTTTTTTTTCCACCTTTTGGGGTTATTGCTGGCGTCTCGCGCACTAATCCGGTGGTCATTCCTGGCCCTCACCGTCATACAGTTTCACTCCGGAATAGAGCTTGGTGCCACGGGGCAACTCTACGCCTAGTTCTCCTATTTACCGCACCAGCCAAGGGATCGTGCCCAACTCCGCGAGGGCATCCTCGGCATTCCGGGCAGCAACATTCAATCGGCCTCCCAAAACGATGGATCCGTCACACTCCCCAGGCTCATGAGCTGGTGGAATTTAGGCAGCGCGAACCAACCAAGCATCATGCAGATGGTGGCTGAAGAATTCAATATGTACCTACACCACCAACAAATTAATGGGTAGTCGTGAACACTACGGATGGCTACGCGTTATGTATCATGGCATAGGACAACAACTTTATGCATCAAGACCCAACATACTATTTATGGTATGTTCTTCTCCGGCCTGATCACGCATGGCGCTTGATCTCCTTCCCTTACTACACCGAATTTGCAAAGCCCGGCGACAAAACAGTTTTCGGACATATCAATGTGAACAACCCCGACGCAGTTAACCATGGAAGACGCGTCAACATGATCCAAGTATCACTTACATTGACCAATGAGATGCATGGAGACTGTATGCAGATTCTCCCAGGAATGCATAATCACCTAGGCGAGTGGTGGAAACTTGTCGAGCAGTGTGGCCTTGGTACAAATGGATAAATCCATCGCATCAAGCCAACCATGTTTACCGAAGCAGATTCTCAACGATTCAAAACCAAATGGATGGACGTTGTATGCAAAGCCAGTGATGTGTATGTCACCTCCCCGTTGTTACCACATGGAGCGCATGGGCCATGCAAACAAGAGCGCCGCACCATGCTACCGTGGTATGTGGGAATTCAAGAAGTGGCGGTCCCCCTTCCTAGTCAGAAATATACCCCCTACTACTCAAATTTTTTCTGGAATGCATCATCATATTCGTGAATGATGGGAGGCTATCGGGAAGTGCGGCTTGGATACCGTCACAGGAGAGCACCTGAGGGTTACGGATACTAGCTATTATCCTCCAAGAAGCAATCCGCTATACTGAGTCCCGTCCTTTCTCGGAGCGATACTATTTATAGAGTCAACTAATGGAAGGACTCATGTCTGCTCACAATCTGTTAGAAGAAATCGTCACAGATTTTTATGACTATGTGCATCGATCCAAAGCCTGGGCCCATGTAGGAGAGGTTTGATTTGAAAGCAATTTCTACACATCTCGAGAGGTTGCGGAACGTGTTCAGAAGAAGCAAAGAGATATTGCTAACATTAAGGATAAACTTGTTAATAAATGGGGCACTGAAAGGATTGATGCTTTATGGAGACATGTTGATACTTTATGAATAGCCCAACAAACGAGACGCGCATTGAACAGATTTAACAATTGGAATGCATTTGTCCACCAAGTTAATGTTCGCATTTATCTGCGAATTACTACCAAAGGAGCAGGTCACCGTAGACCCATGCTATTTTACCAGGCGACGTTGACTTCACACATGACAATATGAGCGACAACAATGTCATTGGTCTCCACCATCAAGATATTCGACGACAAGGACTAGAGATCGGGCCTCAGGGAATAATTCAACAGCTGACCTTACCCCGTTCTGCCAGTTCGTGACTATTACGCAGAAAGGAAATGAAACAGACAATCAAAGGCATTTTTGCAAAAGTTTTTCACCTTGGATGTGCAATGGACTTCTCATGGCATATCTCAATCAACTGTCTGTATGTGATCGAGTGCCAAACCAGGGTGGCTACCCAAGTTGTTGTTCAGACAAGTAAACTGGCCTGCTATCAACTAGCATATAATGATAGGCAATCAATGAATGAAGCAGTCAGTGTATCAGTGAAGCTATCTTTTGCATGTGTATATACGTACAACAACCGGGATAAATATAATTGAGTGAGCAAACGATATCTTGAAGGTAGACCAACTTCTGCCTGCAATTAGAAAACTTCTCGAGAAGGGGGCTGTCGCATGTCGATAGCGTGGGAGTCGCAGAACCTTTGGACTCACCAACGCGAGTATTTACTCCTCAGTTTCAAGTCTGCTTCTTATCCAGAGCGCAGTCAAGGATGAGAACATGGCAACAGGAAAGGAGATATGGCAAAGTCTGTACCATAGATTCATACAGAGCAGATCTCATCCCAAGCATAGTCAATGCTTTCTCAAAAGGACCGTCGAGCCTGGAAAATTGATGAAAGAATACTTTTGAACCAGTGTGATCTTGGCTACCCCGTACAGAATACTCCTGTGCTTGAGGAGAACCATTGTATCGCAGCCAAGTTGTTTCATTGCGGCTCTTCTCCAATTTCTCCATCACTTAAAGGCGCAATGAGCGATATCAAAAGGTACTTTTTAAACAAAGTACGCCGCCTGCACCCAATGACAGCCCAAGGCCTCGATGCATGCGCCTGGCCTTGTGTGCGAAACACCCCCTTTTTCCCAACCCGGTGAACAGCTCGACGCCACAGTATGTACTCTGGTTGCATCTTTGCTGCGCGCTAATCCCGGTTTGGTAAAAGGTGAAAGGCTGGTGGAAGGCATCATTGACCTGGGGTAGTTGAAAGAGAATGGTCCTTGGTTCACGGGTATGAGAGAACCGTCGTTTGCTGGGGAACTTTGTGAGATGGACTGAGCAGTATCAGGCTCTTTTGAAAGATCAGGATCATCAAGCTGCTAAGAGATCTCGCATGAGGGACACGGGAAAGAAGTCGAGAGACGAAGCGAGGAGTTGGAATGCAAATGATCGCCGCTGGGGTCGGATTTACCGTATGGCAGCGGTATTGGTATTATACGCACAAAACATACGAGTCCGTTACAATACAATATTATTTTTTCCAAGCTTTCAAAGAACCAATCAGAGGCACATAAACCTGACAGCGTAACATTGTTTGGTCACACTTTCGTACGGAGCCAAACTGGGTGTTTTCCCCGCAAAATCCAGCTGTCTCACGTTGAAATAAAATTACAGCAGGCAAAAAACGAGCAATTAATTCTCTCACCAAAGTGTTGAATATTGCTGTTGTCCTAAAACAAGGCCTCAGGAGTGGCGGGATTGTCCCAGTGGAAGAGTATGGAATTTACCGCTTTCGGCCGCCTGAGAGAGAATGCAGCAGATGTAGGAAACCGTGTTCCGTTGGAATCTCTTCTTGTTTTCGCTCAAATCATCTTTATCTGAATTTTTAACAGGCCTGCAAGCCATTCTCCCTTTCAGCCAAAGAGACAGGAGGGATCTCCCTTCCAGAAAGCTTGGCGCCTCCCAGGGCGAATTGGAATCCTGAACAAATCAGCAATTCTTCAAGATCCTCACCAGGATTGAAGCTGCGACAGCTCGCACGCTTGGAGCCAATCATTCTCCCGCGAGGAGGTTGGTGACTCCAGTTGCCGTCGCACGCGATGCAGTGGAAGAGCTCGTTGATGCGGATGATTGCACAACATGGCCGGTGATCTGCGAAGTAGCGAAATCACTTTGAGCGCATTTTCGCCCCGATTATCGCAAACTATTAGAGCTGGGCCCCAGCATTCGTCACGACGGACACAAAGCCTGTTCTGACAGCCAGCTCTCACGGAACCTCGAGAACTTAATGCTCGGAGCCACATTGCTCCCCCCTGCGGACCTGCGGACATTCATCATGGTGTCGAATATTAAAAATTATGTTGGTAAACTTCGAGTAAATCTGGGGTCGATAATCACCCTCACTCCAAAACCATCATCGTCAAAACAAACCTTGGAAAAAGAAAATATGCCCTTTTTCTGATGCAGATCATCAGCCCACTTCTGCATCGATCGCGCCTCGGCCAACTCCTGACAACCCACCCGCACGGCGAACAGTCTGCCTCATTTGCTGTGTGGTCTGTATCAATCATTCATGCCGCCATGAGCAGCTTCGAGTTTGTCGGCCTTCTCCACGTCCCATTGGCACACGTTCCAGAGGAGATGGCTGATGGAATAAAGTGACTTTGATCATCTGTTTGCGTCTGTTCGATTTTTTTTTTTTTCTTTTCGGTGTCACAGGCTTGCCGGATGTCCCCGGGCAACGTGGAAATGGCTGCCTTCCGCCTTTCTTGTACGACCATAATTTTATCTCGTAAAGAATCTTCCACCGTTTGTTTTCTCTCCTTTTGTTTTTCTCCTCCCACCCCGTAGTCTCACCAACCTGAAAGGCGTATCGCGCGATACCAAAGCGGTATTCTATCTCTTGGCGAAGAGGAAAAGCTATCCCAAACGGGCCTAACGTGCAGCGGGGAAGAGGGTTCCGCCGCGGGAGCGCAAAGTGGACCGGGTGCCGCTCCACTCTCGGGCGGTTCCTCCACTTTCTTGGCGCCCTGGACCCTGCCGAACCCTCTAAACGAGCATGTCACGGTTGGTATCTGCGTTAAGTGTAATTAATCTCCATTCCCCTCCAAGTCTCAGGCGATCTGCGAGGAAAGGCTGGGAGAAGCAGACAAGTCAGACTCTGGAGTCTCACAGAAAGACTCGAAATCGCGGCCCCAGCCGAGGACGACGACGACCTCGGATGCGGTTCTGTTCAAAACATTCCTCAGGCACAGTGATCCTGGATCCATCCCGGAAAGCCGCCTCCCCGAGTCGGGAACCGTCTTCATGGGCCTCTTTCACCAGTCGACTGCTCCGAAAGCATTTGCTGACAGGCTCAGAAAAAAAAAATCATATTCTGGAGCTCTTTTTTCCCGTCCCTGGTTGTTCTTGACCCGTTCTACTCCCTGCGTGTCCAGCTGCTTTGGGGACGGCAGCGTACAGAAGAATAAGGTTGATCCTGCGAGGTGACAAATATATCGATCCTCCCTGCGGGCCTGCGGCCCTGCCCCTTTCAAGTTTCTGTGGTCGTATGACCAGGCGGTCCGATTGCCGAAGCAAACTTCAACCCCCAAAACACCAAGTAGTTAACCCTACAGTTACTCGGTCACTCCTAATGGTAGGGTAATCCGGTGCGTCCAGCATATTATTATACTTCTTCAGTCAGCGACCGCTCCAGCGACCGTTCTCCGATCGCGGGACAGATGGAAGGGGTTGTTGCAGCAAAGAAGAGAGATCCTCGGGGATTCATGCACATGAACCGGACCTCATTGGAGAGGGTTGTTTTTGTCGAATTCCGGCCCAGCAAGCACTTCCCCTGTAAACCTGCAATCTTCAGGGGAGAAGGGCATGGACTGATGCAGACAGCCGTCTGTTGGGAATCGTTAATGCCTGATTTTGGATGATTCTAATAAGGAGCTTCTGTCTTGTTCTCGAAAGCCGAAATAATGATTGTTTCCCCCGAATCTTGCGCCGGTGGACTGTGGCTTGTGCTCAGTAGAGTTGCAAAGAAGTTCGACATCATTGCCATGTGGGAAGACCTGGCGTGGTTGCAATTCATCGACCCGGTGGCTGAAGCGACTCGATGTGAGTGGTGTTTTGCTCGGGAGCAGGTTTGTCTTCCCAGGTTCACCCCATCCCGCCTCGTCTCCTGTTGGTTGAGTTCTAAAAACCCAAGGGTGAAAAGAAATGCAACGCCAGTTGTTCTCGACGTTATTTTTCCTTCACAACATGAAACACATGACAAGAGAGAGAGAGAAGCAGATTTAAAAATATATCATGACCGCACCCATGGAAAATCAGGCTTTCTAGGTATTCCCTGGCATTTTCCTTTCTCGGGCTGGGGCGAGGGCAAGTCGCCAAGGGGAGGGCCGACTGCCGTGTCTGCCAATGCTTTCCGAACCACCCCTAGCCCTGTCCGAAAGTCCCAAACAACCCAAGTCTGATTCGTGTGCATTGTCCAGTCTCAGCTTGAGCCGGTGGGGTCTGAGTTGGGCTGTAAAATTCGACGTTCCCTTGAAAAGAGGGGAGAGTCTGCTCTTTTCACACATGAAGTTGACCGGAGGCAGAAAAAATCATCAACATCCAGAACATCATAATAAGTGTCGTAATAGATTGTATTATGAGCTCTGCTAGACTAAAAATTTCGTATCGTGAACGCCATGCTAGCCCAAAATAGTCAACGCTATCATCAGTTGGACAAAATCGCTGATACCAATATGTTATTGATGCCACAGAGTATGAAAGAAGAAATGGAGAAAAAGAGTAGTAGCCAAAAAGAATGAGATGGGTAGATATGCTTGAATATCAAAAGTAAAAAAATTCCCGGGATATCAAAGAGGCTTTTATGCAGTTATGCCGGCCGTTAACAAAAAAGAATGTCCAAATATTGTGGAATTATCGTCGAAATCTTGACGATCGAAAGGCCGTGAGGTCAATGGATATAGACGAGGTATCGGATGCATCATCTACTTCAATAGCATTGTGATCGTCGACGTCCTTCCCCTCAATCTTTTGTTCGGACACCAGCTGTTGGGCCTGACGTTCCTTCTCCTCTCTCCGTGCTTTTGCTTCAGCTTCAGCTTTCTCTTCAGACTTAGCCTCCTCCGCTAATCTGTCGACCTCTTCCTTTGCCATAGCCAGAGCCAGATCAAGTTTCTCTTTCGTTTTGTTCAATTCCAAAGAGCAATCTCCATTCCGCAAGAACTGATGGGACGCCATCTCGCACAGGGCCTGTGCAGATTCTAAATAGGTATCTCCAACATCGAACGGGGATTGCTTTGCTCCGTTGGTCTTTGCAAACTGCCTTGTACTTCTGAAGATAGGTTTTAATAGGTCGTCTTCGGGCGAGGGTTCGGCCTGAGTCGCTTTCCGTCCAAATCCCGTTTTCATCATCGCGCTCATCCTGCCCTTTCGTATATGATTTCTTGCTCCGCCGATTTCCCGTACTAATTTCTCCAGCACACTTTGTGTATGGCAGTCGTAATGGATCAGAAAGCGGTGACACGGCCGTACTGCTCGGTCCGTCCCCTCGTCTGAATAAAGAGTGTCATTGCTCTCCCTTCTTGCCGGCGGCCGCTTTCGAGTGTTCACATCTCCAGGCGAAGGCTTTAATATCTTCATACGGGTAAGTGGATCGGCGCATGGATCGTCCGGGTCCAATGTCATACCCAGTCTACTCGACCGTTCATCGTCGTTTTTGTGGGTATGGAGGGAGCTGCCTTTCTTTCGGCGGCAACGCTGATCTTGAATTGAGTACTTCAGGTAGTCGGTTTTGAACTCTTCTTGCTTTGCAGCTGTGTGCGCGGCGAGGTCGGAGACCCGAGAGATCCAGGTCGGGATTTTGTTGGTGAGCAGGGCGAAGCAATTGAGGGGCTCTGGATCATAGGAACCCATGGCGGTAGAACTAGCAGGCGAAGAATAGGACTTGATAGGAGTGTCTCTCTCCTGGTTGAATCGTAACTCGTTAACTCATCAAACCCGGTGATGGGAGGCGGTTTGTGTGGGGAGGTAGTCGGGTGGTTGAAGAGGCGAGGAGTAAGTGATTGGAGGAATCGGCGAGGGCGTTTTATGGAAAGGAGGTGTGCATGTTCGATGGGTCAGAGCAGGGTGGGAGACAAAAGAAACATATCTTGCGAGAGAATCGACTTCGATCTCTGTGTGTTGGACTGGAAGCTGGCGAGGAGGGAGGTTGCAATGTGGATGGAGTGAGAAATAATAACGGCGGCCGAAGCTGGTATCGAAACAAGACGGCGATACGAGCTGTAAGTTACCCGGGCTTCACGTGGGGCGCTAGACAGCCTTCTGCGGCCCAAGTTACACCGTGTGACGGGGCGGCGCTAGTACGGTATTACGCTGCGTCACGTCTGAGGCCTCGCTGTCTGACCGGACGGAACAGCAATACGTGTGTGACTGGAGGCATCGGCCTTGGGAAGCAGAAACTCTGCTTATATGCGGGATACAACATCGATGGCGAAAATGCACTGGCGGAAAATCTGCAGGCATTTCTGCATGACGAGCAAAGCGGTGAGATCAAAACACCATGCACCTGCGATTGAGACAAGAAATCAATTAAGTCACAAAAGGATGAGCAAAGCAAGGATTCCCAAATGCGGTCCCAATGCCACCTTGCCGTTACCAGGTAATTCAAAATTACAAAACCCATTCGAAATTCCAACTCCGTCCAATGATATTAGGCCAATACTGCACCGAAACCGCCGTTACCTGCAACTCCCGTACGACCGCCAAACCGAACGTCCGCCGTTTCTCGGTCCAACAATGATATCTTGTCTCTTCCTTTGGCAACCTCTCCAACGCCTCTGCTGAGATGAAGCCGGGGGAGGACGCACCAGGTACGCCTCCACAACCAAGCCCAAACCCTCAGAAGCGTCAAATTGGCCACCGCAGGATTCGACAAAGGAAACCCGATAGATATTTCGAGGCCGAATCGCCAAAGACTCCGAGGAGTCTGGGATAATTGCCTTTCTTCTCCGACTTGTGGTTTTGGCACCGCATCCGCCGTTGTGACTTGTCCGGCTTATGAACCGCCGCTCTTCGATAGCTCGTAGAGCCACATGTTCATATGCCGCTTGACGGCGTCGAAGGCCTCGGTTGCCTCTGCCATCTTGGCTTCAGCACCCTTTACCAGCCGCTCCATTTCCCTGCGATAAACAGTCTCGACTGACTGTTTGATTGCCCACTGCATGTTCTCGTCTGAAGAACCGCAGTGGCTGGTCGCAGTCTCCTCGATGGTTGAGGAGCTGGAAGCGGCTATTTCCGAATGGTCAGCACAAATGCAAAAGGATACGGGCTTCGCTTCTTCAACGTACTTGGCTGGTTAGCCTCCGAGTTTGTGGACGGGCACTCTGGCTCCTCGTCCTCTGAGATGGGTGCCTCTACCCTCACCCGCTTGCGCCCGCGGTCCGCAACAGCAGCTAGAACATATCTTGTCAGAACTGTATGTACTTTGATAGAGTACTTTCCAGATTGGACTCACGGTCGTCGGCGTCTACGACGCGACGGTGCTCGCACCTCTTCCGTTTCTGCCGACACGAGTCGCAGACTCGCGTCAGCTTCTTGCCCGGTTGGAGAGAGGTCGGTGGCTGGAATCGCCGCTGCTATCCTATTAGCCTTCTGATTTTTCTTTGCATTTCCTTGACAAAGGAATAATTTCCTCAACATTGACACACCTTCGTACCGCGGGATTCCTCCTTGAACAAAGTTAGTTTTCATATCAACTCGAGGGAGTTCGTTACATACCTTCGCGTCTTGCGCCACCTGGAAGCAATCGTCACAGGTGGGAGAGTTATAAAGAACTCTCGTCGGCGGTCTCGTCCAGCATCGGGCGCAGAGGCCAGGCCCGTCTGGAGCATTGGACTCGCCAGTCCCTTGCGGGAGGGAGTCCGACTCCTGAGGGGCCGCCTCGTTGCCTTCAGCCTTGGAGCCCGCCGATTCTCCACCAGACTCCTTCCCGTCGACGGCCATCTTGTCGGCCTCTGCCTCGTGAACCTCCACCTCTGGCTCGGTGCCACCAGGGTGGAGTTTCTCTTTGCATGGCAGGCAAAGACCGGTCTGCGCGTGGATCTTGGCACGGGCGCAGAATCTGCCGCAGTACGAGCAGCGACTGACCATGTCGTCGTCGGGTTCGGAATCACTATAATCCCACATTGTTTGGCTTCTTTTCCTTTCACAAAAGAGGGGGGAAGAGGTTATCCAAGGGGAATAATGAAGAAAAAGATGGGCTACCTTTTAAGTGTACGACCCTTGTACGAAGAAGAGCTGCAGCCAGAAACTGCGAGCAAGGCGGGATAAAAAATAGGCACAGCAAGTACCTAAAGTCCTCGTGGACCACGGGAGGGAGCCCTGAAGAACGGGAGCTCTTCGCTGTCTCAGTTTGCAAGATTAGAACGCGTCAAAGGATATCAATTTGTGTGATTGGGATTGTGGAGTGAAGAGGCTCACCTTGCTGGGAATGCAAGAAAGCGAAGTCAAGCAAGCTGAGCTTGAGACAAAGCACAATGAGAGTGAAGACAGGAGCGGAGAAGGGAGCTGTCTATCTGTGACAGTGAAAAGGATGTTGGTATCAGAGAGCGGAAGCTATGCAGTTTCTTTCTCAAGCTTGTCACCAAAAGTGGTTGGTAAAGCAGCTGGGGAAGCGCAGATGATCAGGTTTGATAAAGGTGTAAGATAGGAAGAGAAGTTAGAATGGAGCAGAGTTGGAAAAATCTTTTCAGACGGTCAAGTGGTTGTCCTGGGGTTTGTTTACGCGGCTGGTGATTTTGTGTGCGTGAAAGGTGTGATGTAAAGGGAGGAACACATCTGAAGCGGGAGCTTTCCAGCACAGGGAAAATTATATGTTTACTAACAGTGAACTGGCAGCTAGCACTAGAAAGATATTATTACTAGTAAAACAAAGCGAAATTCCCCTCCAAATTTCACCAGCCTGGCAATCAAGAGTGTATGGCAGACTCAGGGGTTTCGTGTCCTCACGGAAAAATTCACTGGGCAAGACTCTAGCAGCTGAACATATTTGCAGGAGCTCCATTCCACTCCTTGAAATTAGATTCACGGCCATACGTCCTGTTCTTTCCAAACTGTCCCCTCTCCATCAGCTCTGCTCAGCAACGTCCATCTGACTCTTCTCACAGCGTCTGGAATTTTCAAATCAACCGCCTCAACTTCCTCTGGACAAATGACCACCACGCGGAAATTGCTTCTTGCATCTGGATCGTAAAGATCCCACACCTGCTCACCTTGAAAAGCAATGGGGTCTCGTATACCATCAGGTATCGGGGTTCCTGGTGGCTGGTTTTTGAATGTCCCTTGATGGTAAAGTCAGTAAACAATTCTTTTTCACCTGTTTCCACAGGCTTCCGCGAACAATGCGAACAATCTGAGCTAAGAACAAAGCTTGGGATGAGATAAGGCCGTAGCTGGGCTTTCTCCCGTCCATACGTGCATTAGGCCCGGGAAGAGTAAACAAGGGAATGGATATAATGTAGAGAGCCGCAGAGTCACGGAAACTCTCGAGGGTCCCGAATTAAAGCAGCATATACAGTGAACAGACCAAAGACACAAGGGACATTGTCCTGGGCGGGTACCTACCTCTCATCAAAGGTTTCAAATTCGCAAACTGAGCGGTAATCTCTTTCTCCCAGCTCCACTTCCGCAGTGTTTTCTTTGAGTAACCTGGGCAGGCACGCATTGCCTTTTCAATTTCTTCCCGTGCTTGCACCTCAGCCTCATCCTCGGGATCCCCGCCAACGACAAACGCCCTGCCCTTCACCCTCCATTGGACGCAAACATCTCTAAGCCAAAAGACTGCCTCAACATACCCTCCAGGACCGCCGTCGGGATCTATCAGGTCACCAACTTTGGGCATCCTCACATCGGTGGTGAAAGTGAACATATCACTTTCGAATGACGCTTCGTTTGTGGCTTTATCATCATTATTGCCATAAAGGTCGGCAAAGCTATCGTCGCTATCCTCTTCGTACTCCTGCGCATAATACGTATCATCGAAGCGGGCATCGATGCCATCGTAGTCGTCATACTCCCCACATTCATCATTTCCACAAATGAAGTTGTATTGAGTTTGAGAATCGTCATCGTCCTTTTCAAATGCAGCAGCATCACCAGCCTCTTCTTCATCTGGATAAAGACCCCAACCATCCTTAACCCGATGTTCTTTTGGAGCAGGAGGCTCAACCGGGACATAGCTTCTGTCCATCTCGCGGAGGGCAGCAGGATGTAGCTCAATCTCGGACCAAAAATTGCGAAAGATACATGTTCGCGCCCGGGGATAGGCCCTGCCGGTGAAGGGATCGTGGTGGACAGTGGCCAGACAGAATTCAACCGGGGCTTTGCCCCTTTGCTTGTCAAACAGGTCACGCCAAGGTGCGCGAGGAGGTGGAATTTCTTTATTTTTCAAAGTCATGCTGGAATAAGATCGAAATATCGTGGCACATGCTCTACGGCAAGATAAGGAACGAGAGAAAGCCTCCAGTGCGGCGCTCCCTCTATATATGTGCATCTACTAGGAAATCGTTGACGTTGTTGCAGCCCCTGAGTTCCCGCGAACCCCCGCCAGTCTGTGCCGAGCCTCCCGCCAAGCCGCTGTCACACGAGCCTATTTCAACCTCATCTCTCTGCACCAGGCCAACGTCGCCCATTTCGCTGTCTGTCTTCTTCCTCCATCGATGCTGTTGATTGTGAGTCAATATACCCTTGGTGCTTCGGATCTCATGTGAGGCCCTGTCTCCAGCGGCAACACTCTCCTACAGGCATCCAGCAACGACGCAAGCCTGACGAGACCTTTTGTCGAGCCTGCACCACTTGCCGCGCCCAAAGGTTGGAAAGATCCATTTAGTGGCCATGATGTCACATATGCGGCGGCAAGAGCCCGAAGCAGACTTTGCCGACTGTTGGCTGCTCAAAGCCAGGCACTTGGCTGGGCCAAATGGTTGAAGCTAACGCCGTTGTTTTAGGTGGCTTCATGCCGGCGGCTGTGAGAGTTTTAGACGAGCGCCCACGACATTCAATCTATGCTGGTGACGAAACGGGAACATTATTGGGGCTCAGATTGCTTCTCGTCAAGATGGCTTGCTGCCTTACTGTTTAGCCTTTGGCTGAAATACTCGGATTTGACCATCCCTGCCCCGGGTGATTCTTACCGCCCATCTTCGTTGTATGGTTGCGACATGAGAATGACAGGCTCTAATTCCCCTTTCACGTCTTAGGCTTTGTCCTCGTTATGGCTTCAAACATACCAATATCGCTAGGGTACCAGCTACTCTCTAGCCTGGTACGCTTACTAAAAAATCGTTGGTTGTTATGAGGAATGGTACACCGCCATCGATAAATATTGTCTCAGCTAAAGGCAAAAATGAATTTATACTACCCACTCTAGTGGCTCAATTTATTAGGGTTTCATCTCGATGGGAATGACGTCCTCCTGTGGAAGTGGCATTGGACGATCTAGATAAGGCACCAAGCAAGTATCCTCTAACGAGAGGTGCTAGGATTTATCTGAACATCAGCCGCAATACTAAAACAATTCCAACTGCAGTCACGCAGCCTATCAAACAAGGGCGTATGCCCTGGTGGAGTTATGCTATCTGGATCATATTTTGCTCTCGTAGCAGATGGGCCGCAGATTCTGGATGCCAAGGTGGGCAATCGACCGCTGACGCCTAACAAGGCTTATGGGTATCCGGACACGCCTTTGCAGAACTCGTTATGTCGCAGGTTGTTCACGCCTAATAAGTCTGGCTTAATTAGCCAATTGTGCCTGGACTATAGGCCCTATCCTTGACACAGTTCTCTTGCGGCGCATATCTTGCTTTTGATTGGGAACTGGTATGCTAATAGGCGTTGCGAATAGGCTGTACTATGGCACAGGACCCAAGCAGGCGTATCATCAATAGCAAGTCTCCGGATATAAAAGCGCACGAGAACACCTCCATTTCCCTTTTTTTTTTTTCAATCAACAAAGACCACAGAGCCCACACACTCAACGGTTACATCCTCCAAATTCTTTTTGACTGTTCCTGCACAAATTTACTCACATTGTCACCGGACTTTTGATTTAAGCATTACAAGTTTAATATCTCTGAATCATGCCGCTTGATATGCCACACCCTTCGCGCGACCCAGCTATTGTTTATATCTTTCCTAAGTCTGAAAAAGCAGAGAAAGCCATTGCCCATCCACACAATGATAACCGCTTTACGAGCGTAGAATTCGAAGGCAGGAAAGAAATATTAATCGGTCTCCGTCTCGGCTTTGATATCCCCCCTAAGATTCCTACTAAAGGGTTTGTTTTTGGATCTGACCCCAACAGCGACGTCTTTTTGCCCTCGACAGATTATTGCTTTTCTATCACGTTTAATCGATCAACTGGAGTCCTACTTGTCAAAGGAATATCCCCCGGTGGCTACTTACAGGTCATTGAAAACAATTTTACCGTTAGCTTCGATGGATTTGACTTCTTCATTGGTATTCCCGATCGTGCCCCGCACGAACGCGCATATAGATCGAATTTATCGAAATTTCTGAGACTTAAGCCTGAAGAGCTACCCATGATCGACTTTCGCATACCGATTTGCGACAGGATCGACAATTATCTTAAACTCGAAAGCCCAACCCTTGGAAAGCATGGAAAAGATGGCATTTATGTGGATGAGAGGAATGGTGGATTGTTCACAATGGAAACATTTGAACCAGATGACCCAAGGATTGTAAGAAAGACCACGTTTCCGAAGCCTGTCCCTGTAAGTTGAGCCTTTAACCGTTTTAGCATAATCGGACCATACAGCTGACAGACATAGGAATTGCACGAGAATGTTTTGAGCAGCGGGTGGATTAGCAGTGGCGGTAGGTATCGTTTCGTCAAGGAAATATGTCATTACGAACACAGCCTCGAGGATATACCGAGCTTAGGAGGCGTTGACTATGTGGCCATTCTTCACCAGTGCCTTAAAGGCATTGCACACATGCATAGAAACCAGCTTATCCACGGCAACGTCAGGCCTTCGCATATTTTGCTAGGCTCAACAAATCCAATTCGGGTCAAAATTCCTATTCATCGCCCAGGAAAATCAAACCAGACTCAATACAGCGGTTTACTTTTCGTTGCGCCCGAAACCAGGACCGACAAAGTTGCCTTCAGTAAGAAAATTGATCTCTGGGCTCTTGGAATAACCATAATGGCAGTCCTGAAATGGCTTCCGGTGAAGGCCACAAAAGAATATTTGAAAGATCCTCGCAGCGATATCGCATACCAGAACTATGTCGACGCCGTGAAAAATACACCGGCGCAGGTAGACCCCCCGTTTCGTCAAGTTTTATCAATGATGTTTCTATGTGAGGAACGGCGTTGGAGTGCGGAAAAATGCATCGCGGAGATTGAAAGGTTTCAACGTCGACATCCAGCGCCCCCGGCTAGAAAAACAGAAGACTGGACCTATATCGAAAAGGACGATTATCTGGAGAGTGAAAGCTTCCAGGCTTATCAATGCCAGGAAGATATCCATAGTGAGGAGATCCAACCTGAGAAGTACCGAAGTGAGGAGGTCAGGCCTAAGAAGCAACAGCGTAAGAAACGCCAAATTGTAAGGAAACGAGGAGCAAAGGGTTACAGGGATTGGCTTCAGTTTTTTTTGAGCTGAACAGCGACTAAAGGATCTGATCAGCGGATATTCACCCAGGCGTCAATTGGAGAATTGTCAATATACGAGGGACTTATATAGAATAGGGTAGCATAAACACGAGAATGGGATATCGAATTTTGATATC